TCAAATAAAATGGTGTCACCAAGGGAACACTTGGATTGATAATCAAGATCTATATTGCAATAAAACTGGTCTTACTTTGTGAAGTGCATCAAATCATGTGAGCACCTTGATTAAAAACATGAGAAGATTTGGAAAATATCTGTTGATGCTGAGGTGTCAATACACATACTTAGCAAATCCTGCAGTCGACCGAAATCTGCACGGCAGTTTACGAACCAGATGTCGATTTTGTTACATGACACCGATTGAACTATGCATGGACTCGTTAGTACAGCCAAAATATAACTCCATAATTCCAGCCTAGTTCAGCAAGGGTGGAAACTGGACTTTCATAGTCAGTAAACTCCCTTGCCTCAGGAAGATGGATATTATTTGAAAAGTGTGTAGCTTTTAAAGGTGCAAAAATATTTAAGAACAAAAATATTTACAAGCTGGGTTTTGATATAGCAGTCAGGAGTCAGGCCTTTTTCATTGACTTTCGATTTAATAACAGAAGAAAATTGTTTTCATCTGGGTTCAATTTCCATAAACCGATCAAACTTGTTTGGCTTAGTGTGAACATGGGGGTTGTCATTTCAAACACAACATGTCCTGTGTCACTCTGAACATAGAAACATAGGGCAATGGCTGTAAGCACATTTATGGGGAAATCTTTCAAAATGTCTTCAATTACACAGATTAGGTCTTAGGGCTAGTGTCATATGAGCCTGAAATGAGACACTATCCTTTATATAAAAGAGATAGTCTTCAGCACACAAGCTTCACACTGGCTCAGGCAATGGTTTCCACATCTGTCCAAGGACTAAAATACTTCAGATTTGTGATTTATATCCAGCTGTCACCTGTGAGGTTTATTGCTTGGTGGTAACTGTCACGTCATGCTTCACTGCCCAGCAATAATGTGTAATACAGGAGTAAAAGGTAACATACACTTATCTGTACATACAAGTCCCACATGTAACAGGTCTTATTAATTCATTTGTCTAAACCTATGTGATTGTGAACTCTTAATAATATCTCAATGTCTATGCAAGAAGCACACCTCTGTCAGAAAAGACAAGGATTGTGTACATGCATGCGAGACCCACAGCCCCCGGCTGTATATACACTAAGCTTCATGATGATCGTGTGGCACATTGCAGGGCCTTCCTGGAGAAACCATGATATAAACACAAGGCTATGTTAACAGGGTATTATTGTAATACACATGTGCGTTCTTAGTATCCAACGTACAAGTTACAATGGGAAATTCTACTACATGATGGATCCATGTTGAACACTGTGTAAAAGGTAGTGAGTGAGTGAGTGAGTTGGGTTTAACGCCGATTTTAACAGTATTACAGTTATCATGGTGTGTCAACTTAACGTGGGAAGAAAGCCCGAAGTGAAGCAAATCTGAGACGTTTATGACTTTGGTGAAACCCACAAGCATGGGTATGGTGCTGAAAAACCTAGAAACATAAATGGGGCGAACCGGGATTCGAACCCACAATCATAGGTTTCTGGCGTGCCCATGGGATGCAACTCTGCACAGCGAATTGCCACCTTAGATGACTGGGCCCCCCGTGTCCCCTGTAAAAGCAAGACAAAACCTGTACCTGTGGAACCAGACATCAACTTGGGAAATATTCTGAATGATCACCAGTGTACCTTTACAGGTTAACATTTAATTACAGAATAACTGTACACTATTCTCTGAAGGACTGCCAGACATGGTCAGATGAGGCAGATGTTCAAACAAATCCCAAACGTCTAATTACCTATGTTTGAAAAAACCCTGAGTCTGAACAAATCTTCTCTTTTGGCATCAATTTAGTGGATGTAACTTATAAGGCTGACAAATTACACCAAGCATATAGACTTTTACTAAGCTTACTAGACTAACATTTAGTCTATGAAATCTTATATTACACAATACCCTTCTTTACTAAAAATATTAAAAAAATATTTCCCTCTGCTGATTTCATGTGCAATAGAGCTTGCTAGATCTGGCTAAACTTGCTTTTGTATACGTTTCTAGATTCGTTTTTTTTTTCATAAAATAAATATATTCCACAGTCATGGTGCAGGACTTGAAGCTTACCACATCAGAACAAAATGTTAGACTCAGGCTTCAAGCTAGAGGATGAGGGGGCAGACTATTGGCAGTTTGTCATTGGTCAGTTGTGTATGAGATCAGTACCTGCCAGATTACTCACAACTATAATGAGAGTGAATGATACACAACCAGAACTCTTAACATACTGGAGACGGGCAATTCATCAAAGTTCATGTCTTACAGTGAACAAAGGACATGCCTCACTTGAACCTGATCACTGGGAGTTGTCCCTGATTAATTGGCAGAGTGGTTCTAGTGGGTACTGCTGGACTAAGTGGATTAACTGCAGCAGGAACACTTCTCTGTTCATCAAATTTCAGTACCTCATTCTGCATCTCAGAGTCATTGACTTGATAATCAACTTAGTGTTTCACTTGTAATTACAGGGTACAACTACACTCTCCCCATGAGCACATTTCCAGATATTGTCCTGAGACATTCATTAGCAAATGAAGAAAGGGTACTTGTAACACACATGGTATCTGGAAGATGGGAATCCATGGACACAGCCCTGCAATACATCACTAGAAACACAGCAATACACTATGTTGACAAACCTAAGTCTGATATCTGAAGCAGAATAATCCACCGTCATGAACAGGGAATCCAATAGGTGTGTCCCGAAAAGCCCACCTTATGCATCAATACACAACGCATAATATATTACTTCGTGATACTTAATTTGCTTGATTTTGGGGTGAATTTCTCCATGTAGTAGGTTGGTAGTTGCTATCAACATCAACAAGTTAATGTTCATGGTATTAAACTCTTTGACTAGATTATTTAGACTTATTCTTATACTGGTAGGATTATCAGAGATTTATCCATGATTCCAACAATGTGCCCTTGGCAGGCAATTTGGGAAAATAATTGTTAGTTTGCTCACATTGGTCAGTGATATAAAAGTCACCTGAAAAAAACCATAACAATATTAACGTTAGTTATTACTATATAACATGAAGTGGGAAATTTGTAATTCCAATTTGGGAATATTTACTGACATTTGCTGCAGACTAAGCAGACTTGTTGCCGAATATCGACCGCTGACCAGGCCTGGATATATCCCTGATTATGCATATCCTATAGTTCAGCTTTAAGGCAGAGCTAACATGAGTAGTTATCAGGCTGGGTTACTGCAACATGTTGTAAATATTACTTTTTGATAATTGAGATATGAATTGGTGTCTTGTGTATCATATTGTCATGTAAATTCATATCAGTGAACTGTGACATCCTTAGAACCCAAATCAGTGAGGTCACACATTAGCCCTTTATAGCTCTACAAATATTAATGAAACACTGTCAATCTTATGTGACAATCGGAAACAAGTTTCAGACTAACATGGAGAGGCCGGACTAGATATTATGAGAAGTGTGCAATGCAGTGTTGCCAATTCATTCATTTACTAAATCTGACACCCAGTGCATCATGACAAATCGATCATCATATAAATTAACATATGTCACTAAAACTATCTAGGGACTAAAAAATGTTATCAAATTCATTTCCTATCAGGAATTCCATATTTCGCAATTCACAAGAGACATAAAAATAATAAACTTCCTATATTAACCAAGTTATTAGTGATTCTGCTTCACTGGTTTAAATTTTTTATGAGATCAGGCAAAAACATTTGTATAAAATGATGAAAAATCATGTCGATCTGTTTTGAACAAAGTTTTGATGAGTTTTTGTACATTCAATAAACTGCTTCCAATAAAAGTTCATACCCAAAATACAAACTTTTAGCGTTCATTCTGTACTTGTTAAACAGTAGGCCTGTAAAACTGTTGGCCATTCAGAGATATGATGATAAGTAACAATACCCCATTCAACAGGGTTACAGTGAGCAGGGATAGACACCATTGGTCATATCCAATGAGTCAGCAGCTCATTTTGGAACGAGTGGCTTTTGCTAAATAACTGGATTTGGGGATAAAACAACTGGTTACTCTAGATTTTCATGAGTAGCAGACAAGCGGGCTAGTCGACACGTCTATCACAGGTTAACCTCTAGACAATTAATCCACACAACAGCATTCCCAGTGAAATATCCAAATAACAAACCACAGGTACATAGTAATGTTCCTTCAACTGTATACAAACACGCGTCCGGATTAGGGGGTTTCCGGACAAACAAGGTTTCACTGGACATTGTTGTTGGCATAATTTTACCATTTTTGTTCTTTTCTTGTCTGATGGTTTGGTAATTTTCACTGAATATTTACTTTAAAATCAGTCAGGACTAACTGTAAGCCATCCTAACCCATCAGTGTTTAGAAGGAGAGCCTTCCGAAAACCAAGAGTAATATTCTCGCAATGGCATTGACCCATAATGAACTCTTAATCTTTCGTCAAATATAACTTTGTTTTCCCTTTTAGTTTATCCTGGTAGCAAGACTTGGTCTTAGTTTGCCTTTAGTTTTCTCCCTCCGATTGTAAACCCTAACCACAGCCTGGGACGTTTTGTATCTTTCAAATACAATTGCTTTCTGTGCATGGCATGGGTAAACTTTCTACTTATTAATGATTTCATTTCTGGTTTTACTTGTTAATTGAAATCTTCAAGAAAAGCCTTTGAACAATAGCTAGCATATATCCTGATCCACAGATAACTCTCATGTAGAAGGTTAAGGTCACATCAGCTGTTCTTCCCAGTGTATAAGTGGGAGTATCCCATCAAATAGGTCAGAGCAAAGGTCACTGCCCAACAATGCTAAAAATGTTTTTAAGCAGAAAATATACACTCTGCACCATCTGAATGCTTTGAAGTAAACACTCCCTTCATTCAAACAGTTACTGGATTTTCCTCACTACTAATTATGCAGCTCATACATGCTGTTTAACTCACTTGGCTGGAATTATGACATGACATTAATATATGTAAAATTATACACTTACCAACTACAGTGACCTCGCTTGGTTCCATGGCAACGACATGAACTCCTTAGTTACCTCGACCTGATGTTATGGTGAACATTACCTGGAACAACAATGCCTATGTTAGCATGGATAGTTGTCACAGTACCATGACCATCAAGTACAACCCTGTACACTGTACACAGTTTATGCATGCTTTGTAACCATGGTAGCAACAATGTGTACATGGTATATCATGAAGTAGCAGATTCTTGGGGATTATCACCAAAGTTCAGATCACAACACAATTTTAATCTGGAACTTTGTATCTGTTCCAGGAAAATATTTCAAAATCTGAAAGCACTCGTTTCTGTTCCCTAATAATTTCTAAGTTCAAAAAGAATAGACACAATATTCTGCTGGTTCTGAGTTTTGATTTATTAAGTGAAATTTATCAAACATTATTGATTTGCATGTCATGCTGTCATATCATAATGAGTGTTTAGTACGGGGAAGGGGAAGCGAGGAATTCTTTTGTTTATGAAAGACTTACTGTGTGAACTTTGAGTCAATCCCTAATATATTCCGAATCAAATAACAGTGGTTGTGAAATCCATGCAGATACATAACCAGCATTAATATTCAAACTGATATACCATGTCAACATTGATTATTTACACTGACATACTCTCCCACACTTACAGTAATTGTAAAACCATGATGTATTCCTATACTATACATGTTGATACAATCTATTGACATTTCAGGAGCAAACATATTCATTTGACCTTATTTGAAAATATTCAACAAAAATCCCATCAGAAAATTGTTTGGTAAAACTGTTCATTTTCTGCAATAAACTCAACAAGCAAAAACACTGAAATATCTTAGCAAGGGAACAAAGCACAGTCATGATAGACATTTTGTTTTGATCCACATAGTCAGTTTGGATCAGTTGTTTATTCTGTATACACAGCCTTCTAATGATTCTCCCTACCTTCCACCCAGACAGTGAAGCATGTTGCACAGATGTAATTTGATGTATTACATTAACTCTTTCAACACCAGTCAACCAGAAGTGTTTACTGCTGGGACACCAAGTTCCCAGAGACTCGTGTGATAGATGAAGCCAACATTTATCAAAGAAAATACCTGCTTGTAAAATATATTTGCTACTACATGTTATACACCATTTGAAAGGTCTGATCCTATGGTTTATAAATATGAAAGTTATGTTTTTCACAGTATTTAAAATAATGCATTTACAACTTAATTAAATTCGTTGTAAATAAAAAATGTACGCTAACACGTTGTTAACATCCAGATTAAGGACCAAGGAAGCGAAAACTTGACGATTTTCGGCAAATATATGATTTCATAATATCCACGTACCTATTTCTGTTTTATTTTCATTGTTTACGTAATTGGAAAATCATTTTAAAAAGAATTATAAACAGTTTCTGTCATCACCCATTTCCCGATAACAGCGACTGTCCGCTCAGTAAAATGAAGAAATACCCCCGTTTTCGAGGTTTCGTATGAATAACACGTTCGTCGAAGAATGGCATATGACACATCGCTGGAAAGCTTATTCCTTCATCTACACGCACGTAACATCGACTGTTTTTTTTTCGTAGTTATAACAAGCGATTTCATTGGATTAAAATTGGTTTCTAATGACGCTTTCTTGCTGAAATCTGCTACAAGTTTCGTGATTGGTCAATTTTGAGCACGTGACCTAAGGCAGCCAATCAAATTACAGCTGTGATACCAAGCTCGTGTTTGATAAATTACAGAAGTTTGCGAAAGAATTTTGTTAAATCGTGTTATTCTGAACGTTTTGAGCAGGAAATCACGATATATATTAAAAATATGGAACTTCGTGAATGTATCGTGCTAGGTTACGAGCTGTGACAAAGATTTTTCATGCGTATATTTTTGCATTAAACATCGTGTCCGAGCCGAGAATTCAAGGCGACGAAAGCCGAGATGTCATTTGACTTACATTACACGCGATCGCACGAAAAGATGAAAATAATAACTTAGATGTAAGTTTGATTACTTTAAGATATATTTTTGTTGATTTTATATATTACTTTGTATAATATATTTAAAGATTTGTTTAAAACGTCTTTATTTTCCTCTTTGACGTGTCCGATGTGGACCCGTTGTCGAAATGTGTGTCCGAGAATTTTATTTTCAATAACATCGCGAGAAATAGTGAATAATTTTTTAATTTAACGATAAAAAATGTTAAGTGATATGGAATATGTATTTCAGACATTATGAAATGTGATAGATTTAATAAATGAATGACATTACAGGTAGGTCCATAAAAATATATACTATTTTGACGTGACTACGGCTTGGCCGGATAACCGGCCTGCGGTGTCTGGGGACTCGATGCTTCTTGGCCGGATAACCGGCCTACGGTGTTGAAAGAGTTAACACATAGCAGTATACTCCCTCCTGTCTACATTAATCTCACAAGTCATTAACAACTGCCAATATGTCATAACTGAAATACATCAAACATTCTAATCCTTCACCATTGTTTAAATGATATTTTCTCTTCACATGTTTCATTACTGGTTTTACAATATACTTTGTATACTGCAATATAGCCTGGATGATCATGGAAGACCATACATTAGGATGCATGTTTACATGAATAATTTGATGACAATACACAACAGACAAAACAAATGAGACAATATTTTGCAATCAAATATATTTCTTCCAACAGAAATCAAAATTTCAAAGACATGGGTGCCTTTGTTTGAAATGTTTATTTTATTATGCCAATTATAATTAATGATGTATTGAAGAAACTTATTATCATGCTTATATTTAAGATGCTGAGGTAATGTTTACTTTTTTCAAAAAATATCATTTTTCTTTCAGACGCACCTGAAAGCTTAAGAAAACCTCTCTCTTTTACGTGATCATGAACCATAAAGTAAAATAGCCTACAACTATAACATGACATTTCATACTGAGTACTATAATAGCTGTACATGTACATTTCGGAAGGCTTGTCTGATAACTATGTCATATATTGGCATATATGCTTTGGTACATGAACCATACAAACAGTACACTTAACCTTCAAAGTATCAGTGTTATGAAAGTATCATGAAAGAAATTATTTGGCAATTGGTCTTCAATAACAAGTCGTCATGGAATCGTGGTTGAACTCCTAGTTTAAATTAGCCAGCTTATCCAAGAGTCAAAGGATTTAAATTCCTACCTGGACCATACACTGCAAAATGTGAAGCATAATCCAACAATAAACTGACAGTGATGTTTACAAACAAAACTGAAATATACCTTCAAATCGATTTCAAGCGTCAAGTGTTTACAGATCAGCTGAGTAACGGTTACGTCACTTCGCCTGTTGTTTCAGACCCACTGAGAGACTGTTGTTTCTACCTGGTTGGCTCGACCAGAGAACATGACTGGGTCATAGCAAGCGAGCGACATACTGGGAATATACAGGTACAACCGTGTGCCAACATCAAACGAAAAACTCTTCCGCTTCGAAGCTCCGGCTCGAACAGCCTTCCTGTCTCCGCTAATCTCCAAGACAAACTGAGTCAAAAGTGGCCTTATTTTGGTAATCAACTAATAAAAGTATTGACTAGGATACTTACAAAACTCCCATGTCCACTGTAAATAGAAACAAACTTTCATCAATCATAAATATGTCACCAACAGTACACTGTATCCCTATCACATCGTCACCACTGTGTAACTGCCTTTGATTGGTTGCTTAAGGGGAAACTAGCCAATCACAAGAACTTTTGTGTTATCGTAGGGCACCTGCTTTTGTTGCGTTTTGACGATACATTTTCTATTTGTTTGGGTGAACTTGTAAAAAAAAACAAGCAAATATCGATAAGGTGTCTTTGTCCTAAATATGTAAATACAAGAAGGACTGAATATGCTAGAACTATAAAATAAACTCGCGTGTGTAATGCTGTGACGAAACAGTGTGTTTACAAAGAATACCTACACGTAAACAAATCATGCATATAATTAAGTATAAATGCCTCACACGACCAACTTCTTTGAGATATTAAAATAATTTTAATTAAATGTCGAACAATATGATCAGGGAGACTCTACAAAGAGGGTAGAGACTCCCTGAGATGATGCAGGTTTGTACTGCAGCTTTGGGTTACATTCCGACAGGCCTGTTAATCAAACGAGAAAATATCAATACTATTGTGCAACAAAGTATAATGTTTCATGGGAATTTTATGTTCACTCACTAATACGCTTTAGGTGTATCTTTTTCGTTCCTGCAGGAATGTCCCCCCTCCTTTTCAGTAGATAATATAAGTACTAATGACCACTGTCGTTGTAAAGGGTTGAACATTGTGAGTGTGTGTGTTTGTTTGTTGGGTGGGTGGGCTGTTAGCCCAGTAGTTAAGATGTTTGCCCGTCACGCCGAATGCCCGGGTTCGAAATCTCAACATGGGTACTATGCGTGAAGTCCTTTCCTGGTGACCCTGCCGTGAAATTGTGGGACTATTTCTGAAAGCGCTGTGAAACCTCACTCACTCAGTCACCCAATGATTTTCCACTATTAGCTGTTATAATATTATCGAGTATTGGAAATCTCATCTAACTTAAGTCAATCCTACAGTTATTCACATACTTAAGTAACAACCATTTGATTTTCAGGGTGGAAACCCATGTTTTACTTATTTTTGTTCACACGCCTCCTATTGTAGAAAAAACCCCAATAACGTGCCCTTTTCTTGCCCAAACACACACACACACACACGCGCGCGCGCGCACACACACGCACACACACACACGCACACACACACACACACACACACACACACACACACACAAAATGAAGCTCCCATAACAAGAATGGAGCATTATAATTGATACTTCCACCCACAATAAGCCCTAACCTATTTATGCACCTGTAATATAATGACTGGCATTGGTTTTACGTGTGTTAGTACTTACTTCTATCAATGCAAACATCATCATATCTATAATACATAGTCACATTGGTATACTTACTGTTTTCATTATCACCCTCAGATGATATCTTTACAATCAACATCACTTAAGTGTTTGGGGTTTTTTCTTAAACAAAACGAAATATGAACAGAACAGATATTTATTCATGAAAAAGACTTGGGCTTCAGCCCCTCGTCTGACAGATACAACAAAATATATGTTGACAATGGGGCAATATGCACTATACGAAATAGAATCCGTCTGGTCACCATATGGACAAATGGGCATTTTAGTCATGCAAACGTTGCGTCTATTTAATTGAATGTACAGGGGCCTTACATTTAAAACAGGTTTCCATTTCTAAGACTTGTGGACCTAAAATTTGATGTTATTTTTGCGTCGAAACCGAAAACCACATGAATTTATTTTTTACATAGTGTAGAGTAGTGCGGTATTCAACACCCAGCTAACCCCGCTGCTTTCCTGTCCAATTCATGACAGTGAGTCACAGAACCGCTGCACATATTGTTACTGCAGCGCTGAAACACAGTTCATGAACAAACGTATAGCCTCAACTATTTGTCCATCGAACACAACCAGCAAAGCACTGACCTCTTCCTGAATGTTTACAGTCGGGTGATTTGTTTACATTTCGGATTTGGAATAGTATTGTAATGGGTCGATACCTCTCTCAAATAAATTTGCCATAGGCGTTAAGAAGAAATTTCCATCTAACACGAACACTGGTTGTTTTCACTTTAATCCATTTAAAGTTTTATTTTTTAGACAGCTGGTAAACGTGACAGTATTTATCCATATGATTAAACATACACCAGATTGTAGTGGTTAGTAATGCTAATTTGTTTGGAATATTGGATTCTGCATACTCGTCTCGTCGATTATTATGATGATAATGATGTTTGTTTATGTTACTCCAAACCTACAACAGAATTATTTAGCGGAAAAGCAATCATCCTTTTAAATGGTCAATCAAGTAAAGAGGCCACAGATTGTGTCAAAGAACACGTTCAAAAAGAAATATTTCTTACATGTGAAGTGTTATTTGCTTAAATTAATAACTTTATAAATTTGATGTGAGATTTTCATTTATGCCCAGATATAACTATCAAATAATTATATCCTTGAGTATTGTACGGTACACGCGTGTACAACACTCTTTCTCACTGTTCTTTGAGGGAGTCTTGTTTGTTTTACGCCGTTATTAAAAGCATCACAAGTGAAGGCACTAAGAATGGGAATCTCCGTGTGAGACACACTGTTTTCATGTGGGGAATGGAACTCGGATCTTCTACTACAAATGGAATACCCCAAAGGCCACCTGGTGCGGGATAAGATGTGTCCTCATATTTACAAGACACGCGGAACAATTAATGCAAGAAATCAGATATTGTATATCTGACTGTTTGATTGGCATTCTAGAATTCTAGAAGTTGGTGAGTAATTTTAAGTAAGCTTGATAACGATGAAATAATCTACATGAAAACGTCGCTAAATGCAATAAATCAGAAGTTGTTATCCATAAAGTAGTACGTTTTCTTACTTGTATTTCTGCACAAACATTCAAACATTCTGATTGTAAATCCATTACGTTGGACGACAGATGTCGAAAATAAAGGAATATGCATAATAAAATAGGTGATCAAGTGTACATTTCAATTCCATGGTGATACAAAAGCCACCATGGCTTCAGTTCGGAGATGACGTGTGACGTCACTATGTCCATCTCTCCTATCTCGAATGTTTTGTAAATTTTAAAAAAAATGTTTATAATTACACATACAGTCAAACACCGTTGTGTCCAACTTTGATGTGTCGAAAGCACGGTTGTCTCGAATAAAAGCTTCGCCCCTGTATATTCATCATTTTCGGTTGTATGGAACCTCGGATAACGCGAAGTATTTACGTAGGTCCCTTCAGCATCGACACAACGGTGTTTGACTGTATAATATATCATAGTCACATTGGCGGTGTTTCAGCGAGCGACTTACACCTACTCACGGGTAGGGGGCAGGTGCTGAACCTGGGATTCGAACCCATGACCAGTGGATGCCAACATCTAACACAGCGACTTGCATCCCACATGCACCCAACTGCAGCTTAGAGATATTCCCGGGGGTGTAATGTGTCGCAGTCTTAATCTTTTCTGGAATCAGAACAACATGCAAACACAAGTTGCGATGACTCCTATGTAGAATTTCGATAGCAACTATTCACTTTTAATAGTATGTTAGATGTTTATAGCTACATAGTTACATCTATATCCTGCATGTTATGTAGGCATGATATATTGGAATGAAGTTACATTTACAGATACTTTAATAACAGGGCTAACATCATAAGAAAAAGCCCCGTGGCTTCATTACGGGTCAGGTAACCTATTTCTGGTGTCCCCTGCCGTGATATAGCTGGCGTTAAACAAAAAGTTATTTACTGATAAAATAATTAAGTCACTAACCAAAATAAGTGACATCAAATACGTTAGACATAAATGCTAAAAGAGAAAAAATGCATCTAAAGTGGCTTTTGTTGTGGGTTTTTGATTTGATGCAAAAACAAACAAACCTGGTTTCATATTAGTAGTGAAAATATCTGGGATATATATTTCGTTTCGGAATATTAGTGACAACGTATTTTGAATAAACATGCAGATTTGTACACTTCCGGTTAATTTTACAATGGAAGGTAGAACCCGGCTAAGATCGGTCAGCAGTCCTAAAACCGAGAGTAAACGAAACAGCACCGAGAGTAGACAATTTCACTCTGAGATAAGCAATAGTAGTGACAATAGTAACAGCAGCTTAAGGAGAAATGATCATTCAGCTGACCCCGATAGAAACGAAGACGAAGACGTGAGTTTCCTTGAAATTTCGTGTCAATAAAATTCTGACATTGTCATAAGTTTCAAATGATGTAGTGGGTTTTTTTCCTCTCGTCCAAATTTGCACTCCGCTTGCAGGTTTCGTTAATCTTGTGATAACTGCCTGTTTACCACAAATGCGCACAAATGTCAAAACATTTTGTACAAGAGATCACATTGTCTGATGCCCGAGGCAAGTGTATTTTCAATTTCGGGAAAGCACAATTTACTGAAGAAAGCAAATTAGTCCTTTTATAATGCACTCGGATTGTAAAGAGTGTTCAGTGCATTTATGGCTTGATGATTTTAATCTGTTTTATGAAAACTTTCATTCAATAATGTTAACATAAATATTGGCGATATTGGGTGTTGATCTGATCAGGAGATCACAACAGTGGGTTGTAGTCAAAACGGGCTCATGTCTGAAAGGCCTCAAAAGTCAAAACGGTTACAAACCCATAGTCTAAACGGACATAAAAAAGACAAAATGGACACAGGTAAAAAGATTCGAAATAATAAATGAATTTAACAGTGAATGCATATCCAATGTGTACAGAGTACATGTTAGATGTTGTTATAATATTACAATGTAATCTCTTCCATGTTGTTTAAACCAATCTCATCAAATTACTTTGAACTCTTTACTGACCATTGTACCAAAACATGAATAGTGGCGGTGGGGTAGCCTTGTGTTTAAAGCGTTCGCTAGTCCCGGTTTGATTCCCCGCATGGGTACAATGTGTAAAGCCCTGGTGTCTCCCATCATCTCACCCCATTTGTCAGACACCTTAATATCCCATCCTACCTCTAGAATACAGTACCACAAACGTTTCAAACATGTCACAACTCCCTATGACATAATTTGTAGTATTTTGTTGCCAGTCACACCGGAGAAACAATGCCCTGTGAAGTCAGGGGACATCAAGTGTGCATAAGCTCTTCTCAGTGATCTATCATCTCTACATGCAATGTCATTTAATAAGCCCAGCGATGTTGAGAGTTTTGAATATTTGTTTATTAACAATAGCCTGCGATGGCGCATTTTATAGCACACACTAGTATATAGAAGCACTTTCATTATCAATATATTTTTTATTTCGTATTTTTGTTAATTCAAGTAGCGTAAATGATTATGAATGGCAACTAATATGCATATATTATTTTTTCCATTCTTTATTTTTCATTATTATGGACAGGAATGCAGAAACAGATAAAACAGTCAGTGCTTCTTACATGTCTTACAGAAATGAAAGTTGCCATTTGTCTCATTGTCATACATGTGGGTTGCAATGCCATCGCAATGGTTCAGTTCATACTGTGGCGTTCCTGTGGAGTCAGTTCTAAACAAATTAACTGCTACACAGATTATGCGTTCACTTGTCAGTTGTATTAAAACTTTTATTCCAAGCTTAATAACCCTTAGTGACTTGTTCTATAATGTCTCTCTGACTTGTTCTATCATGTTTTTATAGTGATTACCACTGGTAGTTTGTATCCTTTGATCTTTTGTACTTTTGTACTTTTGCATGAAATAGGAAGTTATATAAATTTCAAATTACAGAAATCAAAGTTTAGCAACATATATTATGAACTTATGTGAATTTGTGATGTATTATGAAAATACACTTATGCATCTTAATTTAACATACACAGGCGTTTAATTTATGTCGTTAAATGTATCTAATATAACAAAGAGGCACAATGCCAAATCTGTGGGACCATTTTCATCACCTCATGGCCGATATTTAGTTTTGCTGTAATCAGAATTAGTAAAGTGGTCTCAAGGGTAAACATGGTAAAGATGGCAGCTAATCCTGTAAACTGTTCCTGGAAAGGACACATAATCAAGCATCTTTTGGTAATTATATTCCTGAACTTTTCTAGGGCGTCAGCAAAGAATTGAAGATGTTGTCGTATGGTCCATCAGGAGGTCATGGTAAATTCATGGAAGATTTTGACCCAGAAAGAAGTGGACGAGAAATGAGAAAGATGAACAGACGGATTTACAGAGAAAGGTGCTACAAGAATACATAATTAAATTTTTGTTGTGTTCATTGTTATTCCTGCATTCTGATACAGCTGAACTGGTCACATGTTATTGCATTCATTTCCCAATGAATGTGAAAAATTAAGCCACGCCCACCGAGGCAAACTACTTTTATTACTATGGAATGTCAGTGAATCCCAATATTTAAAGTCGAGGGAATTTCCTTTCTGCTCACGCGTATCACGTGGTCATGCAAGGACATTTAGCAATACGAATGCATATTCAGTGTCCAAACAACCCTTTGAGACCGAATGCTGAGAAGGAATGAAACAGCAAACGTGCAGGCTCAGTCACCTGTTTTTTTCCTGCTTGCCTCAGTTCCACAACTTGTCTTCAGGTTTCATTTCTGACTAGCATCATTAAACTGTGTCTTCCCGTTCTCAGGGAACTTATGTTTGAATCTGGCGGCAACTGACCATGTCATTTGAAACAGCTGTCACATAATTCTGGACATATTTGTTCCGGTTTGTTACAGTCTGACCGTTGCAATTCTTCTCGCCTCTTTCCTTGATTGACAGGTCCAATGAACATAATTTTGATCTTATTCTCCGTTGATTGGCTACTGACTTTGTAAGTGTGTCAAGTTATGTGCTTAAATTAACAATCACCTGATAAATGACACGCCACAGTATGTATTCCTACACCTAGAATGTTTATCAATGTCGTCAATTTTGTCTGCTTTCATATATACAACTGTTTTTGGTTTAACTATTGTAGATAAAACATGTTTTCTTTGTCAAATTTAATTATAAGCATTAGGCTATGCAGATTCATACAGTTTGCACATCGGTTTTTAGATTCATACCTCAATGAACCGAAAAAAATACAGTCAATCCTTAAATACATTCAATGATCCAAAATCAATCATACTAGTGGTTATGTGTTACTTACACGATGAGTGTCTGACTTGTTTTAAGAGAATGTGTTTTAAATAAGGATTTAAGAGAAAGAAATGTGCAGTATGTTTTCTTTGTCATGATTGTTGGCAGTCAGATAATATAGTGCATGGAATCGGTTCCTGTAGTTAAAACATGAACAATTTTGAAATTTTTTCTCAGACATGTCAGAAGCAACAAGAGAATAATTGTTTGTCCATGAAGAACAAAACCATGTCATATGATCATGATAATTATTGTTATTTTCAGTGTTCGAAAGAACCAGCTGTATGATGAGACTGGCCGCTTGTTCGAGAACAGCAAGGATCTGTGTGACTGTCTAGAAGTTGACTGTCCAGGTTGTCATTTTCCCTGTTCCAAGTGTGGATCTGAGAAGTGCGGATCTGAGTGCCGATGTAATCGCAAATGGGTCTACGAGAGTGTGGAGGTTGAGGGCACAGACATTGTTATCAAGTGGCCAACATGAGAAGATTCTTTTGTGATAAGTGTTCAACAGTTTGCCTGAACTTCATAGTGTCAAAGAAGAAATGTTGTGTTCTGTATGTGCTACTGCTACAAGGAAAGGCCCAAACTGTTAAGTGAGCATGTTGCAAGCCTTCCACCAGTTTCAGTGAGAGGTTTATTTCAAGTGTTAATTTTCTTAACATAATCGATACCTCTAATTACCGGTATGCACTTTACATCCGTTTGAAACAGGTGAAGTGATGAATATTACTTTTACATTTGTACTTGAATTAGTTTGAAACATTTGTGTATGTATGGACACTTTGTATGGCCATTGTGTTGGTGTGTAAATCTTTGAAAATCATAAACCATTTAACCCATTTAATGATTTCATAGCCTCTAGTATGAACATTGGATAAAAACTGCTCAGCACTTCATTCTGGCAATATCAACCCTCAGGTTTTGAAAATGACTATAAACACTACATTTTATGAAAACATAATTATGTATGTTATTAACTTTCCTACCCACAGATCTGTATTAAATTTGTGTCATGGAAATCCTCGTGGAAAGTTTCATAATAAATCAGCCTCACTGAACTTTGATTTGCAACTGCAACTGTTATCTTTTCTCAAAGGAGGACAGCTGAGCACAGATTCCTGGTTGAGACTAAAAGCATATTTGTTTCTATGTATGTTCAAGAGTTAACTGAACAGGTTAATTCAGATGGTAATTGAATTTACTGCAGGTGCCTACTTGCTGGAACAGTTTAATATTTTCCTTGAAAGCCAAAGCATCACTAAAAAGCCAGTCGTTCTACATTCAAAATTCCAGGTCTCCATTCTAGGCTTGATTTCCTTGTAAGCACATTGCTGTGACTAGGACATTACCGTCATGGTTGTTGCAGCACAGTTACGTCCCCTTGCACGCAGTGTATCTTCAAAACTTGATGAATCGTCTATCTTGCCTGGAGTTGTTAATGTTACCAGTACTCATGAATTAAGTAAGGATAAGATATATGGATGAACAGCTTCTTTATCATGTTTATTCCAATTAGGAGTGACGTTTTGGTGTAGGTTCTAACACCGTTTTCAAGCAAGAACCTACACTGAAAAGTCGATCCTAATTGTAATAAAGAAGTTGTTCATCCATATATCTTATCCTTACTTAGTACTCCAACTTCAAAATGCCTCTCAAAGAAGTTACTCATGAATTACTTTGTTATTGATGTCAGTTGAATTGAACTGAAGCTGTTAATGGTTTATTTACATGGTGGAAATGAAAGGCAAAGAGATACTGTTTTTGATTAGCACTTTGCATGTTCGTGAACTGAATACATATAATATCATATGGTTTTTTTTTTTCAGAATACATGTTGATTTAGCTTTCATGACAATTTAAGTGGGGTTTATTGGAGATATTACAAATAATTGAGTGTTTTCCATTTTATTCTATTAATGTCAATAATAATGTCTGTTATAACTGTACATGTACAGTTTAAACCAGTGTTTGTGAACTGGTTTGGTAATACTTTTGTTACTTAAGGAATATTTGTTTTTGGTTATCAATTATTAATATTGATTTGAAACACAAAATGTACAACATCCATATATACAAAGTTATAGGGATTTGTTGATTTTCACTGTCTGCGAAGTCCATTGTTCAGTTGTTACAGAAGAAAAGAGGTTGCTAATCATGTTCATGTCTTCATCAAAATTATCTATCCCCGCCCTCCTCACACTTCCACATATCCATTTATTGTGGGTGGGTGGAGGGGTTGGAGAGTTGAGTAAATATATGACCCTCAGTGCTTGTCCACTCACTTGTCTCACGGATGCACAGTTGCTGAAATACTTCTCAGTATTCATTGTTTAATCATAGAAATGTAATCATGTAGATGTTATTCCATGTTGGAATCAGAAATGAAATATGACTTGTAATGGTTGGTTGGTTGGTTTGTTGTTTAACGCCACACTCAGCAATATTCCAGCTATATGACGGCGGTCTGTAAATAATCAAGTCTGGACCAGACAATCCAGTGATTGACATCATGAGCATCAATCCACGCAATTGGGATCAATGACATGCATCAACCAAGTCAGCGAGCCTGACCACCCGATCCTGTTAGTCACCTTTTTCGACAAGCATAGTCACCTTCGACTTGTAATGATCTGATGATTATGGAGATATGATTGTGAAGAATTGCATCCCTTAGTTGCCAAAGACTGTGAGGTGTGGGTTTTTCAAATCCATATGCCAAGATTTAAATATGTTGCTGTGTCTGTCAGCTTGGTCACCTTGAAATTTTAATAGCAGTCCAAAGTCATGTGTGATGAATAAAGGTAGACAACTCTTGGGGGTCTCATGGAATTCTCATGTTGCAGGTGTTTCTGTTGTTTGTGTCAGGGTGTGTATTTTCCAGTACACATTATGTGACATATTGTGCTTTAAACAAGACCGTTTTGTGAAAATATCTGATGGTCTCCAGTAAGGTAAAGTACATTCCTATGTTGTACAGCCAATTGAAATATTGTCTCACCTCACATAAGTGTTTCAAATAAGCGCCTGCCCATAGGCCCATGGCAGGTATATCTCGTGTCGGGCCCATAGTTTCACACGGTTTTACACGGGCCCTTGTGACCTGCAGTAAATTTACTATCATTTTATATGTCACAATAAGCTGCAGTTTTGTTTTTTTAATGAGGGCCTGAAGAGTTTAGTCAGGACCAACAGCTTCTGGCATTTGTTTTTATTTCAAACACTGCCGAACATCTGTGATTGTAAGGAGTAGATTTTAAGGTGTTCATTTTCTTTTATGTGCCACTTGTTTGTTTTTTTGTTATGGTTTGTCATTGAGATCAAAGACTTGGTTCTTGTACACTCTTTGCATCAGTAACCATGGTAACAACAGGACAGCATTTTATCAGGAGGCCAACTTCCAAAACAAATCTTTTAACAGACCTTGCCTGAGAACCAATTGCTTTTATATTTCCACGGAATCCAATCAAAATACTGGAGATTGATGGTATTTTGTGGATGTAATGATTTTGAAGGTGTGATACAGTGGCTAGTTGTACTTGGCTTTCTGTATGGATGCAGCCCTTGCAGTTTGTAAATGATCACAGTGGAGATGTAGTCATTATTATTACCATAACTACCACTCTATGTGAGAACAACATTGTAATAAAATATATGATCTGATATGGTGTTGAGTTTATGTTGGTACAGAAATAAGAAAAACAACCTCACTGGAACTAGTCTGAGACATTTTGTTAATACATTGTATAGTTTCGTGTCCAGATTCTGAAAAAGGTGCACACTATAGGCAAGTCTAGAAGTGAAGGAAACACAGGACTGGGTGACATGTAGGATGACCATGTATGAGAAGAGGCTCAATACACAAGCAAGTAACATCACTTCTGAAGTCTTGCATCATGACCGTACCTGTCTAATCAGATGTTTATTATCACACTTCTACATCTCCCACAAGCTACAAATGATAACATATTTTACAAAATCTGTGAGCATATGTATCCCTTAAAAACTTAACTCACAATTAGATACAATGTACTTCATTTCATCGAAATTGAGGAGATGATTGTCCGTGGGGTCGCCATCTTGTCATCCAAGTTTACCTACATTATAGTTGATGCATACAGAGTACAGTGACACGTCTAAGTAAAACGAACAGTGTAACAAACTCCAGGGGTTATCTATTTTGCATGGAACATATATTAAGGTAGTAGGGCTAGGACGAGTCCAAATTTACTAACTGGGTATCCGATCCCCTATTACCTAAAACATACATTTATCAAATAATCAGACCATGCGTACAAGAAGTTGACTGAAGCGTTATCTTTACTCACACATATACAAGTCTAAAGGAATATGTGTACAGTCAGATAGAGATGCAAACATTAATGACATATAGTGTAACCGCTGAGCTATAGGGAGTTTTTGTCATTAAACAATATATAACATGACTAACCACGGGTCCGGGTAGTCCCATGGGTACCCGGGTCCTACTCAGGACCAACCCGACCCAGGTACCAGAGTTACCTGTCCCAGGCTGAAAAGGTAGTTACTTGCCAACCGAGTATACTGTACATGAGTTACAGTCTGTGTGTAAAATCAAACAATTCGTAAATTTGTCAGAAGTTTTTATGGCCTGGTTCACTTGGGTAGTTTACAAAATCCCTAAATATTTTAGTCATTTTTTAAATTGACTGAAAAATATCCTCTTTTGACAGGTTGACTGATGTTGAATTTCATCACCAAGAAACTGAAAGTGAAAGGATTAGAAGAAAATGAAAGTCAATGTATATAATTTTTGTGTCATTATTGGCATTAAACAACATGTAAACAACAAAACAATATCAGAAACATTGCATGAATTACATTTGTTTAGTTAGTTGATTCTAATCGGTACTGGTTTGGAAAAATAATAACTGATTGAGAGGGGATTTGGGACCCGTCCCATTTACAAATGCTGGATCCGCCCTTGGACAGTGTATGGTCCCAGGTGCACACTCACATTATGCCTATCCTTGTCCACCACACCAGTCTTGTCGCACAGCCTGCCCTAGTCCTACTCCTTCACCTCTGTCAACCTGTAAACTGATGGAAACATCCCTGCCGCACAACTGCTGAGTGTAGTGTCCATTTGCTGCTCTCTTGAGGTTGAGGCGGATGTTGCCATGCTGCTTTTGGATCTGGGTTTCGACCGATGTAGTCAATGGACTCTATGTCAGTTGACGTGTCTACATGACTAGTGTTCGTAGAAACTGCTAAGATCTGATTAAATGAAGTTTAAGGGGCGTCATGGCTTGATCATCTGCAGACACCAGTCGTTCTAGGATCTTGCAGAGGGAAGGGATGTTGAACTCGGTCCAATTCGTGCATCACTACCAAAAAGTGCCTTGATAGGAGATTGTTGAACCATAACGGTAACTTAATGGTACTGTTCTTCTGAAACTGAACAGAGGGAAGTCAAGCGTGCCAATATGTTTCATCTTTAATGTCATTATTCAGTTGCTAAACCGATCCCTGACTTGGTGGCCAGATTTATCATGGACCATCAAAAGATCTGGCCTGGTATACTTTGGATGACTGATGTTGTCAACTCACTGTTGTTGTCACTCTGCACAACAACAAGAAAATGTCTGCAGCACATTTGGAGGTCAATGGTTGCAGTACACAATACTTGGTCAAGTGGTCTTGGTACACACCATATTCCAACGGTATGAACCTTTAGCATGAACTGCATGTTGACCGGATCAGCCTGACCACGGGAACCAAAATCTATAGATAGAATTGGCTTCACCCCTGGTGGTAGCATGGGTACATTTCGTTGACACTGCAATGCACAGAGATTTGAAGGGTTTAGTGGAGTCACCGGTGATATGTGCACACAAACAAAACGAAGACAGAGATGCCAACAGTGAACTATCCGGCGTCCAACTAAAATCTAATTAAACTACTGTGTCACAATAAAGTATACCATAAACTACATGTGATTACAGTGAAGTCAATGTTTAGCTCTACGATGGTCAACATCGCCTGACTTACAATCTCACACATAGTCTATTGTGGACGCTACAGCGAGTCTGTAAATAAATTTTCAGTCAGTTTGTAAAATAGCTTAAATTGCCTAAGTGTATCTGGCATTTTATATATTTTTACAATTTTTGTATAAGATGTTACACATTGACTGTAATACATTCAGCGTTGATCTATGAACGAAGTGTACATTCTTCACATAAACGATTACATTTCGTATGTCGTATGTCGCTTTAGGAAATCAAGCAAACTACGAAGCTACTGTTAAAGGGGAAGCAACCACTGACCACATGATGAGAATATTTCACTTAAGATTCGTTGTACTGAGATAACATTTCTTATCTATACTTCTCTGGATAAGACAGTTAAAACACTCCATACGGAGCAAACCTGTAATAATAATTTCTCCCATTGACCTAATACAGTCATCACGATCCCAGTGCATGCATTGGTACTTTCAGAGAATCCGTAGAAAAAATACTAGATTTGTTTTAGGGGTGTATAAATCTATATCTACTGATGTTATATTGGGCTATGTTGGTAGACAATGTTTCTGTATCAGGCATAAAAGTGAGTGAGTGAGTTGAGTTCAACTTCGCTTTTAACAGTATTACAGTTATATCGCTGTCAGACGACTGGGCCACCCGGCATAAAAGCCGTTGTGTTGGTTTTTGGTGCAGTCCAATATCTATTAACTTAAGTTTTCCCCAAATGTTGTTATGATGTGCTGAGACGTTTTGATGAAAATGAATATGTAAACTAAAACAGGTTATTTCTTTCGTTTGGATTACTCAAGATTGTGCTGATGCGTAAAGCTTCTTGACCTGAACATGTTTTCACAACGTTGTAAAGATACTGAATTCCCAAATTGTCATGGTAAAATCTCCTGTACATATACTTACACGGCTCGTGAAGATCCAGGTAGAAAACAGGTCTTCGGCAAGCATGGGTTGCTGAAGACCTGTTTTCTACCCGGATCTTCACGACCAGTCCTTGTTTTAGCCCCTTATGCCGAGCGCCAGACAGAGTAACAACAAGTACCATCTTTTAACGATTCTGGTATGACTGAACTCCGGACCTTCCGCTCTCCGGACGAACGCTCTACCACTAGACCACGGAGGCGGTCGTGATAGGCAGAATCAATAAGATTGACAGAAATAATCGTCCACAATCGTCCATTAATCTTTGGCATCATGTCAAGACATCTTTTTTCTAATACTTCGTATAACATTATTATTTCATGATCCCCTACATTTTTTATAAGAGTATAGAACTCCTTTACATCAGAGCTATCTAATTTTCTGTTACATTCCTTCTCGGCCTTCGGACTCGCCTGCAAGTTTTTTTTGTGGTTATTATTATAAATTACATATGGTCCTGTGATTGAACATTTATATTACATTATCCCTTACTATTGTATAAGAGTAAAAAACGTCACTACTTCTTAGCTGTCTATAAATTCCTTTCTTATCAGCAAAACACGAATTGTAGTATTGAAATATTATAACGAACGTACAATTATTATTTTCGAGGAAAACATTTTCGACATACAAAATATTTATTTATGTTTCCACATTTTTCGGATTCCATACTTTTAAACATTTAGATGAGAGTAGCGCCCTCTATGTATGGAGTAGCAAGATGGGTAGGGATCCGGTGCTATTCATAGAATGGTGATTGTGAGTGGAAAATTAAAACACATACACACAAAAACATGGAATCATTGATGACCAACAAAGTGATCCCCTCCAGGGAACATGTGAAACGTGTGCAAGAGAGTGCAGTCGTAAACGGAAAACAAAGTTTGCAGACAGCAAATGAAAAGAAGGGAAACAACTCTTCTCGCACTGAACCAAGAAGGTCTTCACGTCTTGAAACCACCGGAGTTAAAGTATGTTGACAGTTTCCATATGAAAATAAATATCGCTAAGAATAAGGTTTATCGTAATACCTTCATTGATTCACGATGTACTTGTGGGGTATCGCTTATTTTACAGCGACCTCATACCTAACTTTGGGATTCTATTATGCATTTTGTTATGTCATACATTGAATCGTTTTCAATATTTTGTCAGTGTTGATAGGATTTCTTACCAGCCCTTAACGAAGTTGGCGGGATGTGAAACAAGCTTTGATGCTATGTCCGTCAATATGTGACATCTGTGTGCATAAACATTTGTGTTTCAGGCTTTGTTAATATACCCTTCAACTTTATTAGGTCTTCAGGATAGCCTTCATGAATAAAATAGCATCAGATCTAGGCCCTATATCATACACAGCGAATGTATGGTTGATCACAGGACCATTTAACTACTACTACTACTAATAATAATAATAATCAAAATTGCAAAAAAATTGTAGACAAGGCCGGAGGACTTCGGCCTCGTTTTTTAGTTTGTTTGTTATTATTTGTTACATGGTCCTGTGGGTTGATGCATCCACCAGACAATGTTTTGGCTAATTTTCACAAAGGTCATGGTCACCTGTGATCATAAGGTTATAATGCATATTATCTACTTATTTGATCATTGTGATATGATTCCTGTGGCAGTTCAATGATATACAATAACTATGCATGTTGGTTTCACAAATATGGCTTACATTTCCATTGCCTGAAATGTTAAAGGGAAACAACACTCCAAGTTTGAAAGTATTGAAATATGGATCAATCTTTTTGGGGGTGGATTCAACATTTGCTTATTTTGGACTATGACATCGACTGGTTGACTTGTTTTTGGCGCTATTCTTGCTGTGCTGTGATGCACAAAGCGACTCCTATTGGAGGACTGAAGAATAAGAAGCCGTACATATACAAAATACAAAGGATATACAATAAAGAGCTGTAGTCAAACTGACATGTGTTTTTGTTGTTGATTTATACATATGGGACTTGAAAGGATGACAGTATCGATCAACATCATATGCACAGTCAAAAACTACGTCATATTCCTTAAAGGGGCACTGATCTAACGCAATTCCCCGGGACTGGTTGTCGCCTTTGTTATTGTTTTTTCCCAGTGAGTACCCGGATGTATAGCAGAAATCTAGACTAGTTCGCGACCTCTGCTGCGCCATTCGTAAGCGCATTAGTCACTTGTATGGGTAGTAATATAGAGGGCGTATGGTCACATTGATCAACAAAATGAAATACAGTTTTGGAGATAATAAGGAAATGTAGGTATCTTTGTTGTTAGCATCGGTAATGGTGACGAAGTTTTGATAAGTCACTTGCTTGGTAATTTTGCGATTTTCGTTTACACTATTTTGACTTGCAACACAAAGTAAATATTTCACCTGAGCATTGCTTTTTGATAGTGTGTATATTTTTTACTGTCAAAATGTGTAACATTTTCAAATTTATTCAACGCCTAAATATTCAGTTATTTAACAAAGTGACTGAAAAACATTTCCATCTGTATTATTATGGTAACGAATTCCAAACATTTTGATGTTTAATGTCATCACCAAGAGACTGAAAATGTTACGTTGAAAAGTACATTTCTATGTTGTTTGGCTTCTAATCCTACATAATATACTGATGTGATGTCTATAGGCCCTTTTGATCGTCTTAATCAATCTGGACAGATTTTTTAGTCAAAATTACTGAAATATTTACACATTTTATAAAGTGCCTGAGAGCATTACATTTTACAAATTGACGGTAATATATACACGTTTACAAGGGAAAAGGCCTGTGAAAACAACGTCTATCGCGCATTGAAGAATTTCCCAACCAAGACGTGAGAAACAAGGACGAATCGGTTCAATGCTACAGCAAATGAAGGAAAACAAAATGCAAATACCACAATTACAACCTACCAAATTTATGTGTATAAATTTTAGGCAGCTTCCTTGTTCAAGGAATGTATCCGTGAATATCCATTCGTCTGCAGCTGTACAAAGAAACCTATTCGATGTCACGTGTCTCTGTAACAATCACATATTTTAAAAGATATATATCGTTTCGGGATATTATAACCCGTGTTCGTTACTCAACTGATCACTTGGATTGTTTCAGGTGTTTCACATAGGTGTCAAGTCTCAAGGGTCAGCTGAGAAAGCCCACGTGACAACTATTTTCATAACGTCCACGGTTCCTAAAAAATCCATTGAGTGATAGATAACAATGAGCAATCAATCAACATATTATCAGTGAACCCTTTGAACAAAGTACGTTGTTTTTACATCGGCACTTCACGCAAGGATATGTGTGTATTCCCTTTGTTTTAGTAAACCTAGACATGTAAACACTCACTTTTGACATATCCACTGTGCAAGATAACAGTGATTAATCAATCAACGTATTTTCTGTTAATCCTTTGATGACTAGGAACGATCCGTTGATTTACAAAAAAAAGTAAATCAACTGATCATTCACCTCTTGCTGGTCTGCCACGTGCATATTACATTACACACATTTCACCTCACTTCAAACCTGGATTTAGATTGAATAATTACCCCAGACACAATAAATGCCAAATGGGAACCTTTGTCAGGTAATCTATTTGGTGCTACCACTAATTGTACCTGTAATAAATTCATTAACTGAGCATCAAGTGAATGACGACAAATACACAAGTGTAGGGTTATGCGAGAAAACGTGGATGACAACAAGGGAGTAGTAATCGTATTATCGACGCAATCAGAAAACCGAAAATGCTTTCACTGCATGGATACTTATTTTAGTGTTAACTATAACCATCTGGGGTATTTCCAAATGACGACATCCGATGAGCTCCGCCGTTCTTTTTGTCTATTAGTTTAGGCTGAAGAAATTAATTAACATGCGCCCTTTGTCGAAATGCGTAAAACAAATATTGCCTCCAGCCTCCAAGTTTATTTAGCTGTCCTTGCAGACGGTAGCCCAGTCTCTGGTCACGCTCAGTTGCGTTGCGTATCATCCGGGTACTCACGGGGGAAAAAACAATAACAAAGGCAACAACCAGTCCTGGGAATTGAGTTAGATCAGTGCCCCTTTAAGAGAATTCAGGAAACAAACAGGTGACAACAAACTTGGTCAATAAAAAAGTTTGCGATAAATTATCACCAGACATGATGAATTACCATTTAAGTTGTATTTTCTGTTTTGATAGACATTGTTTTATATGCAGAACTAAAGATTACAACTTGTATTGTTTCATAAGCTAAGCTGGAAATACCAATCACCTGTAGCACCTGCAATATATACCGGTGATTTGGTTATTATAATTTAATAATACATAATAATAATATAATTTAAAAGAATTTTGATGCAGTAATCAGATGATTTGTATCTGAGACTTTTATTTTATCAGAAATAATATATTCCAGTATCGAGTTATTTTAGTTGCAGCTCTTACAGTATATATTTAAAAATATAATAATTGTAAGTGTGGTACTTTGGAACAAGTGATTGCCACTGATGGATATTTGTTACGTATGGGACAATTTGATCAGTCACCCTTGAGGTCCCCCCCCTCCATAATTCCTGCTTCAGCAAATGAATGAAATCAAAATGCGAATGCACTGCCATGTGCATATTATACATTCACCACATCAGGTCTCAATTTATAACCCAATCTTAGATTAAATAATTTCACCAGAAAATAGAAATCCCAAATGTGAACCACTGATTGCTATCTATCCTTGACATCCTCTATTATTATTATTATTATTATTATTATTATTATTATTATTATTATTTAGCTTTGTATTATCATCATATGTAGTTCATGGTCTCAAATTATGTATGACTTTATTTTCTTTCAGAATGTGGAATGTGAATTAAAGAAGCTGTCATTTAGAAACCCTGGCAAGTTCATGGAAGACTTTCAGCCTGAAAGTAGTGGGAGAGAGATGAGGAAGATGAACAGGAAATTCTACAAAGAAAAGTAACTGGTTTAGGAGCATTTTGTTGAGTTGACAACTGTGTCAAGACACTTTCATATTTTTCTTAACTATTAAAGGTCTGTCACTTATATCCCATGAGGATTTCAGGTCAGAACAAGTCCCCAGCATTTGTATGAATCAGCTATAATTACACAATGTGTAACCTTGATGAGTGTGTGATTGTACCTCATGATTGTTTCTTATACTGTCAACCACTTGTTTCCTCATTGCCAGTGATATTGCTGACTGTGGCGTAACACAACATTTACTCACACACTTGGTTACCATCACACACATAATCCGCAACCTGAATATCTGATGTGTTTGGTGACGTGATTCTTAATCCTCGATACCATATTCTTTGTCATGTTGGTGGTAATAATATAAGTTGTTGTTGCCCTTTCCTGAACAAATCCATGACAAACTTAACATTTTCAACATTTACATTTTGGGTTTGAATGCCTGTTTCAGTGTGAGGAGAAACCAGCTGTATGATGAATCTGGGATTTTGCTGGAAAACAACGAGGATCTATGTGACTGCTTGGATGTCCACTGCCCAGGGTGTCACTTCCCATGCCCCAAGTGTGGATCAGAGAAGTGTGGAACTGAATGTCGTTGTAATAGAAGATGGACTTATGAACATATCAATGTGGAAGGCACTAATGTTTTGTTTAAATGGCCAACATAATGTCATTGCAGTGTTTTTGAAACATATGCTTGAGCAGAGTTAGGTCCAGTCACTAGTCTGCTAGTCTTAGACTTTTGAACATCTTGAGAACTAGTTTGTCTCTCCCAATACCTAATTTCATTAACCACTAGTCTGAAATTAAGCTTTTGTTAAGTTGGATAAATCTCATGGTGTCTCTCACTGTTGAATGATTGTCTGGAGCTCTATGCTAGTGTTCGAAATTGAGGAGAGCATCCTAGAGTCCTTCAAGTTTATTGCTATTAGTGACCCTTAAATCATTCTATTTTTACAGTGAAGGTAACAAGAAGCACCCCTTGACTTTCATTTTTAATATATGAACACTGTAGACTGTTTAGCGATATTTTACCTTGAAACAAATATCAATCAGTCACACACTAAGTAAAAGATATGGATTTTTAATTTTTTTTTTTGCTTTAATGACTGATACACCGAACACTAATTACTAGTAAAAATTAGTTGTGAAAACTTAATATTATCATCCATTGCGCCATAGTTGACACTGCCAATTGAAAATGGGAGGTGTGACAGGAATTTGGCCATCCTGTCAAATGAAAAAGATGGCTTACACACCTCAGATAAGAACACATGCAAGTATCGTGATACTTATCGGATGGCACAGTTGGTGTATCGTCCCAGCCCTAATGCTGTGCATGTTGTCAACGTATCCAAGGGACACATTGGTCACAATTTCAGCAGACTTACATTCCACAGGCATCATTATAATTCATGTTCATGGGTGATCTCTGTATCACAAAGTAGAACTCATTGCTATCAGTTATCTTTAGGTCATTAATTCATCAATCACCCTTTTTGGAATGATCAAAGCGTTACCAAATTACATGTATTCTGAATGCTGCTGCATTATTGAGAAGTGCCTTATGTGTTTTGTCTGCTTTAGTATTGCCTAGAAATACATCTGCAGCAAGTACAAGTCGTTTGTTGGAGTCTTTTTTAGGAGATCCTTCAAAATTAAAAGAAATTACACATGTTAATTTATCTAGACTATCATTCTGTTCCATTTTGATTATGGACTTTGTAAATATTTTGTTTATGTTTATTATGGCGTTGTTTTTTGTTGTTGAGGAATCAGATGGTCATGTTCTTTTACAGCTTGTTAGAAGCATATGTTCTAGTCATGTATATCTTAGGTCCTACCTAAAAAGGAGAATATTTGTGTCTTTGGCACCTACCACATTAACAATAGTGAAGGGTCCAGGGAACTAAATGGACCTGACCAGTGATGTTGGACTGTTGGACAAGTAGAAGTTTGCCTTTTAGTTGTTCATGGACTGGTTAAAGATTCTCCTGGGACGTAAATGAAAATTGTAACACTACCATTTATTTTGACTACTCAACATTTGCTAAGGCCCACACCTTTAACTAAAGCTGACTATTTTTGTCAAATGTTGAGTGGTATAATGGCTTCAATCACAGATATTCAATTAGATTATAACTTTGCACATTTATGTGAAGAAAAGCAAAATTGAACCGAAATTACACAGTCTGAAATGTAATGTACCCATAAAATTACAGACAAGTAGTCTTCAACTCTGACATGTATGTTTCCTGAGTTTACTTGCAAGAGAATAAGGAAACATTGATAATGTCTGATTTCAACACCCCTACCAAGTTTTACACCTACATGTACACATGACAGAAAAAATGTTTCTCTTTAAACAAGACAAACAGTAAGATTTGTAACAACTTGGTTTTCTTCATTCACTTTTGGGTTTATTTAAGTAGTCTCATTTAAAGTATTTACCTGAAAAACAATTTATTTTTTTACAGCTCACTACACTTTTTTACTTGGATGATAAGGTGGTGCTATCTAGTTGAGCTCAAGGTGGGAGGGCGGACACTCATGTGTTTACAGACTTACCATGTCCTAGTTTGCATGGTGCTAATGTTTTTCCATGGGATTGTTGTAATACATCATGCCAGCTTCCTCTGCCACTTGAAGAACTTAGGCTACTGTTGTTTATAAATATATTTTTTTATTTTCATGTTAAGTAATGCTTTGATAGTGTTTTGTATGTGTTTAGTGTTTATCTGCAACACTATGCACTTCTGTTGCATTGTTTTATTCACAAGGTTGCAAGAGTCAGGCTTCATACTCACTGTTGGAGTGCTTGATGTTCTTAGCACTGCGGAAGTGCATCATGTCATTGATTCTTTACTGAAACAATGGACTAACCAAGTTTGTATCTATTGCTGTTGATAAAGTTTCAGTTTTGTGATAAGTAGAGCTTTTCTAATGGTATGTTGCTGTCTGTTCACCATCTTGTTCATGTTGTGGATTTTGCCACGTACTAACAGATTTTGGCTAAATCTGTTTCAGAACAATAACTACCAAAGATTCATAGCCAATCACATTTGGTCGCATAATATTGCCGAAAGAGAGACTACATTGGACAAACATTGATAGATAATTAGCTCAACTGATTGGAGTCAACTGATCAAGTGAGCTTATGTCATGGCCTGTTTGTTGTTTGTCGTGCATCATAAACATCTCATCTAAAACCACTGGACCAATGAAGCTGAAATATTAATACATGTTACCTCAATTTGTTCAAGGGGCTCAAATCACATTTTTAACATGACCACCAGGGCAGCTATCTTGAAAACCCCACATTATGCCATCACTCAGACATTATTGTTAAAAATGTAATGAAATTTGTTACATGTATCGTTAGTTGTGGCACTCAACGTATGTGTTCCGTTTTTGGCAGTATTTTAAATTTTGACCTTGATTTGACCTTTGAATTTGAACTTTACTAAAAGCTGAAAGTTTGTTAGGTTGGTATCTTTGATGACCTGTTGACTAAATATCCAGGTGAGCTGCAGTGTGGGGCACCGTTTTTTTTATAAAATATTATTCAGGGGTAGTGAACAGTCATAATAGGTAAGATATTGTACACACTGGTTAAACTGGACTATGATGAGCTGTGGATAAGATTACTCTGGTAGAGAGTTTTTATAGTGCTGCCTAATTGTCAAAGTAACCACTGGTTTAAATAAGAGGTGTGAGGTATCACATAATAATGAAAACTAATCTGAAATTAGACATGTTAAACTGATTTGGTGATATTTAATTTTTTTTTATTGGATCAATTGAATGAATGTGTAGACCAGTAGAGCATTATCTGGGTGAATTTCTGGTATGTTTACTTGTATGCCTTCAGTAGGTGTTGATGATGGTACATGGAGAAAATTGGGAACATGAATAAAATTTAATCAAATCCTCTGTTGTCTAACATTGTTGAAGATGTGCCTTGACTGTTCATTCTTTTCATGGAGGAAGAAGTATTGTACTAAAGGCAGCTGACTTGTATTGTATTCTTTTGTCAAATACTGTATTTGGATTGTTTGTCTTCAATTTGTAATTTTCTATGTGGCTTTGCAAACTGTTATATGATACTGCATTAAAATGGATGAAAAGAATTTTATAACAGCGTCAGTTGTGTTTAGCTCACCTAACCAACATATTTGTGATTGATTTTAGCACTGCTTTAACTCAGGCTTACGTTTCCCTTGGAATGAAGTGAAGTCTGACATCTCTGAAACTATATCTCTTGAGTAATAATGTCATGTAAATTTTACATTTTGGGTTGTATCAAGCTGGCCTTTTACATGAAAAGGTTAAATGTCTGTTTTGCTGGGTCGGGACAATGTGAGGATGTGAGACCTCGTCACCATGGTGCACACATTTTAAGTTGCATTGGTCTGGATACGAACAAGGTCTGTTCTTCGCCCATAAGGGATAGATCCCCACATCACGACTTCATCCAATGAATCTGTCGACTTTTTACACGCAACATCAGGTACAGCGCACATGCCGTTTCTGATGCATGCTGATTCGCTCATCGCTCCTTTGAATAAGGAAACGAGATTCGTCAGTAAATCCAGAGACCATATCTGTATATGGTCTCTGATAAACCAAACACTACGCCAGCGTTATGGAAGATACTGGCGATGTAATCGACACTAGGTAAAATGACCCCAACGTGAACGGTTACTGACAGTGTGCAGATATGGGACAAGTATAAGGAATTTGTGTTTCAATGTACGGTGTAGTGAGTGTCCTGTTTCGAAGGTAAAGAATGTAGTGATGTTGGGCAGGGTCTAGATTTTAGAAACAGTTAAGATTGACGTTGTTTGATGACGTTTGGCTTCATTTCTTTGGCTGGTGACCTCCATACTTTACATTTGTTTGTCTGAATTGGCTCAAGTATTATATTTTTTAAGTATAAATGGGTAAATGCACACTAAAATTTTGAAAAGAACATCAGTTATTCTTGTTATTCCTTTCAAAACGAATCACGAAATGCAAAATGTAAAGATTATTGTGATAAAAATATGCTCATTTGATATTTATCAGTCAATTAACGTTTACTGAGAAAAAGGTGGACAGTGAAGTAAAAAGTAAAAAAATATGTTACTTTTTAACTACGATTTAATTATCATGTTCAACGGACTCTATTTAGTCACTTAGAATCAAATATAAACCTTTTAATAAGTCAGACAATCCATTTTTTTTGTTAAAACGAATACAAATACCGATTCGCTGTGCAGAGTTCCGTCCCCTGGGCACGCAAGAAACCTATGATTGTGGGTTCAAATCCCGGTTCGCCCCGTTTATGTTTCTGGGTTTGTCAGCACCATACCCGTGCTCGTGGGTTTCACCGAAGTCGTAAAAGTCCGAGACCTGCATCGCTTCGGGCTTTCCTCCCACATTAAGCTGACACGCCGCGATATAACTGTAATACTGTTAAAATGGGCGTAAAACCCAACTCATTCACTCACTCCAGAGATGAAAACGGACAAGGTCTTACCCTCAGCCTTGTTAGGGTTAGGCTAGGGGGCACTACCACCACCACTGATAGCAGTATGTATTGACCTGGCACATAATGCTTCTTGTGTGTATTTATTTCTGAGGTATATAGTAAACTTGTCATATATCGAAAGCCACCGACTCCATTTTGTCAATTCCAACCGAGAACCGTACGTCGACTTCTTGCATTTAGGAGTATCCAAATAACCATAAGCAACGTGATGCGTGTCTCCAACGCGTTGTTAATTCAACTAGTTTTTCATCTGTCGACTAGGCTTTGTATAACTATCGCAGGAAAACCATCAACTCCACGTGATCTAGGCGTGATCACATGTTATTGGGATCATGTTTACACAGAAGTAAGCCGTGTGTTCCACATTCACATTGAGTTGACCTCAGAAGTCCCGAATCCTCGAAGTTTTTGTGCTGAGATGTTCGGCTATTTTAGGCAACATTGGCCGTATCGAAAGGGGGACAACATATTAACCTCAAGGTTGATGTAAGAATCCCAGGTTTCGGGCAGGTTATGTGGGGCACTGTTGAAGGTGCCCGTGATCATGCAGGCAAGCACTGTTATGCCAGGCCGAGACTCAATACTCTTTGTTTTTCCCCATAGCAAGACAGGGAGGAAAAATGTAATTTCTTTCGAAATTGAATTTTTTTAAAGCTTATAAAACGGTAGTTCACGAATCTACTTAGCAGAAGGACGATCCAGGGTGCCCATTTCCTGCGTATGTATATTTGAATATACTACGTGGTTGACACTGAGACATTGTAATTATTGAGTGCTGTAGTTTCATTTACATGTTGTAATCCTTTGTAACCTGTCCATATATGAAGTAAGCTCATGCCACAAAAATACGGGTAGTTTCGCAACCATGTATTGCTATCTCGATTATATTACACTATCATGCAGTGTGTGTGTGTGCCTGAATATTCGGGTCTTCTCACTGTACGAGGGCTGGTCAAACAGTTCTAAGCCTTACAAACAAAACCAACAATTGTGAAAGTGTTTTTAATTTTATTTTTTAGCATAATCTCCCTACTTTTCCAGTCAGGAAGAAGTTTTCTGAAGCCACCCTGAATTACTAATTCACGGCAGCTTTGAGGTCATACCGGGATATTTCAATCTTTATATTTTGGATGATTTCTGGACATCATCAAAACTTGATCCTTAGGAAACTTTGAGTGGTATAGCATATGAGTAAGGGTAGATATTTTGCCGTAGGCTTGGGTGTTTATAGTGAAGAACAACAATTCACTACATCCGGGTTCAAGGTGATCTGAATACAAACACTGTCAATAACACCACTGTACATACTACCGAGATAAGGGTGAACCAGCCATCAGATAGGTCGTGGTCGGCTGGTGACTGGTGTATGTAACGTAAATACTTATGTCCTCCCACAACGTGAAACTTTGACGGACGTGTCGTGATTAGGCTCTGAAGGTAAGACATGTTTGACAGATGAATACAAGGTTTCGGTAATATTTCTTAGGAAGAGCTGATTGGTAAAACGGGGCCTCAATACGTCGAAATACACTGTACTTAACAGAATGTGTTGACGTACTTATTCATCATGCTAACATACGTGCTTTGCAACATACGTGCTTTACAACTTACAAATAGGGATTGACTGTTTCTTTTCGTCGAGGTGAATTAATTTTATAGTATGAACACAATTTTGATATTGTCAATTTATAACTTAGCAATAGGACATGCACGGTTCACTTTGAATTCATGACATTTCAGCAATGGATAATTACAATAGCTACACGTCCTAATGTAAGATTAGAAAGCCTTGATTTTCTTATACGCTGGAACACAATGCACTGCACCACATCACACATTCTAGTGTATGGCGGCAGGTCATGTTAACCATTGGGTTATATATTTTAAGACATTAGGACAAGGATGTATTCACGTGAGTCACGTGTTCACATGACCTTCGCCTTTACATAGTAATACACAACATAAGCATGACAAGTGCCTGGTATATATTGCGTGTCAGTGTCGTGGAAGTTATAAGGGAGCTCCTACCTGTGCCCGTATGACGTGTGTTCTCCACCGCGCACATACACCCGCTCGCCTACACTGTAGTCTCAACTGGATACTCCAGGATTTACAAGTTTTCTGTGAAGAGATGCTTCGTTTTGTATATTCATAATAATCAAACTATTAGGAAGGTAACTATTACAAACGTCCACACACATATAAGGTCACTAAACGATTTAATTGAGAAAGGATTATTGATGAACGATGTTTAAGCGTATGCATATTTTCTGACGATCTACACATTTCATATAATGATGTGTTTTACATAAAAACATTGATACCCTATTTTCTTAATAGAATAGACCCGTGAAGATCCGGGGTAGAATAGGTCTTCAGCAACCCATACTTGTCGTAAAAAGCGACTATGCTTGTCGTAAGAGGCGACTAATGGGATCGGGTGGTCTGGCTCGCTGACTTGGTTGATGCATGTCATCGTATCCCAATTGCGTGGATCGATGTCAATCACTGGAATGTCTGGTGCAAGCTTGATAATTTACAGACCGCCGTAATATAGCTGGAATATTGCCGTGTGCTGCGTTAAACAACAAATAAATAAATAGATTAATAGAATAACACACGTAGTACACAGCTTCGTGAGCTCATCAGGGACGACCCCTGTTAGGACCGCGCTGAGTGTGTGTTATTGTACCCTTTGTTGTAGAATCAAGGACGTCTTCTGTTTGGGCTGAGAGTGATTTATACACAGACACGTGACGGAAGCAGAGTACAAAACTCCCACCTTACTTCAGCGAGACATCTATGTGTGAACGTGCTTGTCGCAAGAGGCGACTAACGGGATCGGGTGGTCAGGCTCGCTGACATGGTTGATGCATGTCATTGTATCTTGATGTCATTCACTGGATTGTCTGGTCCAGTTTCGATTATTTTCAGACCGTCGTCATATAGCTGGAGTATCGCTGAGGGCGGCGTTTAGCGACAAACAAACACACGAAAAAACTGTGATGGGGAAATGTTCAGATATGAAGACAGTGACACCCCTTTAACAGATTTCCGGATTAAATATTCACTGATATACGGATTAACCTTGAGCGTGTGTGCAGGTGAGCGTGTGAGCGTATGTGCGTGTGAGCGTGTGAGCGTGTGAGCGTATGTGCGTGTGAGCGTGTGTTTGTGTGAGCGTGTGTGCGTGTTTGTGTGAGCGTGTGTGCGTGTAAGCGTGTGTGCGTGTTTGTGTGAGCGTGTGTGCGTGTTTGTGTGAGCGTGTGTGCGTGTGAGCGTGTGAGCGTGTGTGCGTGTGTTGATGGCCGTACCCGGTGGGATCCGGCAGATAATTTTCAAGACTTAAGCTACAGTCACACAGACAATGCGACCGCGATGCAACCTCTTGCAGACTGATTTCCTTTGCGACTGACTGGCGATCGCTGACCTGTGCAACTACTTCTGCCCATATTTGGAATTAGGGTATTATCAATCAGCGATAGGTTTTGTAACTTGTCAGTGATTGATCGGCAACTCTTCACCGCAGATACGGCGAAATGTTTGCTACTGGTTGAAACCGATCGGTGACTAGTCAGCGAATCTTCGGCGACTTGTTGCAACTGATCGTGGATTGGTCGGTGACTAGTTGTCGATCGATCACCGATCAAAACATAATGCATATAAAAAGGGTGCTTTTCTGAATCAAATAATTTCTTTGCAAGTTGTCAAGATGTTACCAGCAGAACAGTTGCAGTTGCTCCGCCTGCAAAGAATAAATCAAAATGCTGCAGTTGCTGCCATGATGACCTATACAGAAGAATGAGGACAAGACGAAGGCAGTATTGACTGAGACCTTGGATCGAAGAAGGCCACAGCTAGGAGACTATGCGAATCTGATGGCAGAGTTGGAGAGAGAGAAAGTCGTGGTGATTTCGTGGGCTACCACAGAATGGAGCCTGTCAACATCGGACATCTCTGGCCCCCTTCCTCATCAGGTATCCGCCTCTTCCTATGTTGAGATGTTGTTGGCTCTGGCTCAATTGTAGCAGACCTGTGCACCACAGCAGTTGGCTCTATTGTATCTTCTACATTTCTGGTTCTTTTGTTTTCCTGCCTTTACGGACCATAGTGATGAATGGAAATAATTGATGTGAACTTTCTGAGTATGAGTAAGGGTAGATATTTTGCCGTAGGCTTGGGTGTTTATAGTGAAGAACAACAATTCACTACATCCGGGTTCAAGGTGATCTGAATACAAACACTGTCAATAACACCACTGTACATACTACCGAGATAAGGGTGAACCAGCCATCAGATAGGTCGTGGTCGGCTGGTGACTGGTGTATGTAACGTAAATACTTATGTCCTCCCACAACGTGAAACTTTGACGGACGTGTCGTGATTAGGCTCTGAAGGTAAGACATGTTTGACAGATGAATACAAGGTTTCGGTAATATTTCTTAGGAAGAGCTGATTGGTAAAACGGGGCCTCAATACGTCGAAATACACTGTACTTAACAGAATGTGTTGACGTACTTATTCATCATGCTAACATACGTGCTTTGCAACATACGTGCTTTACAACTTACAAATAGGGATTGACTGTTTCTTTTCGTCGAGGTGAATTAATTTTATAGTATGAACACAATTTTGATATTGTCAATTTATAACTTAGCAATAGGACATGCACGGTTCACTTTGAATTCATGACATTTCAGCAATGGATAATTACAATAGCTACACGTCCTAATGTAAGATTAGAAAGCCTTGATTTTCTTATACGCTGGAACACAATGCACTGCACCACATCACACATTCTAGTGTATGGCGGCAGGTCATGTTAACCATTGGGTTATATATTTTAAGACATTAGGACAAGGATGTATTCACGTGAGTCACGTGTTCACATGACCTTCGCCTTTACATAGTAATACACAGCATAAGCATGACAAGTGCCTGGTATATATTGCGTGTCAGTGTCGTGGAAGTTATAAGGGAGCTCCTACCTGTGCCCGTATGACGTGTGTTCTCCACCGCGCACATACACCCGCTCGCCTACACTGTAGTCTCAACTGGATACTCCAGGATTTACAAGTTTTCTGTGAAGAGATGCTTCGTTTTGTATATTCATAATAATCAAACTCTCTTAGTTTGCGAGGGAACCTCTTTTCCGGGAAGGTAACTATTACAAACGTCCACACACATATAAGGTCACTAAACGATTTAATTGAGAAAGGATTATTGATGAACGATGTTTAAGCGTATGCATATTTTCTGACGATCTACACATTTCATATAATGATGTGTTTTACATAAAAACATTGATACCCTATTTTCTTAATAGAATAGACCCGTGAAGATCCGGGGTAGAATAGGTCTTCAGCAACCCATACTTGTGGTAAAAAGCGACTATGCTTGTCGTAAGAGGCGACTAATGGGATCGGGTGGTCTGGCTCGCTGACTTGGTTGATGCATGTCATCGTATCCCAATTGCGTGGATCGATGTCAATCACTGGAATGTCTGGTGCAAGCTTGATAATTTACAGACCGCCGTAATATAGCTGGAATATTGCCGTGTGCGGCGTTAAACAACAAATAAATAAATAGATTAATAGAATAACACACGTAGTACACAGCTTCGTGAGCTCATCAGGGACGACCCCTGTTAGGACCGCGCTGAGTGTGTGTTATTGTACCCTTTGTTGTAGAATCAAGGACGTCTTATGTTTGGGCTGTGAGTGATTTATACACAGACACGTGACGGAAGCAGAGTACAAAACTCCCACCTTACTTCAGCGAGACATCTATGTGTGAACGTGCTTGTCGCAAGAGGCGACTAACGGGATCGGGTGGTCAGGCTCGCTGACATGGTTGATGCATGTCATTGTATCTTGATGTCATTCACTGGATTGTCTGGTCCAGTTTCGATTATTTTCAGACCGTCGTCATATAGCTGGAGTATCGCTGAGGGCGGCGTTTAGCGACAAACAAACACACGAAGAAACTGTGATGGGGAAATGTTCAGATATGAAGACAGTGACACCCCTTTAACAGATTTCCGGATTAAATATTCACTGATATACGGATTAACCTTGAGCGTGTGTGCAGGTGAGCGTGTGAGCGTATGTGCGTGTGAGCGTGTGAGCGTATGTGCGTGTGAGCGTGTGTTTGTGTGAGCGTGTGTGCGTGTTTGTGTGAGCGTGTGTGCGTGTAAGCGTGTGTGCGTGTTTGTGTGAGCGTGTGTGCGTGTTTGTGTGAGCGTGTGTGCGTGTGAGCGTGTGTGCGTGTGTTGATGGCCGTACCCGGTGGGATCCGGCAGATAATTTTCAAGACTTAAGCTACAGTCACACAGACAATGCGACCGCGATGCAACCTCTTGCAGACTGATTTCCTTTGCGACTGACTGGCGATCGCTGACCTGTGCAACTACTTCTGCCCATATTTGGAATTAGGGTATTATCAATCAGCGATAGGTTTTGTAACTTGTCAGTGATTGATCGGCAACTCTTCACCGCAGATACGGCGAAATGTTTGCTACTGGTTGAAACCGATCGGTGACTAGTCAGCGAATCTTCGGCGACTTGTTGCAACTGATCGTGGATTGGTCGGTGACTAGTTGTCGATCGATCACCGATCAAAACATAATGCATATAAAAAGGGTGCTTTTCTGAATCAAATAATTTCTTTGCAAGTTGTCAAGATGTTACCAGCAGAACAGTTGCAGTTGCTCCGCCTGCAAAGAATAAATCAAAATGCTGCAGTTGCTGCCATGATGACCTATACAGAAGAATGAGGACAAGACGAAGGCAGTATTGACTGAGACCTTGGATCGAAGAAGGCCACAGCTAGGAGACTATGCGAATCTGATGGCAGAGTTGGAGAGAGAGAAAGTCGTGGTGATTTCGTGGGCTACCACAGAATGGAGCCTGTCAACATCGGACATCTCTGGCCCCCTTCCTCATCAGGTATCCGCCTCTTCCTATGTTGAGATGTTGTTGGCTCTGGCTCAATTGTAGCAGACCTGTGCACCACAGCAGTTGGCTCTATTGTATCTTCTACATTTCTGGTTCTTTTGTTTTCCTGCCTTTACGGACCATAGTGATGAATGGAAATAATTGATGTGAACTTTCTGAGTACTTATGATAAAATGATGCTGTAATGCACAGACAGGTCTTTTTATATACACGGTGACATGTTGCAAACCCAACGTAGAATGATCGACGCACGCTTTGAAACCACCTTGCAACCGGTCGACAACCAGTCACCGATGAAGCACCGGTCGATCACCGCCTCATCACTGATCAATCACCGATAGGTCGCCACTAGGTTGCAAAGAGTCAACACCACTGCCGCACAGTGGAAACCAATCTGCGATTAGAATAACACCACTTATGGACCTCTGGGAGACCAATGAAACCTCCGAGCGACCTAATCGGTCGCAGCCAGTCTTTTGTGCATGTTCAAAAAATTAGTTGCGACCGAATGGGTTTTGCGACCGCTCTGAAACCTTGTAGCGACCTCAATGAAACCTCTCAGAGACCACTGAAACCTCATTGCGATTGTCAAATATTTTGGTCGCCAGGAGGTTGCATCGCGGACGATCGCATTGTCTGTGTGACTGAGGCTTTAACGCAGCTTCACTGTAATCATAGGCTTGTAAAACAACAGGTAACCTACGTGCGTATCACATAGCATTATATAGGTGGCGGAGAATGTCGAGTTGACCCGAGTACGCATACTTGCATTCCGCCCCTACATACTTTTGACCTTGATAAGTGCATCGCACAACTAGTCGCTTACTCTATGTTTTCAGAAATTGCTGTTTGAGTAGCACCATGGAGGTTGACGACATACAACAGCTAGTGGGGGGATACAAGCCCTTCCAATTGGTGGCCTACTTCTGTCTGGGGTTCCTGTACATGAGGGGGTCGTGGCATGTGTTCAGTCCTATGTACCTTGGCTATGACCCGGGCTATCACTGTACACCTGCCCCTAACACCACGCTCAACCTCACCATCCCTGGCAAGGAAAAGGACGGGGTGTGGGTGTGGGACAAGTGTCTGATGTACGCCACCCCGGGGGAGAGGAATGCCACAGTGGCCTGCCAGAATGGATGGACATATGGATTTCAGCCAGGAGAGACTTCATTCCTAGCCGAGGTGGGTGTGACTGGTGATTAGATAGTTAAGACTTTCTAGTTGTTTTGCTGAAAGCATATTCAAAGGAAACGGAACATTGAAACCCCTCCGAAGTCTTTAAGATGACAAATGATATTAAATAATATTGATGTCTTTTTCCTCATCCCTGTCGACTCAATTTTTATTGTTTAATTGGTCCCCTAATGAAATCTTCAGGATGGCATCTCATGGATTAGCATGGTCAATATAAAATATTGAAAGTGAAATTTCCCTGCTCACTCTAATACTAAATGGCGTTTAATGATCAATTCATTGTTGTTGCCATGTGATCTGCATGGGACATCATTGTGTATTGGCTACCCTGCTCTACCCATTATATTGCCCAGGTGAGGGAGAGGTGAGGACAGGTGAGGGTCCTTGTGGGGACAGTGGTTGCTCGTCACGCCAAAGATCCCGGTTTAATTCCCAATATGGATACGATGCGCAAAGACGTGACTGGAACATTCCCGAGAGTGTGTAATTGTACTCGGGTAAAGCAAGGACCCAACCACTAAAACTCGCTAATTGATCCTTGACAGGCTAAGTGAGTGAGTGAGTGAGTGAGTGAGTGAGTGAGGATTTACGCCGCTTTTAGCAATATTCCACCAATACTAGTATCACGGAAAGACACCAGAAATGGGCTTCACACATTATGCCCATGTGGGGAATTGAACCTGGTTCTTCAGCGTGACGAGCGAAGGCTTTAACCATTAGGCTACCCCACCGCCCTTTGAGAGGCTAATGCTATATCGTGTTTACATACTGAATCTCAACTTTCACTGTTCAAAAAAGAAGTACTTAAAACAGGATTTACCGATGACACTAAATATAGACCCACACAAGAAGGTCCAATCAGCTGAAGTCTTTATACCACGTATGTATTTATAGATCTGTCCTCATCATAAGTCCAGAGGTGAAGATTCAATAGTGTTATGCCCCTAAACATCGCCCCATGCTGGAATATTTGATTATCTGATGTCCTTATATCTAGCCGAAAGGAAAGAAGATTCTAGCTAACTTCAACTCACTCCCATGATGATCCAGTTACCTGAAGACCTCACAGTAACAAATAAACATGCACCCTTTCAACGCTTAGAATTCCACCAACTGCCTATGTCAACGATGATGAGTTACACATGGTTTGGTTTCGACTCTATCCCTACCATAGCTTCGATATCCTCCCAAACAATACATTATCATACCTTCATGTCAGAATATGTGTTTGTTTGTTTGTTGTTTAACGCCGCACCCAGCAATATTCCAGCTATATGACGGGGGACTGTAAATAGTCGAGTCTGGACCAGACAATCCAGTGATTGACATCATGAGCATCGGTCCACGCAATTGGGATACGATGACAAGCATCAATCAAGTTAACGAGCCTGACCACCTGATCCCGTTAGTCACCTCTTGCGACAAGCATAGTCGCCTTTTACAGCAAGCATGGGTTGCTGAAGACCTATTCTACCCCGGATCTTCACGGGTCAGTTACACATGGAATTAGTTCCATCCCGAATGAATATTGCCAGTGTAAATGCATCGTGGAAACATTTTCCTAGTAAAACCCTCCATGGGCATAAGTCCTCCAAGAGAACGGTCACAAAGGAACGCGCTGGAACATACTCTTTGAGTGAGTGTGAGTGAGTTGGGTTTAACGCCGCTTTTAACAGTATTCCAGTTATATGTGGGAGGAAAGCCCGAAGTGATGCAGGTCTCAGACGTTTACAACATACCCTTTGACATAGTACTGTGTTGTAATGCTGGGTGTGTCTGTTGTCAGTGGAGCCTGGTGTGTGACAAGGAGTACCTGGTGGAGCTGTCCACCACCATCTACATGGTGGGCACTACCTGTGGGGCGGTGTTCCTCTCACCCTTGTCGGATGTGTTTGGGAGGAAGAGGGTGATGCTGGCCTGTCTGTGGGCCCAGGCGGTTCTCGGCTTCGGCTTGGCCTGGGTGACTGACTTCATCGCGTACACAGTCATCAGGTTCTTCATCGGCCTCTTCAACATGGTGAGTTGTGAGAGTTGTGTCAGGTAGGTGCCAAACTTGCAAGGACAGACTGAGTCTGCGATGTTTTAGGTGTATTGTCAGTAGACTAAGCTAAGTATTTAAACGGAGAGAGAAATAGCTGAAATATATGTTAGGGAGGGTGATGGATGGCTGACATTCTCTGCTCACCAATCAGTGCCGAAAGCGCAATATAAATGGCCTATTATTATTATTATTATTTTCCTCCTGTTTATCCTACTCATCTATTATGATATGTGCCCTGTACCCATTCGCCACCTTAGCATTGTGTAGGAGCCGGTTTGAATGACAGGGCGCTAAAAATAGACGTTCAATATTTTTTTCATGGTTTAAACATGCCGTGATGACACCTATGCTCTCTCGACAATTGCGTGCCGACGCAAGTACAAGCGGACGCCTTGTAGCATTAGGACGACAAATCATTTATAACAGTCCTGTGATTCGCTCGGTGAATGTAGATCTATGTTGCGTTCAGAAGAGGCATTATCATTTGTTGTTGATTTTAAGCACAAGTAAGTGATCGAGAGAAATTATTTGCTAAATTGATGTTAAGATGTTTGACATTACATATGGATCTCGTGACGTCACTTCCAAAACGAAGCTGTAGTGGCATCCAGGATATTGATCATAATACAATGGAGATACAATAATCAAGGAAGGGTGACCGAAAGCCCATTCAGTTTCTCTCTTACAATTGATTCAAATTCATGACCCCATGTTTCGAAAGCAGTAATCATGACAGTAATTATGATGCTGTTCATTGAACATCTTAATTATGGACGCTGTTTAAGCCGAAGTCAAAGTGAAAACTAAATTACTTCATTGAACTTTTGACAATTACCCCAACATTCGGTATGTTTCAGACAATTGCTCTGTGTGTGTCTGTATTACTGTCCGAATCTTTCGCCTCAACACATCGCCTCTTGCCCGCCGTCAGTGTCCAGTTCTTTTGGGCTATGGGCCTAATGTTGCTGGCTTTGTTCGGCTACCTGGTCAGAAACTGGCGCCATCTTGAGATGCTGATCTCGCTGCCCAACCTCCTAAGTATAGGCTGCATATGGTAAGTTAAGTCGCGTTTTCCTGGACAATGATAATCTGGTAACTGCTGCCTCCCAGGTGATAATAATTCAAAACACAAACGTAGATTTCTTTTTCTTGTTAGATTTATTTTTCGCGTATCTAGCGAGTGTTCACAGAAACTAGTGAGTACCTACTTGGCTCCGATTTAGTTACAACAATGAGTTTGAAATTGTGTGATACAAGTTAGTTTTTTCCCTCATCAGTCTATTATCGGAGTCCGTTCCTTGGTTGGTCTCAAAGAAAAAACTGGACGAGGCCGAATCGGTTCTCCGCCGAGCCGCCAAGATGAATAAGATCTTTCTGCCCACTGATATCCGCCGCAAGCTGGAAGAGGCGGCCCGGGGAACTTGGACTACCCTGGGGGAGCCTGAGGGCGTTCAGGAACGGGGCCGTGATCGGGAACGGTCAAAGACTGAGACAAAGCCAGAATCGGACAAAAAAGAGGGATTAGTGATGTCAGAAGTTCACGAATCCAAACTCACAGCCTTTGGTCTTCTGTGCATACCAAAAATCAACGTTTACTGTTTCATCATGTTCTTTTTATTGTAAGTACTTTGTATGCAAATTGATATATGCACATTTGTGATTGATCGAGAAACAATGAAATATTTGAAAAAAGAGTAAAAATTCATACTTAACTTACATGTAAAACCTGGACGCCCCACATTGACATCATCCTGTAACCATCATAACACGTTTAATCGCTTCTGAAAGTATTATTTCGGTTCTTACGAAAACTAATGTGAAATATGATAATCTTAGGATTGCTCCAGAGTATTGGGTCTGGTCAAGAATATGTTAATTATAGTCCTACACTTGGTAACCTGATGTCAGTATTCATTAGCATAGCTATAACATTTCAGTTTAGCCAACAGTTTGGGGTATTTTGGAGTGCTGTTCCTGACGCCAACCCTGAACGGGGACCGTTTCCTGAACCTGTTCTTGAGTGCTACCGTGGAAATACCGGCGTACATCATCGCATACGCTAGTAACCGATGGTAGGCCGCCATTGCTTTGTATTGGTATATATTATAGTATATAACAGGTAACAAAACGTTCCAAACATCCCCTGACATCCCAAGACCAAATAACATTAGATATAGAGGCCATACCTGTCACAGGAACGTGTCTGAGATCTTGAGTAATATATCTCCAAGTGCTCTCTTGGGACCTGTTGAATGCTTACAAAAAAGTGCTGAAATGGAGTTAATGGTTTTGACCATAACAGTTGGTGATACAATTTTCACAATTCAGGTTTCCTTTGTCCACAGTATCGGCCGGCGAATTCCCATGAGTGTGTTCCTCCTCGTCTGTGCCGCCGCCAACATTGGCGCCATTTTTGTTCCAAGTACTTCCGGTATGGCGTCCTTGAATGGCATAGATCAAATATATGTACAATGTATATTACACGAAGAATTAGAGCTAGCAGGTTAGGTAGGAATTGAGGCCGCTTTTAGCAATATTCAAGTCATAGCCCAGCTTCATGGGCTTCGAACATTGTGTGGAGTGGAAGCTTCGGTTTTTGGCCTGACCAACCAACCCCACCTAACAGAAGATTTTGACGTGGGCAGTCTGTGAGCAGTCGAGCTGATCTCCAGTGAGTGATTATACTTACCAGGAATGTCTGGCATCTTAATAAATTAGGTCTGCCATCTGTCTCTCTTTTGCCACGTTTCTAGGTGACGGAAGTGATATAGTCTGGTTGAAGACAGCATTGGTGATGATCGGGAAGTTTGGCATCACTGGATCTTACTCAACTGTGTATCTGTATGCCTCGGAGATGTTCCCCACGTCCATCAGGTACAGGGCACCGTTGTCTTGTTTATCAACAATTTTTATTTTATTCACACGGGAACACATTTTCATGGGAAAAGATAATATTAAACATCAGAAAGAAGTAGGTGTTTTACTTCCAATCAACAACACCAAAAGAATATGAAAGGTCGGGTACAGCATAAGTATTTGTGGCTTTAACTTTATTGCAAGCATTCAGATCTGAACTTCAGTTTTGCTAATATAATTTTATGATGCTTACTGTACTTCAGTAATATATCTGAACACACAAGACAGATTTTTTCGTTGGGCACTATGAACTGTTTAGAAACGTTGAATATGTATAAGCTTGGATTAAGACGGATATTCATGATTTATTAACAACCTAACAATAGTCGACTGCAGTTACATTTAATTCTGACGATACACTTCCATATGACATATCTTGCCAACAACTCTGCTCCTATAAACTGATTGATGATGCCTCTTGCAGGAACCACGCTCTAGGAATGTGTTCTTTTTTTGAAAACATCGGTAGCACGGCAGCCCCTTCCATGGTAATAGCGGTGAGTACGTTCTAGTCCTCATGTGAGCTTAATTTCGAGGCGTAGAAGTGATTCTAAATGTACCACCAGTGCCAGCAATGACACCATGCAGTATAGCCCACATCAGGCCCAGAATTTCAGATAGGAACTTCTCTCCACCAGAAGTCGCCTTTTTCACACATTTTTAATAGTCCGCTTTTAGCAATATTTCAGCAATATCACGACGGGGGACACCGGAAATGGGCTTCACGCAGTCTACCCATGTGCGGGTCTTCGGGGTGACGAGCGAACGGTTTAACCGCTAAGGTACCCTCATTGCCCCTATAACTATAACAGAATGTTTTAGCAAATGAAAACAATTGGATAATAATTTATTTATGTTCCACAGGCAAAGAAAATGACTTACCTCCCCTTATCTATATTCGGTGGCCTGACTGCGGTGGGTGGGATGCTAGTGTTGATGCTGCCGGAAACTCACAAGCGGCCCCTCCCCCAGACTGTGGAGGAGGTACAGAGCTGGGGTCGAGGCAGGGGGTATCAGAGGAACACCAAGAACGGTTCCGTGAACCCTACCTTTGTCGAGACAAACTGACAGGAACCATCCTCATATCGATGCCCTCTGTCCAATCTGACACTCTTCTGTTAAGAGGAGGAGACGTTACGCTGACAGTGTAGAACAAATAATTTCACGTTCTTCCAAGTGATGGGAATCATCAAAAGTTTCCTGACCTTTGTGTCAAAGGCGAATCCGTTTGTTGAGAACGCAAAAGAGAGCTTTTATTATTGCCTTGCAGTTTGAAGAAATGTTTTAGAATGTAATGGTCTCTACTGAAAAATGGACCCAGATATGTGATGCTATTGCAAACATGACATTGACACGCACTACTGACCGGAACGAGGTTTTGTCGAATGATTGACTCGGTTCGGTGTTCAACGGTCTCAAGGAAATGTGACAACGGAACATTTTGTTTTATAGAAAAGCAGATAAAGAAGACGCTCCCCTTGAAATAAATGGCAATAGAATAGAAACATTTTAGTGGAATACTATACCAGCTGATGAACATAACAGGAGGACAGTGCATGGCTGTTCGTATTTTACGCTGTTTCATTCATGCGTTGTTTAGTGAGTGAGAGAGATGTAACGCCGCTGCAACAGTTATATCGTGGGTGGTGCGTCAGCTTGATGTGGGTGAAAGGCCCAAGGTGATGCAGTCATAGACGTTTACAACCTGTTCATATGCACAACATTTAATAACGTGAGTAATTTTACACATGTGTAACTATACATACGTGCGTATATGTAAATTTACTCTGCGTTCACATGAAAAGCATCTTAGGTGTGTAAATATAGTATGTAAATTGTGTGAGGCACACATATTCGTCAGTCTGTTCACGACTTTCAACACAAACAGGTTGTTTTCCAATCAAAGTTGAATGAGAAGAGTGTTACTTCACCGAAAATTTTCGCGTGAAGCAACATGTGTTTGTTTTCATTTGTACAAAGTTTTGACTCCTTGAAACCTTGAAGAAAACACCGTCCGCTCAACTCTGTGTATAGACGCATAAAAGTTGGCAACTGTTGACAACTGGTTTGGTGTTGGCAAAAGAAGAGATATTAATTAGATCATCCTCTTACGTTGACATAAACGTTCACATTGCAACATATACACACAGTGCAAATTTACATTTACATTTGCACCTGCTCCAGACATGATGCAGATTTGCTTCTGGTGTAAATATACACACATGGGTAAACGCGTTAACATGACAAGTATACTCATGTATGTATTTCTACACACGTATGCACATATACAGACATATGTATAGAGTCGCATGTGAACGGGGTATGCCACTTTGTGAAACTCAAGAGCAGCTGCTAGCACGGATCATAATTAGGGCGACTCACCATGCATCCCGTTCACATTTATAATTACTCACGAAAGTCATTTTGCACATAACTATACATACGTGTGCATATGTAAATTTACTATGCGTTCATATGAATATTAACTAAAGTTTGGAAACTTTATTAACTAAAGCATGTCAATAGAGTGACGCACACGTGTTCATCTCTCTGTTCACCACTTTCAACTTGAAAGGCTGTTTTCCTCTCTTTGTCTCTTTGTTGTTTAACGCCGCACTCAGCAATATTCCAGCGTTTTGGCGGCGGTCTGTAAATAATCCGAGACAATCCAGTGATTGAGTGTGTGAGTGAGTATGGTTTTACGCCGCTTTTAGCAATATTCCCGCAATATCACGTGGGGGCACCAGAAATGGGCTTCACACATTGCACCCATGTCGGGAATCGAACCCGGGTCTTCGGCGTGACGAGGGAACGCTTTAACCACTAGGCTACCCGACCGCCCCTCCAGTGATTGACATCATGAGCATCGATCTACTTAATTGGGATACGATGACATGCATCAACCAAGTCAGCAAACCTGACCACCCGATCCCGTTAGTCGCCTCTTACGACAAGCATAGTCGTCTTTTATGGCATCCCTGTTATGGGTTGCTGAAGACCTATACTACCCCGGAACTTCACGGGTCGGTTGTTTTTCTATCAAAGACAGATGAGAAGAGTGACCTCTTCGTTGAATTGGAAGAAAGACAGAGTCAACTTGGTGGGACAATGTAGAAAAGAACATCTGATAATGACCGTGAATGGTACGCACGTTTTCGCATGGAGCCACATGTGTTTGATGTAATCTGAACACAACTCCTTGAAACTAAAGACAACTCTGTCCACCCATCTCTGGACGTCGGCATTAACGTTTGTACTGGTGTAGACTGAAAAGCCACTTTGTTTGTTGTTGGCAAATCAACAAAAACATTAATGAGACGTTGGCATAAATGTTCACGTGACAACATGAACGTACAGTGCTAATTTTAGACATGGGGTAAAGTTGCCTCTGGTGTAAATACTTAGTATACAGACGAGTAAACGAGTTCACATGTCAAGTATACTCATGTAAGTATAATTACACTTATTATGGCTCAAAGTGAGATTGACCAATCAGAGAGCAGAACTACTGACCCCACATGAGCCCGTATTCCGTCAGTAAAAATCCAAGATGGTTGTTACTGACCTAATATAAGACTGAATATCGTCAGCCATTTTGAATTTTCCAACACCCACCTCACATATTTCACATGGAAATTCTATACAGAAATTCGTTATTCGACACTGTTTTGTGTTTTAATATAATTATATTTGATGTGTAAGGACGTTAATGTTTTTTGGATCACGTTCGAGACTTTAATAAAGATTATATAACGTTAAAATTATCAACAAGGTCTGGCCTCTGAGGTTTGAAGAGTAGTCTCCCTTTGACCCTTAACGTCTTAGGTTGTAAGTGTTTTGAGGTTTAAGTTTTGCCATGACATGTGCGACAAAGATACCGAATAGTGTAAACTTTTCGGCATGACGCCTCGCCCAATATGTTTCTGCTAACCTAATATGACACTGTATACGGCAACTAAAGACATCATAACTGATAATGTATGCAAATGTACATACATATGTATATGAGGCGTCCTTACTTATTTTTGTGTTTCTCATCTCCAAGGTTTTCCCAGAGGTGAGGCGGGCGGGCAGAAAAAAAACCTCTTTGCGGAGCATGTTGTCACGGCTTTGACGATCTATACCTAATATTTGACACTTTAAACATATGTCTGGTCGACTATAGAGAGCAAGATGAACCCAGAAACCTAAATTTAAACACATTGTTGAAGAGATTCTAAGAGGAAAGCACTTGTAGATAAAAAAGAAACCATCCCCATAAAGTCATATATGTAATTAAAAAACATTCTTACCGTTGACCTATTGCAAGTTGTAAAACATAAAACACAGGTTCGAAACAGTTGTAAAGTCACTTAAAGTTTAAAACAAATATGTATTTGCTGACATGCAGTCTTGGGCAAAATGGAGCCGGTTACTTTATTGTAAATTTACGAACAAGGCAAATACTCCACACAGGTTTAGATCCTGATGGTTTCTTAAATTTGTCTTTATTCATAAATTAGAATGACAAATCGACCTGATCTTGTAAACTGAAATTTTACAACGAATAAATGCAAAATATCCTTTTCTTAGTGAAACAGATTTCATTTAAAAGGGCTTTCGTACAATAGGGTTATATTATGAAATGTTTGTTTTACATTTACCCAGCTGAAATGGGACACCTCCATTCAACTTAGTAACAAATACATGTCACGGATGTCACGCAATTCCAGAACAATTTCATATTATAAGCATTGATTGAACAGCATTTTTCTGCAAATGAAACATGAATCAGAATGTCTCTAATCTTCTTGAAATAAATCATAACATCGAAGCACGCACGTTATTTTTAATCGTGGTCACTGCCCGGTACGTTTTGGCTATAGTATCGGTTTCGTATATACATACATGAAGTATGAAATGACATAATATACGCACGAATAGATGGAATCACTGTAAATGTTACCAAATTGGCTCACTGCAAAGTGAACCAGACGTATAGGTTGATGAGGGAAGCTGGAACAGTCTGTGTGTTGGTTGGAGTCAAGCTTTTGCAGGCAACGTCAGAAAAACAAAAGATTAAGTAATGACGCCCTTACAGATGCGACTGTGAGAAACGACTTGCAGCCTGAGGGACTAGGCCGTCCGAGCTCTAATTTCTGAGAGAGTGGCACCGATTAATGTTTGTTTGCATGTTATCATTTAAAAAAAATATATATCAGAATCATATTTGTTAGTATTATTTTTACACCCTCATTCTCAAAATCTCCGAGAAGACGAATTAAGAATTATATGTCCCGATTGAAGGAATGGTTGAAGTCTCGAGCCTTTGGCGAGGGGATTTGCATAATTCATTCACGAGTAACAGTTAATAATTTCGAGTTGCGAGTAGGTTAGGGTCACTCACTTACTCATCAACATGGCTGCTGTGCAGTCGGATCCAATGTAGGCCTCATAAACATGGCTGTACAGTCAGATCCAATGTAGGCCTCATCAACATGGCTGTACAGTCAGATCCAATGTAGGCCTCATCAACATGGCTGTACAGTCGGATGCAATGTAGGCCTCATCAACATGGCTGTACAGTCGGATCCAATGTAGGCCTCATCAACATGGCTGTACAGTCGGATGCAATGTAGGCCTCATCAACATGGCTGTACAGTCGGATGCAATGTAGGCCTCATCAACATGGCTGTACAGTCGGATGCAATGTAGGCCTCATCAACATGGCTGTACAGTCGGATCCAATGTAGGCCTCATCAACATGGCTGTACAGTCGGATGCAATGTAGGCCTCATCAACATGGCTGTACAGTCAGATCCAATGTAGGCCTCATCAACATGGCTGTACAGTCGGATCCAATGTAGGCCTCATCAACATGGCTGTACAGTCAGATCCAATGTAGGCCTCATCAACATGGCTGTACAGTCGGATGCAATGTAGGCCTCATCAACATGGCTGTACAGTCAGATCCAATGTAGGCCTCATCAACATGGCTGTACAGTCGGATGCAATGTAGGCCTCATCAACATGGCCGCTGTACAGTCAGATCCAATGTAGGCCTCATCAACATGGCTGTACAGTCGGATGCAATGTAGGCCTCATCAACATGGCTGTACAGTCGGATGCAATGTAGGCCTCATCAACATGGCTGTACAGTCGTATGCAATGTAGGCCTCATCAACATGGCCGCTGTACAGTCAGATCCAATGTAGGCCTCATCAACATGGCTGTACAGTCAGATCCAATGTAGGCCTCAACATGGCCGCTGTAGGATCACATATAGGTGTCATCAAGGGTGGGGAGTTTCCTTTGTTCCCTGGTTCCTGAGGATATCAACAGACAAACCACTCCTGACTGATACCAGGCCCTCACATATATGGATGTCCATTACATAAATGAATGAATGAGGAAAAGACTCCATTAACAAAAGTGTGCAAAAACTTTATTCCTCTTTCAACATATATATTCCACATTTATAATTAGACATGAGCAATAATTATTAAATACATAAGAACTTATGAACTTATTTGCAATCTGGGGAAAAAACAAAGCCAAGCCAAGTCCCTGTCCCATCTCATCTCCTTCAACCCTACTCCTCAACTCGTTCAGGTGGTCAGGCTCGCTGACTTGGTTGATGCATGTCATCATATCCAAACTGCATAGATCAATGCAAGTGATGTCAATTACTAGATTGCCTGGTCCAGACTCGATTATTTACAGTCTGCCATCATATACCTGGAATATTCCCAGTCTGCCGTTAAACAACAAACACACAAACAAAAAAATCCTATGTTAACCCAAAACAACCCCACTGACTGGACCAACTGTTTGACTCGGAAGACATGGGTTATGGCACACAAGATAGGTAGATGAACATTGTCAATGAACCGATATACAATGAATGCCATGCTACATGTAATCGATATACAATGAATGTCATGTTACATGTAACTGAGATACAATGAATGCCATGTTACATGTAACTGAGATACAATGAATGTCATGTTACATGTAACTGAGATACAATGAATGTCATGTTTCATGTAACTGAGATACAATGAATGTCATGTTACATGTAACTGAGATACAATGAATGTCATGTTACATGTAACTGAGATACAATGAATGTCATGTTACATGTAACTGATATACAATGAAAGCCATGTTACATGTAACTGAGATACAATGAATGCCATGTTACATGTAACTGATATACATCGGATGCCATGTTACATGTTACTAAGATACAATGAATGCCATGTTACATGTAACTGAGATACAATGAATGTCATGTTACATGTAACTGAGATACAATGAATGTCATGTTTCATGTAACTGAGATACAATGAATGTCATGTTACATGTAACTGAGATACAATGAATGCCATGTTACATGTAACTGTGATACAATGAATGCCATGTTTCATGTAACTGAGATACAATGAATGCCATGTTTCATGTAACTGATATACAATGAATGTCATGTTACATGTAACTGAGATACAATGAATGCCATGTTACATGTAACTGAGATAAATGGATGCCATGTTACATGTAACTGAGATAAATGGATGCCATGTTACATGTAACTGTGATAAATGGATGCCATGTTACATGTAACTGAGATAAATGGATGCCATGTTACATGTAACTGAGATACAATGGATGCCATGTTACATGTAACTGAGATACAATGAATGTCATGTTACATGTAACTGAGATACAATGGATGCCATGTTACATGTAACTGTGATACAATGGATGCCATGTTACATGTAACTGAGATACAATGAATGTCATGTTACATGTAACTGAGATACAATGGATGCCATGTTACATGTAACTGTGATACAATGAATGTCATGTTACATGTAACTGAGATACAATGAATGCCATGTTACATGTAACTGAGATACAATGAATGCCATGTTACATGTAACTGAGATACAATGGATGCCATGTTACATGTAACTGTGATACAATGGATGCCATGTTACATGTAACTGAGATACAATGAATGTCATGTTACATGTAACTGAGATACAATGAATGTCATGTTACATGTAACTGAGATACAATGAATGCCATGTTACATGTAACTGTGATACAATGAATGCCATGTTTCATGTAACTGAGATACAATGAATGCCATGTTTCATGTAACTGATATACAATGAATGTCATGTTACATGTAACTGAGATACAATGAATGCCATGTTACATGTAACTGAGATAAATGGATGCCATGTTACATGTAACTGAGATAAATGGATGCCATGTTACATGTAACTGAGATAAATGGATGCCATGTTACATGTAACTGAGATACAATGGATGCCATGTTACATGTAACTGTGATACAATGGATGCCATGTTACGTGTAACTAAGATACAGCGAGTGCCTATATATGAAATAAATACTGTCAATAAATATGCAAACAGATCTTAACATTAACACCTTGTACTATATGACATTAAATTATATCACACATTCAGGAATGTCATGAAAGGGACTTTCAGAAATATATATTGAAATGAAGGCATTTCTCTTCTCAAAACACATCGCTCACAACATCTGAAGTGCCTGCTAATATCCCCAAGTTCATGAAATCCTCGACACTACTGATTGTTTTTGTACAAAAGAATAGAAACATGCATTGTTAGCCACTTCACATGCTATTTAAAAAAGAGGTGCTGTCTATAATAAATAGTAACTACAAGCATTTCACAAATTGTTAGAGACAAACAAATATATGTTAGTGAGTGAGCGACGTCAGTTTTATGCAGCTAATAGGAATATACCAGCGATATCAAGGCATGAAAAGCATAGCAAAGGGGGTCATGGGGCCCTTTACTCCTATAGAAATTGAACCAGGGGTCCCTACAGTTAACATGTGACCAAGAACCCTTTGACCCTCATGTTTAATTTGGAACACCCATTAGCACTATTTCTTTTAAAAACCATCAAAATAGAATTTGAGATTTATGAACTCCAAATAACAAACATATCAACAAAAAACAACAAAACAAAACACCGGCAAGATTCTATGGGTAAAAAATCCGTATCCAAAATGCTTTGTAGCTCACCTGAAGTTTTCAGTACCTTAAGCATCATAAATCAAATTATACATGCATGAAAAGCAACACTGTGCAACTAAAACCTCCCTATTCATATAATACCTTTGTTGAGATCATCAATGCTTTGCTTGATATATTGTCATATATCATAAAAGCCATGATATGAGGTTGATAGAACCTTTGGTTCTGGTACCCTATAAACAAAAAATCAAGAATACATGCCAATACATTATATGCATAACAAATAACATTGTCTATCAACAAAACTAGAGCTTACATATTCCAAATAACAGAATTTTGATTCAGCATTACGTATGAGAGTTTGCGTGAGTCTTGTTTTGTGCCACTGTGAAGGATATTCAAGTTATCTCATGTATACCAGCTTATGGATGTCTGCTGGTCTTTGTTGAGAACGCTGAACGCCGTGATATAACTGGAATACTGTTTAAAGCGGCGTTAAACCCAGCTCACTGACATTCACTGAGAACACTGAACCCTTCTTTTAGGTAGCTATTTTAAACATCTACCTGAGTTTATCAAGCCACCAAAATACAAAAAGAGTGTCATGGTCAATACTACTGCTCCAGAGATACTTGTTTACTTCCTCAAAAACTGAAGTCTAAATCTACCAAAACATACTTCAAGACCTTGACCTAAATCAAGGCAATTTGTTAAGATCCAGGAAGGCCCCAAATCTCGGGATTGTACAAGTCAAAGTCACATTAACCGGCAACAATAGATGAATCCTGACCTTAACGTTTGACTAATCTTGACCAAACCCTCTTCAAAGCAGGGGGCTTTCCTAGAGACGTTTCACACCAAACCTTCTTCAAAGCTGGGGGCTTTCCTGGAGACGTTGCATACCAAGATTAATTATAATTGCATTAATTTTTCTAAGAAAGTGTAACCACATCTTTTTGGTTATGCGATTTGGACAAAGTCCATGGAAGAACAATCTCTACTGTCATAATCTTTGAGCGAAAGTCAGCAGCAAAATAACTGATGGCGTGGTGGTCAAATTCCAAGAAAAACTGACAGCAGCTCTGTTTCACGGCACGGCTAATTAATGCAACTGAGAAAAAACAAGTATCCTTGATGATTTGACTTTTTGTCTCGGATTCTCGGCTGCAGTGCTACACATGGATGATAGATTGACTTAAAATATATTCTGATAAAGGACAATGTTGCGCAGTGAACACAAAAATAGACCAGCAGCATCCTTATTGTGGGCGGAAAGAACAAAGAGGCACATGTCACACATATTTAGCAATTTGGTGAAACAGAATGCTGGCTCGGCTGAGGGTCACAGAGAGGTCACCTCACAGACAGTGTCGTGAGTATTACAGTCACTACACAATGGTGTAAATGTTCAACTCCTCAATCATCAGATTCTCACAGAAAACATCCTTACATCCAGTGCATCAATCAGATCCTCGACTACTCATGATAAAGGATCTTTATATGAAATCAAAATTACAGCAACTTTACATCCACAAAAATAGATATTCTTTCTCATTATTGTTCGTGTATACAAAATAAATAAAATAGCAAAACTCTCTAAAAATAATACTTTACTGTACTCTGCAACAATAAACACAACCACAGGGAACCATTGCAACAGCAACAACCTTTGAAATCCCATCATTATCAGACATAATATAATCCCAAGAAATAATAAAAACAAGGTGTTTGCAGCTACTTGAAAAAACTGCAGCAGCCTCGTCACCATTGTTCACTGCTATTTCCTCCAAGCTCCCAAAACATTAACATGCCATGTACTTCCCCTCCAACAACATAACTTCCCGACCTTGAACTTAATCAAGATAACTTTTAAAGATAAGAAAAAAGAATCCAAGTGTAAGAATTGTATAAAAAAAGTGTAACAGTACTTGCAACCATGTTTGACAATATCCTCAAGATAGGGGCCTTGGCCTTGACCTTGACACATCACAAACAGTTCATGTGGAAGGATAAGGCCCTAGACACATCACAAACAGTTCATGCGGTAGGACAAGGCCCTAGACACATCACGAACAGTTCATGTGGAAGGATAAGGCCCTAGACACATCACAAACAGTTCATGCGGTAGGACAAGGCCCTAGACACATCACGAACAGTTCATGTGGAAGGATAAGGCCCTAGACACATCACAAACAGTTCATGCGGTAGGACAAGGCCCTAGACACATCATGAACAGTTCATGTGGTAGGACAAGGCCCTAGACACATCACAAACAGTTCATATGGTAGGATAAGGCCCTAGACACATCACAAACAGTTCATGTTGTAGGATAAGGCCCTAGACACATCACAAACAGTTCATGTGGTAGGATAAGGCCCTAGACACATCACAAACAGTTCATGTGGTAGGATAAGGCCCTAGACACATCACAAACAGTTCATGTGGTAGGATAAGGCCCTAGACACATCACAAACAGTTCATGTGGAAGGAGAAGGCCCTAGACACATCACAAACAGTTCATGTGGTAGGATAATGCCCTAGACACATCACAAACAGTTCATGTGGGAGGGATAAGGCCCTAGACACATCACAAACAGTTCATGTGGAAGGACAAGGCCCTAGACACATCACAAACAGTTCATGTGGTAGGATAAGGCCCTAGACACATCACAAACAGTTCATGTGGTAGGATAAGGCCCTAGACACATCACAAACAGTTCATGTGGTAGGAAAAGGCCCTAGACACATCACAAACAGTTCATGTGGGAGGGATAAGGCCCTAGACACATCACAAACAGTTCATGTGGAAGGACAAGGCCCTAGACACATCACAAACAGTTCATGTGGTAGGATAAGGCCCTAGACACATCACAAACAGTTCATGTGGTGGGATAAGGCCCTAGACACATCACAAACAGTTCATGTGGTAGGAAAAGGCCCTAGACACATCACAAACGGTTCATGTGGAAGGTTAAGGCCCTAGACACATCACAAACAGTTCATGTGGTAGGATAAGGCCCTAGACACATCACAAACAGTTCATGTCGTAGGATAAGGCCCTAGACAAATCACAAACAGTTCATGTGGTAGGACAAGGCCCTAGACACATCACAAACAGTTCATGTGGTAGGATAAGGCCCTAGACACATTACAAACAGTTCATGTGGTAGGATAAGGCCCTAGACACATCACAAACAGTTCATGTGGTAGGACAAGGCCCTAGACACATCACAAACAGTTCATGTGGTAGGATAAGGCCCTAGACACATCACAAACAGTTCATGTGGTAGGATAAGGCCCTAGACACATCACAAACAGTTCATGTGGTAGGATAAGGCCCTAGACACATCACGAACAGTTCATGTGGTAGGACAAGGCCTTAGACACATCACAAACAGTTCATGTGGTAGGATAAGGCCCTAGACACATCACAAACAGTTCATGTGGTAGGATAAGGCCCTAGACACATCACAAACAGTTCATGTGGTAGGACAAGGCCCTAGACACATCACAAACAGTTCATGTGGTAGGATAAGGCCCTAGACACATCACAAACAGTTCATGTGGTAGGATAACGCCCTAGACACATCACAAACAGTTCATGTCGTAGGATAAGGCCCTTGACACATCACAAACAGTTCATGTGGTAGGACAAGGCCCTAGACACATCACAAACAGTTCATGTGGTAGGACAAGGCCCCAGACACATCACAAACAGTTCATGTGGTAGGATAAGGCCCTAGACACATCACAAACAGTTCATGTCGTAGGATAAGGCCCTAGACAAATCACAAACAGTTCATGTGGTAGGACAAGGCCCTAGACACATCACAAACAGTTCATGTGGTAGGATAAGGCCCTAGACACATCAAAAACAGTTCATGTGGTAGGATAAGGCCCTAGACACATCACAAACAGTTCATGTGGTAGGACAAGGCCCTAAACACATCACAAACAGTTCATGTGGTAGGATAAGGCCCTAGACACATCACAAACAGTTCATGTGGTAGGACAAGGCCCTAGACACATCACAAACAGTTCATGTGGTAGGATAAGGCCCTAGACACATCACAAACAGTTCATGTGGTAGGACAAGGCCCTAGAAACATCAGGAACAGTTCATGTGGTAGGACAAGGCCCTAAACACATCACAAACAGTTCATGTGGTAGGATAAGGCCCTAGACACATCATGAACAATTCATGTGGTAGGACAAGGCCCTAGACACATCATGAACAGTTTATGTGGTAGGAAAAGGCCCTAGACACATCACAAACAGTTCATGTGGTAGGATAAGGCCCTAGACACATCACAAACAGTTCATGTGGTAGGACAAGGCCCTAGACACATCACAAACAGTTCATGTGGAAGGATAAGGCCCTAGACACATCACAAACAGTTCATGTGGTAGAATAAGGCCCTAGACACATCACAAACAGTTCATGTGGTAGGACAAGGCCCTAGAAACATCATGAACAGTTCATGTGGTAGGATAAGGCCCTAGACACATCACAAACAGTTCATGTGGTAGGATAAGGCCCTAGACACATCACAAACAGTTCATGTGGTAGGACAAGGCCCTAGACACATCACAAACAGTTCATGTGGTAGGATAAGGCCCTAGACACATCACAAACAGTTCATGTGGTAGGATAAGTCCCTGTACACATCACAAACAGTTCATGTGGGAGGATTGGTTAACTACAAGCCACGAAAGAGGCTCCTGCTTACAGAGGTTACTAGGTCTCGACACCCGACACTGATATAACCATGGTTACAGAGGTTACTAGGTCTTGACACCTGACACTGATATAACCTTGGTTACAGAGGTTACTAGGTCTCCACACCTGACACTGATATAACCATGGTTACAGAGGTTACAGGGTCTCCACACCTGACACTGATATAACCTTGGTTACAGAGGTTACTAGGTCTCCACACCTGACACTGATATAACCATGGTTACAGAGGTTACAGGGTCTCCACACCTGACACTGATATAACCTTGGTTACAGAGGTTACTAGGTCTCCACACCTGACACTGATATAACCATGGTTACAGAGGTTACTAGGTCTCGACACCTGACACTGATATAACCTTGGTTTACAAAACAGAATGTTGCCCTTAACCTTTGACTAATTTTGACAAAAGTCTTTTCAAAGCACGGCCCCATCCTCAAGTTTAATGGTAAATGCATTAATATTTCGAGGTAAAGTGTAAGCATAAACATATTGCTGAGATATGATATTTTGTGAAACAGACCTTTGATCTTCTCAGGGCATGTAACAAAAGAATGTTTATTGTAGGATATCCTCTACCATGTCTAATGTCAGTCATTGTTGCATCATAAGAGAAAGTATGATACAAATACACTGCACAATTACCTCAGAGGTGACCTTGACCTTTGACATAAATGCAATTGACACGTGAAATGTTAAGAAAGAAACCACTGACAAAGTTCCCCATCCAAGAGAAGGAATATACCAAGTTTAGTCATGTTAGTGTCAAATGTATAAATAATTTTGGATTAAGTGTAACCACAAACCTTTTTGTGATCCTCAAGACCACCTGACAGAAATACTGCACATGAAAAGTCACAGTGGCGGTCAAATTCCAACAAAACTTTACAGCAGTCCTGGGATGCTAATTACTTGATACAATTTGAAAATTATAAAAAAAACCCCAATTCATTATTGATTCCTTGCTTGGAACAAAAAACAACTAGTCATCCATGAAATCAAGTAATTGGTACAACACTCATTTTCACAACTAAAACTTCTTTGCACTGATGGAATGAAGATTTCCTAGTGCACAAGTGCTTTTCTCACAAACTGCTATCCTCAACCACTTCATTTAGGAATGCCACGTTGTCAGTTATTTATAAACATTGTTTTGAAGAATTAAGAAAGAAACAATCACAATGATTTATCTCACTGTAGAATAGTTACAATATTTAAAAAAAATCCTATTTAAGAAAAAAAGGTTTCTGGCTATTTAATGACCAAATATTTGAGTGTTATTCGTCAATAGGAGGTTTCAGATCATAACATACATCTGATACAAACAGACAAACAACATCACTGCAACTTTCCCAAATCCCATAGCTTCTGTTTGTCAGTGTAGCATGATTTAAATTGTTCTTTTATTTCTACTAAGTGATATGAATATTGTATTCAGACATATGTGTATAAATTCCATTGTTTCTAAATAGCATAGCAGTTGTAAATGCGTACAAATATAAAGGGAGTGATATAATTAGACATGTTAAGCATGAACAATATCAAAATAAATATTCTAAAAAGAGATGTTAGTCTACTGCCACCCAGTAGGCTGTAAAGTATAGGGGGATATGGTGGGTGAGTGTCAGTCAAGATGTTGGCTTCCTGTGCCAGCCCTTGAGGCTGTAAAGTATAGGTGGATATGGTGGGTGAGTGTCAGTCAAGATGTTAGTCTCCTGCCACCCAGTAGGCTGTAAAGTATAGGGGTATATGGTGGGTGAGTGTCAGTCAAGATGTTGGCTTCCTGTGCCAGCCCTCGATCTCCTCAATAGTTTCAGGAAGGGGGCGGTGCCGGGTCTCTGGAAGCAACAACACGACACCGGCGCCGATGATTGTCAGCACACCAAACACTACAAAGGGAAGCTCAGGGATCTTCTTTGCCTGTGGATGAAATAACCATCAGATATGGTTTGCAACTGTGTTAATACATAGAGAATACTTCACTCGTTAGATACCATTTATACAAAACGAGTGGACCTCCTATGGTATCTAACCGAGCGAAAGCGAGAAAGAATAGAAAGATCACGAGTTTCGAGTGTTTAAGTTCACGAGTATTCAAGTGTAAATACATAACAACTTTCGTTGCATTTGCGAAAATCTGGTTGCACATGAATATACCCAAATATGGGCATCATTGACATTTCTATGCATACATGATAACAACATGTTCCTGCTGTTGTGTGTGTAAACATTAATTCAAGCACATTGTTGTTAGTACGCAGGTCAACTGTAAGAAAACTCAAAGAGTCAATTAGTGCCGCCCTATGAATTCTCTTAATGCTAGGTCACTTGCACCGACGAGGCCCCTAGCTGTGCAATCAAAATGGTTCGCTTTAATTGATCTATCTGATGAATTTACATCTTGTCCATACAATTTTGGAAGAGGGAAATCAGAGTGCTCGCCAAAGACGGTTATGTTAACTGTATGACGCTATACTGTTCAAACTGTTCACTTTGAGTGATCTCATTGCGCAGTCATGTATGTTCATTCATAACCTACGCTTTCGGAAGCAATGACACAAAATACATTTTGAAGGGGACACTGATGGCATAACTGGAGCATCCAACGTAAGTCTAGATATCTGTCCAGATAGTTTAAACTGACTTCATTTCACCATGCTTAACTTTTTGCGTTAAATCAAAATGAAAGTTGTGAAATTGGTTGGATGCGTCACACTCATATGGAATCCTAAATCTATCGCTAGTCGTACGTTGCAAATGGAAGTAGCTCGATTATATAATGTCTGTAGTAGCTCCATACATAATGTCTGTAGTAGCTCTATATATAATGTCTGTAGTAGCTCTATATATGTCTGTAGTAGCTCTATATATAATGTCTGTAGTAGTTCTATACATGTCTGTAGTAGCTCTATATATGTCTGTAGTAGCTCTATATATGTCTGTAGTAGCTCTATACATAATGTCTGTAGTAGGTCTATATATACTGCTGTAGTAGCTCTATATATAATGTCTGTAGTAGCTCTATATATAATGTCTGTAGTAGCTCTATATATCATGTCTGTGGTAGCTCTATATATAATGTCTGTAGTAGCTCTATATATAATGTCTGTAGTAGCTCTATATATAATGTCTGTAGTAGCTCTATATATAATGTCTGTAGTAGCTCTATATATAATGTCTGTAGTAGCTCTATACATAATGTCTGTAGTAGCTCTATTATATAATGTCTATAGTAGCTCTATACATAATGTCTGTAGTAGCTCTATATATAATGTGTGTGGTAGCTCTATATAAAATGTCTGTAGTAGCTCTATATATAATGTCTGTAGTAGCTCTATATATAATGTCTGTAGTAGCTCTATATATAATGTCTGTAGTAGCTCTATATATGTCTGTAGTAGCTCTATATATAATGTCTGTAGTAGCTCTATATATAATGTCTGTAGTAGCTCTATATATAATGTCTGTAGTAGCTCTATATATAATGTCTGTAGTAGCTCTATATATAATGTTTGTAGTAGCTCTATATATGTCTGTAGTAGCTCTATATATGTCTGTAGTAGCTCTATATATGTCTGTAGTAGCTCTATATATAATGTCTGTAGTAGCTCTATATATGTCTATAGTAGCTCTATATATAATGTCTGTAGTAGCTCTATATATAATGTCTGTAGTAGCTCTATATATGTCTGTAGTAGCTCTATATATAATGTCTGTAGTAGCTCTATGCATAACTAAGATAGACCACAAAGCGAACTTGATGCTTGTGACTATCTTGTTTGGTTTAATAAAGTATGTGTAAATGTCTCTTGCTTTCATGAGATAACTTCATTTCTGCCTTGACGTTGTAAAAGTGAATGACGTCTAGTGATTTTTTTATGAATGCACAAAAAGTACAGATTTAGTATCTTACCAGCTGTATCTTTACTATGTGGGTAATAAAAGACAATAGGAGCTAGTCTTGTTTGTTTGTTGTATTTTTACTATGTGGGTAATAAAAGACAATAGGAGCTAGTCTTGTTTGTTTGTTGTATCTTGTTGTATCTTTACTATGTGGGTAATAAAAGACAATAGGAGCTAGTCTTGTTTGTTTGTTGTATCTTGTTGTATCTTTACTATGTGGGTAATAAAAGACAATAGGAGCTAGTCTTGTTTGTTTGTTGTTTGCCTCTTTTTATTCTCCAAAAGCTGTAGATAGGGAGCTGGGTGATAGGGTCGAGGCTGGACTATTTACTAGAGTGGGAATAGTTTCTCTGCCATTGCTTCAATACATACAATGTTTGCCAGACAAACTAATCTATGCCCAGTATGGAACACATGTATGTGCCATGTGCGGCTTAAAGTTAACATAAAACCTTAATAATAACTTATGGTAGTGACAAACTGTGTTGATAGATAACTGTAAGTTTCTACTGTTAGCAGTCAAAAACAAACATCCACTTACCACATACACTATGAGAGGAGCAGAAATGCTGCCTATATTCTCAAAGAAAGATGCTATCCCAACAGCCTGATTCCTGATCAAACAGAAACATTGATAACAGGTCAATGTACCAGGACAGGATTAAAGAACATGCAAGGGTTCAAACAGAAACATTGATAACAGGTCAATGTACCTGGACAGGATTAAACATGCAAGGGATCAAACAGAAACATTGATAACAGGTCAATGTACCAGGACAGGATTAAACATGCAAGGGATCAAACAGAAACATTGATAACAGGTCAATGTACCAGGACAGGATTAAACATGCAAGGGTTCAAACAGAAACATTGATAACAGGTCAATGTACCTGGACAGGATTAAACATGCAAGGGTTCAAACTGAAACATTGATAACAGGTCAATGTACCAGGACAGGATTAAACATGCAAGGGATCAAACAGAAACATTGATAACAGGTCAATGTACCAGGACAGGATTAAACATGCAAGGGTTCAAACTGACTCACATCAATGAGCATCATGGGCTCATTTGTTTCTCATCTTTACATTTTCAACCAAAGACGAGGAGTGTTTTAACTAACTTATGAACCATCTTATTGTAAGAAGAAAAAGACAGAATGAGAAAACATTGGGATATCTTACAGTGAAACAATACAGTTGTTACAGTAAAAAACTACTGCGATAACAGCTGGTTAGAATAGGCCACGTGCCTCATGACAAGTCATGACATGTAAGATTGAACACTCTTTCCTCACCTGCCCTGGTGGCTCCGTGGAAATAGTATGGATTACAATACTAAACATGATATGTGAGGCTGCATGTTCGATTCATGTTATTGGATTTTCATGTGAAAAGAATTTTAACCAGTTACAAATCAACCTATTGAAAGGCTGTTTATACAATTCAACTGTAAAACCTAGGTCTTACAGTTCAAATGTGACACCTCCAAGCATGTCTTACAATTCAAAAGTAAAATCTGTGAGCAGGTTTCACTTGAAAGTAATATACCTCTCACAAGGTTACTGTGAGATAGCAAGATACCTACAATGCTATAGGCAGAAGTGGAGTAGGTTAATCATGGAAATATGACATAATATTTTCAAATGATATTAGCTAGAGTGATTGAACATAGTGCAAATGGATACATGTGTCAGTCAGCAGTTTTTTATGGTTCAGTACATGTCACCCTTCCAAGAAGTAAGCAGCCCTCTTTTCTTTTGTATTTGGGAACCTCCCCATCTTCCAAGGACCCAGACTGAGAGTCTAAGATAGGACATATGTTTGCACAGATTTCATCTGAGGTAGGAAATGTGTTTGCTATCGACCTGTTTGTATGACTGGTTAATGTAGGCTTGGTCTGATTGGTTGTGCTTATGCAATCAGATTTAGCATTTTGTTCAGTGACAGACGGTAAGCTTATGCTAGCCTGTGCCATCATCAAGCCAGGCTACTGCAAGATGTAGGAAATAATGCCACTTGAAAATACCAAATACCAAATTAAAACTTGAATCAATACATTGGTAGGTAGTAGTGGGACGATACACCGATGCATCGATGGAGCACAATGTTTTACTTTTCGATACAAGTATCGATCACAATCACACACGAAGTAAAAAGTATTGATTCACATCTTAAATGTATTCTTTAATAAATGTTAAAGGGGCACTGATCTAACGCAATTCCCCGGGACTGGTTGTTGCCTTTGTTATTGTTTTTTCCCAGTGAATACCCGGATGTATAGCAGAAATCTAGACTAGTTCGCGACCTCTGCTGCGCCATTCGTAAGCGCATTAGTCACTTTTATGGGTAGTAATAAGGGCGTATGGTCACATTGATCAACAAAATGAAATACAGTTTTCGAGATAATAAAGAAATGTAGGTATCTTTGTGAGTAGCATCGGTAATGGTGACGAAGTTTTGATAAGTCACTTGCTTGGTAATTTTGCGATTTTCGTTTACACTATTTTGACTTGCAACACAAAGTATATATTTCACCTGAGCATATGCTTTTTTTATAGTGTGTATATTTTTTTACTGTCAAATGTGTAACAAATTTATTAAACGTCTAAATATTCAGTTATTTTACAAAGTGACTGAAAAACATTTCCATCTGTATTATTATGACAACGAATTCCAAACATTTTGATGTTTAATGTCATCACAAGAGACTGAAAATGTAACGTTGAAAAGTACATTTCTAAGTTGTTTGGCTTTTAATCCTACATAATAATCTGTTGTGATGTTTGTAGGCCCTTTTGATCGTCTTGATCAATCTGGACAGATTTTTTAGTCAAAATGACTGAAATATTTACACATTTTATAAATTGCCTGAGAGAATAACATTTTACAAATTGACGGTAATATATACATGCTTACAAAGGAAAAGACCTGTGACAACAACGTCTATCGCGCATTGAAGAATTTCCCAACCAAGACGTAGAGAAACAAGAACGAATCGGTTCAAATGAAGGAAAACAAAATGCAGATATCATAATTACAACCTACCAAATTTATGTGTATAAGTTTTAGGCAGCTTCCTTGTTCGAGGAATGTATCCGTGAATATCCACACAAAGGAACAATATCCCACTCGTCTGCAGCTGTACAAAGAAACTTATTCGATGTCACGTGTCTCAGTAACAATCAAATATTTTAAAAGATATATATCGTTTCGGGATATTATAACCCGTGTTCGTTTCTCAACTGATCGCTTGGATTGTTTCAGGTGTTTTACATAGGTGTCAAGTCTCAAAGGTCGGCTGAGAAAGCCCACGTGACAGCTATTTTCATAGCGTCCACGGTTCCTAAAATTTCCATTGAGTGATAGATAACAATGATCAATCAATCAACGTATTATCAGTTAACCCTTTGAACAAAGTATGTTGTTTTTACATCGGCACTTCACGCAAGGATATGAGTGTATTCCCTTTGTTTTAGTAAACCTAGACATGTAAACACTCACTCTTGACATATCCACTGTGCAAGATAACAGTGATTAATCAATCAACGTATTTTCTGTTAATCCTTTGATGACTAGGAACGATCCGTTGATTTACAAAAAAAGTAAATCAACTGATCATTCATCTCTTGCTGGGCTGCCACGTGCATATTACATAACACACATTTCACCTCACTTCAAACCTGGATTTAGATTGAATAATTACCCCAGACACAATAAATGCCAAATGGGAACCTTTGTCAGGTAATATAAGTGGTGCTACCACTAATTGTACCTGTAATAAATTCATTAACTGAGCATCAAGTGAATGACGACAAATACACAAGTGTAGGGTTATACGAGAAAACGTGGATGACAACAGGGGAGTAGTAATCGTATTATCGACGCAAGCCGAAATCCGAAAATGCTTTCACTGCATGGATACTGTTTTTAGTATTAAACTATAACCATCTGGGGTATTTCCAAATGACGACATCCGATGAGCTCCCTTGTTCTTTTTGTCTGTTTGTTTAGGCTGAAGAAATGAATTAACATGCGCCCTTTGTCGAAATCTTTATAGATCACAGTTAACCAATCAGTGTTCAAAAATGCGTAAAACAAATAGTGCCTCCAGCCCCCAAGTTTATTTAGCTGTCCTTGCAGACGGTACCCCAGTCTCTGGTCACGCTCAGTTGCGTTGCGTATCATCCGGGTACTCACGGGGGAAAAACAATAACAAAGGCAACAACCAGTCCGTTTGATCAGTGCCCCTTTAAGCACTAATTACTTGTGAAATAAGTAGTTAAATGAAAATATTTCATCCATTGCATCATACCTGACACTACCTACAGTAAATTATCAGTGTGCCAGGTTTCTGGCCATCCTGTCTATGAGAAGAGATGGCTTAAGCTTAAGAGCACATGCAAGTATCGTGATACGTATTGGATCGTGCAGTTGGTGTATAGTCCCAACTCTATTGGTAGGTGTATTATACATTGTAGCAGTATCTCGAGGGGTGTGTATTATAAGTTGTAGCATTATCACGAGGGGTACATGTGGTTTTATGTGTCTCGCGTTAGGTTTTATACCACTTATTTTAGATCACTTATTATCTGCAAAAAATGGCAGTCATGACAAACAAATCAAATCAAGTTATCACATGGAGAAACAGTATAGTTTTGAGGGGTCAGTGGTTCTTGTAATAAAGATGTTTATTGGCCTTGATGCCACTAACTACACCAGGTATTGGCTAGGCAAGCATAACAGCATGAAGAAATGTGTAACTTTCAAGGTGTTGTCTAAGCTATATTCCAGGGCACTGTATGGCACACACTATTTTATGACATCACTGAAGTCTTCCTGCAGCCTACCTGACAGAGGTGGGGAATATCTCGGCTGCAAGCAGGTAGATCGTGGAATAGGAGCCAGTGATGCCAAACTTCCCTATCATCAATATAGTCAGCTTCAGGTAGGATAACTCTTCACAGTCTGAAACAACACCACAACTATATTTACATTTGTATCATGTACGTCAGTTTCACCAATATTTCACAGAGCACAGCTATAGGCCCTGGACCAACAGATGTGTGTCATTTGGGTGACGTGTAGAACAATTGTATTTCAATGATGCACTCCCAACAAAATACTTTATACACCACAGCCATGTGGTGCATGTACCTCCAGATTTACACAGACACCGGCGTTGGGCTGCGTGGAAAGTGAAAAGCGTTCTTTGCATAATCTGTTAACTTTATAAACATGTGCTATTCATTCGACAGATGTAGGACTCATGACAGCACATTATCAGGATGTTCTCGCAGTAGAGTAGTGTCACAAGTCCTCTATCCGTCCATGAATAGCACGCATGTGTAAAAGTGAACATCTATTACAAAGAAACAGTTAAACTGCTGATATTATTAGATGAATTTAGCTAAACAAATAACTGCTGCTTCTGTTTGTTCAGATCTTTTTCATACATGGATTTCTGTTTATCAATAATTCATATTATGCAGTATAACTTCATGTCAAAACTGGCTGACAGAAATCTGCAAATTTTCTACAACCCTCCACAATTAAGAGCAAAAAGAAAAAAACAGAAAACAGAAAAAAACAGAAAAATCGCAGTTGTTTTGACCTGAAAACTAAAATCAAGAACTGCAAGTGACTATGTAAATTCTCTGTAAACAGACATACCTGCTGGAACAAAGATGGCCGCTATGTTGGTTACCCCACAGATCAACAGGAACACACACACTGGGACTCGACGCCCCAGCCTGGGAACAGAATCACGGACATGTCAGATCACTCTCTGATCATTACCACAAAACAGAACTCTGCTGTCCTTGTTTTGGATGAAGTAGAAATTAATTCCATGGCATTTCATTTGCTATCCAAGCAATTTGTTTTGCATTTCTACTGTTTCCGGATAATAGACTGGACAGGGCTTGTGTTGCATTGACACCATAGCTGGATCATTTAAACCAAGTTCAATTCTAGTCCCATGAATTTAACACAGTTTTGCAATAACCAAGTCTGATAACTGCTTGAGAAAGCATTTTCATTATACATGTCACCTATCAGTTAGTAAAATAATAAACCTGATTGCATAATACTATAACATGTTAAATACAGACTAGTTGCTAGCAGTAAACTATGTATTCGGGCTGGGACAGTTAACTCGGGTACTTGGGTCGGGTCGGGTCGAGTACCCACAGGACTACCCGGACACGTGGTATATCATGCGAAATATTGTTTATTGAAAATAACAATAAAACTCCATGGTTCCACTGCAGGCTTCTAATCTCCACATTTCTTTCTGACTATTCAGTCCTCTATCTATCTTTGATTAAAGATAAAGCTTCAGTCAACTTAAGTGTATACATGATCAGATAGTTTGTTACATGTATCTAAATAGTTTTGGCCAGGCCCATGTAAAACAATTTCCAATCAAACATTTTGTACCCAACTCAACAGCTGGTGCTCGGGAAGGGTCAGGTAATAAGGGGTCAGTTACCCAGGGAGCACATTTGGACTCATCCCAGCCCTACTATAGCTGGTTACCGGGAAGGGTCAGGTAATAAGGGGTCAGTTACCCAGGGAGCAAATTTGGACTCATCCCAGCCCTACTATAGCTGGTTACCGGGAAGGGTCAGGTAATAAGGGGTCAGTTACTCAGGGAGCACATTTGGACTCATCCCAGCCCTACTATAGCTGTGCCACTTGCAGATGTTCATGCGAAAACAGAGTGATTGAGTGAGTTAAAATTTTATGTCGCATAGGCATTATTTCAGTTATATAGCGACGAGACGCAAAAACAGAGCAAATTAAATACCTGAACATGTATCATTTACTCTTATCCTACAGGATATCTTATATGATTTAACACAGAAAACATCTTCTTTGTCATATAAGCATTAATGTTCATAAGACCAAAGTATTTTAAGAACTTAATCATCAAATGATAATGGCACAATTGACATAACAAGCAAAGTATTTGTAGACATTTTTTATACATTTCCATTGGACTGGTCACGTGACAGGAACCCACCAATTAATGACCAGCATACATATAGCATAGGCTGGGATCTCAACAGCTCCCATCAGACACAGGTTGAGGTATGGGTTGCCATGGAGATTAGGAGTACTGAAGGACAACCCAAAGTAACTTAAACTGTTCACAAAACTGAAAAGGAGAAAATTACCTGTAAGCATGTTAGCATATCATGAAAACAAACAGTTGAACTACATGCTAAGATAAGATAATGCTTGATAAGATAAGACAAACTACATGCTGACAGACTATTCTTTCATTATTAAAGAAAACATTGAACAAATTAAATGAATTTATCATCATGGAGAATGTATAAGGTTTCAAAACAATTCCTTGAAACTTTTAACAGTTATAACACATATGCACCAACTTTAATTAATCTTATAGTAAAATTCAGAAAAAATGTTCTTAATACCTCAACTCATACTTACAATAAATACCACATTAGTATTGCATAGAGTCTGATACGGGGTGTCTTCACGAGATCTAGAATCCCAGGCAGAGTTTTACTGTTGCTAGCACTGGTCACACTATTCTCCTGGGTATTCAAAGGGTCGGACGCCTTGCCCTGCCCACCAGCCTCTGCCTGGCCACTAAGACCTGTCGGTGAACTAGAGGGTTCGAGCAACTCCACCATGTTGGATGGAAGTTTGTTTAACTTGACTGCCCATCTTATCACAGCTTTGGCTTTTCTTATTTTCTTCTGAGAAAGTAGCCATGGCAGAGATTCTGGGAGACACCTGAAGTGGAAATGTGAAATTTAAAAAACCCATGAAAAACAATCCAAAAATGTTGTATTTACTACTAACTGCTGTGTGGATACATCACATGATAACCAAAGGGTTTAAAACATAATATACTCTCCAAAAGAACAACAGAAGATGACAGCAATACAAAGAGGATGCTGGTGATGGTAATGGATGGATAAGGAGAGGAAGGACGAGGTGTAATGTCACAATCAACAGACCATTGCATTGGTGGTGTATTGTAAGGGTGTAAACAACCAAGAAAGACGACATGGTCATGTAGTGAAAAAATGAATGTTTAAGATGACTTGATCAAAACTGGGTCATGGTCTAGCATGGTCCACATGCAATGTTTTGGTTGTGTTGGGATGTTTCAGTTCCAAAACCATTTCATCTCTGGCAGTCATCTCTCAAAGCTGATCTTTCTTCATAACATTTATATTTCATGATCCCCAACTCTGGAACTTCAGGAACTTGATTTGGCTTGTGCAGGTGCATGTGGACCATGTGGACATGAAAACGTAGTTGCACCAGACAAAAGCAGGTTGCACCCTGGTCCCCTAAATGTATGAAAGTTGAAACATAGAGGCATAAACTAGTAACAAATAAATAAAATCTCAGGTCTCTGATGACTGTGTCATGATTTTACATAAATAATGACGTATTGCTGTAAAACATAATATTCCTCTGCAACAGAATGCAATTATCCCAGGATACCCCCTTTTGTGTTTTGTTGGTTTGGCCAGAGCACAGACTAGACAAGACTGCCACTTCATCTTCAACCCATGGGTGTGTTCAACTTCACTAGTCTGATTACAGGTAAGGCTAGGTCGCAAAGTACATTGCAACTTTAGGTACTCAAAAGATCGGTAACCGTAGTTGCCCTCGCGATATGTAGTAGAAAGGACAAAACATGCAGGAGTAACAGTGTGTCTGATGGCAGTCACTCCGTTCCCAACTCGTCAACGGCGACGTGGAGGTGCAAATAATTGTCGGGCGAGGACGAGAGGACGCAGTTAGTGGACTCTGTAGACATCCTCAACGGACAGATCTCTGAGGTAGAAGTTGGTGAAAGTAGTGTCAGTTTGCTAAAAACAACGTCGGACATTGTCTGTGATGGAGTTCTTGGTGTGGAGTGCCATCGTGGACACCAACGCCCGAATTTGATGTAGATTGGAGGCTCTAGGTGGATCCAGTCCTGTATGGGTGTAAGCCTGGTTGGTTTGTTGTTTTATGCCGCACTCAGCAATATTCCAGCTATATGACGGCAGTCTGTAAATAATCGAGTCTGGACCAGACAATCCAGTGATTGATATCATGAGCATCGATCCACGTAATTGGGATCGATGCCATGCTTCAACCAAGTCAGCGAACCTGACCACCTGGTCCCGAAAGTCACCTCTGACGACAAGCATAGTCGCCTTCTACTTCAAGCATGGGTTGCTGAAGACCTTTTCTACCCCGGATCTTCATGTAGGCCTGGAGAACTGTGGAGTGCAACCAGGAGGACAACATATTCTTGGAAATATTCCTGCAACCATCCCATTACGTTGACGCTGAAAATAACTAGTGATGAGGAATATAACGGTGTAACGCACATACTGGGCAAAGTGAGATGTCCTCTTTGTCACTGGACCCGACGATATTAGTGAAGGTGCAATCCAACTGGCCAGGCAATTGGCTCTTAGCGATAAAATCCAACGTTAAGCCAAGATGTACCTCTGTATAACATTTCTAAACTTGATCTGAGCATGTAGTTCACTGGCATGTGCTGCAGTGGTCAAAGACAGTGGAAAGGCAATTTTCTGAGAAAGAGGTACCGATCTCGCTGCCATGACAGGTTCATGGGGAGAAACCAGGAGACGGCGTAGAACCAGATCTAGATCCCATGCCGGTGGGTTGGGTGAAGGGGCGAAACCTCAGTCGCTGATCAGCGTTACAGTAAGCACATAGTATGGCTGTGAGTTCCGGAGCAGTGGTGGGTAGCCTGGGAGGCGCCAAGGACCGAGTTAATCATGGAGAAGTAACTAGCAATGGTGCCGCCTGACAAATGCTTCAGCTCCCATAAGAAAACTAAGAAGTCTGCTATGAATGGAGTTGTCGCCAAAGTTGGATCCATATCATGTTGATGGCAACAATTCTTGAAACATAACCATTTCTGGTCTTACAGAATATACAAAGAGAGTGGTGCATCTGACAGATAGAGAGAGCTGTTGCCATTGAGAAACCCATGTCCAACCCGTGTAGATCCCACGACTTTGGGCATGGGTTTGGTCGACAAGTTTGTGGATTTCTGAGCCGACTGTGAAACATGGTGAGTTTTCATTCTAGCTCTCCTGTGAGTTGGGAGCAGATGGGGAACCATGTCCGACTGGGCCAATAAGACGCCGCCAAAAGAAGCCGGATGTCCATCATGGACACCAGTTTTTGGAGAACTCCAGGAAGTAGCTCCAGAGGTGAAAAAGCCTACGCGTTTAGGCCGTTCGACTCGATGGAGAGACCTTGTGATCCCAAGCCAGATTGTCCATTTGGTGGCATGTGGAGAACAAGTCAAAGTTTGGGTGGCTGAAGTGCAGGGATATCATCCAGAAAGTGTCTGGGTGCAGCTGCCACTTCGTGCAAGCTGACTGACCGGGGCGAGAGAGTGTTGGCAAGAATGTTGTAGATACCCTGTGTGTGACGAGCTTATGCTTCCAAAAGGTATTGTCTATGAGACTGCAGAATGTGAACATGAGATCAAAGTGACTCTGCGTGTGAGTGGATCCCAGCTGATTAATGTAATGAGCGACTGAGACATTGTCTGTCGCTATCATAAGACAAGATCCCTGCAGGATCATCTTCCACATCATGGCCAACACAACGGATGGAAAATTCAAGCCAGAAGGTGTCCTGTAAGCTCCAAGTGTTGTCTGGGTAGGGCAGTGGAGTGGTGATACAGTGAAAGGCAGTTGCCCTAATAAGGGTAAGCAGTACCCATAGCGGAGAGTCTCAAAGACCCAGCCATCCAGGAAGAGTTGGTCCCAGTTTTGCCAGAAGGATCCAAAGGATCCGATCCTTGAAAGCGTAGAGCAGCTGCATGAAATCCTATTGGGAGACAGCAAACATGATCTCAAATGCCTTGCAGGAGAGCCCATAGTGTTGTAGGCAACAACGGAAATAGAGGTATACCCTGTGGTGACGAAAGTGGTAACTGCTGGGCAGCTGAGAGAGCACCTGGGACGATCTATCCCGAGACAAAGTCAGCAAATTCCAAGCCAACTTGGGCTGAGGTGATGAATAGGAGGCACCACAGGTGGAAGAGGCATCATCTGAGGCAGTGTCTGCTGCAAGTAAAATGTAGCAGGCCAGGCATAGAGGCTGTCGAAACACGAGAACAGAAACCAAAATGGAGCCTTCACGTGCAGAATGGAGCAAGGTGTCAAAAGCTGCGTGTCAAAATGAAACATACATTTATATGACAAATGGACAATAACAATGACAGAAAGGACACCCTACTAGTGGATGGAACAAGACATGTATTGGACAACATGCAAAAAACACAATGGAGGTTAAGCAGCCATATATATTTATTGATAAAACACGGCCAGGGACCCTGAGTAATGTCACACAAGGGATAAATAGATCAGCAAACCCAAACAACAAAGTCTCTTGCAATCGTAAATTGGAGCATAGCAAAACATGTCCGTCCAATATGGGCGATGAAGGAAAATAGAGACGAGTAAACCAGGAGCATGCTGGGAGCGACATAGTCGGAGGGTGTGTTCAGGTGATTGTTTTACATTGTTCAACACTGTTACATGATTGAAGCAAGAAGGAATATTGCATACTGTTTTGGAGGGATAAGTTAAATATTTTTATTTATAACAAAAGAACGATGTAATCGAGTATGCTCAGGTTCAGAAATTCACACGAATTAGATGATTTGGCAGCAGAGTGAAAAATGTGCTAGTGTTATCCAGGGGCCCAAAATTTCAGACACAATTGATACTTCCGAAACGATGAATAGAGATATTATGACACTTATACTCAAACCTATAACTTTAAGGCTCTTCGCTTGAAAAAATGTAAATGTTCTAACATCATAGCTAGATCAAAGCAGTCACTAAATAATCGACTCTGGGCCAAGCAAATCAGTGGTTGATAGCACAAGCAACAATCCATGCCACTGGAGAATACAAACTCACACGCAAGCAGCCGGTCACACATTGAGATTGAGAAAATCTTATTCAGAACAAATTGATAACACAAACAAGATGCAAACATTCAGTCAGGAGACTTATCATAAAGGGAAGTAACTCATCCCGGATCGCAGTCGCATTCATACATTCGACATTTTATCATACAGCATTATCACATACGTTTGTGGACATCACAAGCACGCTTGTATTTCATATATAGATATTAGAAAAGATAATCTGATGTGTAGTTAATAATTCAATGTCTTTTCAAGTCATGTTGTATATATCAAAGCCTTTGCAAAGGCAAATGCTGATTAAAGGTCTTATCAAGACAAATTCTAAAATTCAAGTCCATTATTACTAGCCATAGGATAACAGGAAAGCATCTATTTCAGATACTGACACAGACACAAACTAACAGTTATTACCATATATAAACAATTGCCAGCACATTAGGCAGAGACACCAGCATCTCCAGGTGGCGCCAGTCTCGGACCAGGTACGCAAACAAAGACAGTAGCATCACCCCGACAGCCCAGAAGATCTGCATGGCGATGGACGGAAGTGTGCGGTGTGAGGCGGGGAACACCTCCGTCATCATCACGTACGCACTCAGTGCGATACCCTACAAACACAAGCACATAGAGGGGACAATAAAACAATGCACAGTGAAATTTGTTTGCATTTGAAATAAAACATACTCAAAACAATTAACAAGTACTAGAACTATTAGTCAGCTACTTATAACGGAAGACATTTAGTCTATGATCGCAAATATTTTAAGATTTCGAAGCCAGAGAAACACTTCACTTTCAGAAACCTAAGAAATCTGGACTTGCCAAAATATTGTTTTCTTGGATAGTCTGTTGAATTTTGTTCCAAGGTCTGTATGGCAGACCAAAATGGCTGGTGTCCACAATATTAAGATATAAGATCACATCTTTTACTCTGATTAGATATATCTTGCCCTCTACTTTAAGATCTGACAAGGCCTCCATATTAGGTCACATTATGCTTTCAGATGCTTAAGTAGCATTTTGAGTGGGTTGTCAAAGAAGCTCAGTGTTCCCCTTATGTTTTGGAGAAAAGGTATCAATGCAGAGTAAGCTATCATAAAGAGACTGACATGAAGACATCCATTAAGCCAAGTTCAAGTTCCATGTTTACCATATTGAGAAATCCCACCACGGCTCGCAACAGTGTAAATGCAACATAGTTCTGTACAAATGCAACAGCAAAGCCGATGACAGCTTGTATGCAGAGACATGATAAGAGGAGTCTCTTTCTGCCAAATCTGTCAGAAAACGGTGTGAGGATCACTGCTCCTGATGCTGAGCCAATCATGTAGATGGTTGTAGACAGTTCTACCAGGTAATTCTTGTTACACACCAGGTCCCACTGGAAGAAAACATTGCACAGTCTCAGACAATAACATCACAAGGGCTGCCTGCGTCAGGCTGTCATGTACTGTCACTGCATGGTGGACAAGTAAGTCACAACGCAAAGTGGAGGAATACCTTCATTAAGTCTCGTCACAACGTGAAGTGTATGGAATAACTTCATTAGGTCAAGTCACAAAGTGAAGAGTAAGGAATAACTTCATTAGGTCTTGTCACAACGTGAAGAGTAAGGAATAACTTCATTAGGTCAAGTCACAAAGTGAAGAGTAAGGAATAACTTCATTAGGTCAAGTCACAAAGTGAAGAGTAAGGAATAACTTCATTGGGTCTTGTCACAACGTGAAGAGTAAGGAATAACTTCATTAGGTCAAGTCACAACGTGAAGAGTAAGGAATAACTTCATTGGGTCTTGTCACAACGTGAAGAGTATGGAATAACTTCATTAGGTCAAGTCACAACGTGAAGTGTATGGAATAACTTCATTAGGTCAAGTCACAAAGTGAAGAGTAAGGAATAACTTCATTAGGTCTTGTCACAAAGTGAAGAGTAAGGAATAACTTCATTAGGTCAAGTCACAAAGTGAAGAGTAAGGAATAACTTCATTGGGTCAAGTCACAACGTGAAGAGTAAGGAATAACTTCATTGGGTCTTGTCACAACGTGAAGAGTATGGAATAACTTCATTAGGTCAAGTCACAAAGTGAAGAGTAAGGAATAACTTCATTGGGTCAAGTCACAACGTGAAGAGTAAGGAATAACTTCATTGGGTCTTGTCACAACGTGAAGAGTAAGGAATAACTTCATTAGGTCAAGTCACAAAGTGAAGAGTATGGAATAACTTCATTAGGTCTTGTCACAACGTGAAGAGTATGGAATAACTTCATTAGGTCAAGTCACAACGTGAAGAGTATGGAATAACTTCATTAGGTCTTGTCACAACGTGAAGAGTATGGAATAACTTCATTAGGTCAAGTCACAAAGTGAAGAGTATGGAATAACTTCATTAGGTCTTGTCACAACGTGAAGAGTAAGGAATAACTTCATTAGGTCAAGTCACAACGTGAAGAGTATGGAATAACTTCATTAGGTCTTGTCACAACGTGAAGAGTATGGAATAACTTCATTAGGTCAAGTCACAAAGTGAAGAGTAAGGAATAACTTCATTAGGTCAAGTCACAACGTGAAGAGTATGGAATAACTTCATTAGGTCTTGTCACAAAGTGAAGAGTAAGGAATAACTTCATTAGGTCTTGTCACAACGTGAAGAGTAAGGAATAACTTCATTAGGTCAAGTCACAACGTGAAGAGTAAGGAATAACTTCATTAGGTCTTGTCACAACGTGAAGAGTAAGGAATAACTTCATTAGGTCAAGTCACAAAGTGAAGAGTAAGGAATAACTTCATTAGGTCAAGTCACAAAGTGAAGAGTAAGGAATAACTTCATTAGGTCTTGTCACAACGTGAAGAGTATGGAATAACTTCATTGGGTCTTGTCACAACGTGAAGAGTAAGGAATAACTTCATTAGGTCAAGTCACAAAGTGAAGAGTAAGGAATAACTTCATTAGGTCAAGTCACAAAGTGAAGAGTAAGGAATAACTTCATTAGGTCAAGTCACAAAGTGAAGAGTAAGGAATAACTTCATTAGGTCAAGTCACAAAGTGAAGAGTAAGGAATAACTTCATTAGGTCAAGTCACAAAGTGAAGAGTAAGGAATAACTTCATTAGGTCAAGTCACAACGTGAAGAGTAAGGAATAACTTCATTAGGTCTTGTCACAACGTGAAGAGTAAGGAATAACTTCATTAGGTCAAGTCACAACGTGAAGAGTATGGAATAACTTCATTAGGTCTTGTCACAACGTGAAGAGTATGGAATAACTTCATTAGGTCAAGTCACAAAGTGAAGAGTATGGAATAACTTCATTAGGTCTTGTCACAACGTGAAGAGTAAGGAATAACTTCATTAGGTCAAGTCACAACGTGAAGAGTATGGAATAACTTCATTAGGTCTTGTCACAACGTGAAGAGTATGGAATAACTTCATTAGGTCAAGTCACAAAGTGAAGAGTAAGGAATAACTTCATTAGGTCAAGTCACAACGTGAAGAGTATGGAATAACTTCATTAGGTCTTGTCACAAAGTGAAGAGTAAGGAATAACTTCATTAGGTCTTGTCACAACGTGAAGAGTAAGGAATAACTTCATTAGGTCTTGTCACAACGTGAAGAGTAAGGAATAACTTCATTAGGTCAAGTCACAAAGTGAAGAGTAAGGAATAACTTCATTAGGTCAAGTCACAAAGTGAAGAGTAAGGAATAACTTCATTAGGTCTTGTCACAACGTGAAGAGTATGGAATAACTTCATTGGGTCTTGTCACAACGTGAAGAGTAAGGAATAACTTCATTAGGTCAAGTCACAAAGTGAAGAGTAAGGAATAACTTCATTAGGTCAAGTCACAAAGTGAAGAGTAAGGAATAACTTCATTAGGTCAAGTCACAAAGTGAAGAGTAAGGAATAACTTCATTGGGTCTTGTCACAACGTGAAGAGTAAGGAATAACTTCATTGGGTCTTGTCACAACGTGAAGAGTAAGGAATAACTTCATTAGGTCAAGTCACAACGTGAAGAGTAAGGAATAACTTCATTGGGTCTTGTCACAACGTGAAGAGTAAGGAATAACTTCATTAAGTCAAGTCACAAAGTGAAGAGTAAGGAATAACTTCTTTAGGTCTTGTCACAAAGTGAAGAGTAAGGAATAACTTCATTAGGTCAAGTCACAACGTGAAGAGTAAGGAATAACTTCATTAGGTCAAGTCACAACGTGAAGAGTAAGGAATAACTTCATTAGGTCTTGTCACAACGTGAAGAGTAAGGAATAACTTCATTAAGTCAAGTCACAAAGTGAAGAGTAAGGAATAACTTCATTAGGTCTTGTCACAACGTGAAGAGTAAGGAATAACTTCATTAGGTCTTGTCACAACGTGAAGAGTATGGAATAACTTCATTAGGTCTCGTCACAACGTGAAGAGTAAGGAATAACTTCATTAGGTCAAGTCACAAAGTGAAGAGTAAGGAATAACTTCATTAGGTCTTGTCACAACGTGAAGAGTAAGGAATAACTTCATTGGGTCTTGTCACAACGTGAAGAGTAAGGAATAACTTCATTAGGTCAAGTCACAAAGTGAAGAGTATGGAATAACTTCATTAGGTCAAGTCACAAAGTGAAGAGTAAGGAATAACTTCATTAGGTCTTGTCACAACGTGAAGTGTAAGGAATAACTTCATTAGGTCTTGTCACAACGTGAAGAGTATGGAATAACTTCATTAGGTCAAGTCACAAAGTGAAGAGTAAGGAATAACTTCATTAGGTCAAGTCACAAAGTGAAGAGTATGGAATAACTTCATTAGGTCTTGTCACAAAGTGAAGAGTAAGGAATAACTTCATTGGGTCTTGTCACAAAGTGAAGAGTAAGGAATAACTTCATTGGGTCTTGTCACAAAGTGAAGAGTAAGGAATAACTTCATTAGGTCAAGTCACAAAGTGAAGAGTAAGGAATAACTTCATTAGGTCTTGTCACAACGTGAAGAGTAAGGAATAACTTCATTAGGTCTTGTCACAACGTGAAGAGTAAGGAATAACTTCATTAGGTCAAGTCACAACGTGAAGAGTAAGGAATAACTTCATTAGGTCAAGTCACAAAGTGAAGAGTAAGGAATAACTTCATTAGGTCAAGTCACAAAGTGAAGAGTAAGGAATAACTTCATTAGGTCTTGTCACAACGTGAAGAGTATGGAATAACTTCATTAAGTCAAGTCACAAAGTGAAGAGTAAGGAATAACTTCATTAGGTCAAGTCACAAAGTGAAGAGTAAGGAATAACTTCATTAGGTCTTGTCACAACGTGAAGAGTATGGAATAACTTCATTAGGTCAAGTCACAAAGTGAAGAGTAAGGAATAACTTCATTAGGTCAAGTCACAAAGTGAAGAGTAAGGAATAACTTCATTAGGTCAAGTCACAAAGTGAAGAGTAAGGAATAACTTCATTAGGTCAAGTCACAACGTGAAGAGTATGGAATAACTTCATTAGGTCTTGTCACAACGTGAAGAGTAAGGAATAACTTCATTAGGTCTTGTCACAACGTGAAGAGTAAGGAATAACTTCATTAGGTCTTGTCACAACGTGAAGAGTATGGAATAACTTCATTAAGTCAAGTCACAAAGTGAAGAGTAAGGAATAACTTCATTAGGTCAAGTCACAAAGTGAAGAGTATGGAATAACTTCTTTAGGTCGAGTCACAACATGAAGTTTAAAGTATAGTGAGTGAGTTGGGTTTAATGCCGCTTCTAACAGTATTCCAGTTATATCATGGCGTTTCAGCTTAATGTGGGAGGAAAGCCCGAAGTGATGCAGGTCTCAGACGTTTGCCGCCTTGGTGAAACCCACAAGCATGGGTATGGTGATGACTAACCTAGAAACATAATCGTGCTGAACCGGTATTCGAAAACACAATCATGCGAATCGCAACGCCTTAGACGACTGGGACACCCGTGCCCCCAGTGTAAGGAATATCTTCATTAGGTCTCATCACAACGTGAAGTGTAAGGAATAACTTCATTTGGTCTCATCACAAGAATAATAAACATGGTACATTGTACCAGCTATGTGTAAACATTTGAAAACTGATTCATTACATCACTGTGTATGATGTAATTATGTCATGGCGGAAACAGGTTGAGTACCATTTGGCACAACTGCAGACATGAATTATCATCTCTTAGAAGATAAAAGATCCTGTTTTAGAACTATAGTGCCGTCCATCAATATAGATAGGAATATAAGGGTCACTACTTTTATTCCAGTCAACAAGAATCTGTGTGCCCTTGCAATTTGAGGTACCTGTAAAAGAATCCTGACAAAACCTTGAACAAGTTCAAAAATACTTGAACTATAGTTAGTTTACATGACTAAGCATCTCAAGTTTATATGCTCTGGGCTGGTCTCTTGTTATTCCCTGGATAGGCAAATACAACTCTCACAAAACATACGAAGAGTTGAGATTTTGAGATTTCATGCTTGTAAAAATGTGTTCCACAGCTTTAAATTGAAAACAGAACACAACACTGATCATGCTGATATTCAACTTGCATGTTGATTTAGTAATGTAAATGACAAAAAATGTAATCTATTCTTTAACAGCACCACAGCTAACTTTAAATATTTTAAAGTATATACCGACTTAGCACTTCCATTGTTTGTGTTAACTATCTAAGCACTATCGCTACACTATCACCTCAAAACCTGGATCCCAAGTACTGAATGTTATTAATACTAAAATGTTTGCTGGAGATGTTTTCATGAGAGTTCTGAGCATTTGAATTATACCTACCTCTGATACAATGCTGGAGGCTCTGTGCATGCTATCATACTGCCAGGCACTGCAAGCGTCCGTCTCATTGACAGTGTGTGTAGCATTCGAGACCATAAGCGCGACATCACACTCTCCTGCTACAATCTGAAGACTGTTGTCAACTGTTCTGTTTGCCACTGTGCAGGTATGGGCCGGGACTGCACCCAGAAATATGATGTTAAACGTGTGCCAGGCACCTCTCATGTACATGAGACCAAGAAGGGTATACACCAACATCTGGTAGCAGCCATAGCCACCAAGTGTCTTTTGGATAATGTCAACTTCCATTGAGATGACTCTGAAACATGCATGGATAATATGAATAATTATTAAACAATATCCCAAAGTCATACAATACTATTTTCTTTCTTTTCTTTCTTCTATGTTCCTACTTAATATCGAACTGGAGCCTCCGGACTACGCCTTGGAGCATCTGGAGATATAATTGTGTTGTTGAGTAAATCTTAATAAAGTGCCATTAATGTGCATTTTCTATTTACGATATTTGTGTTTTTTTTACATCAGTTTCCCAATTTTTCACACAAGTTATAGTTGCATATCTCCTCTTCTGGGCTTCATACCACCGTTCACGACTGTTCTTGATAAATTCTTTATTCTAACTGATACCATGGATTAAATTGTCTAATGCCTGCTGGAACTTAAAAAGCCACCAGAAAAGACAGACATTTCCAAAAGTTCATGTGTGGCCCTTGATGTCAACAAACCACTATCGTTTTGTCAGATGTTCGTCTCAACAATTCCAAAGACACCACAGCCAGTCAGCCAACCTTGTTCCGTTTGCTGTTTAATTTATTTCTATTGCCCATAGGGTTAGAAATGACCGAGTTCATAAAAATTTAATGTGCACTTGTGCAAATATCACTTCATGCGCAACTGTGAATTGTTTACGTCATCCAGTCGGCATTGTTAGTAATGTGACGTAAGGTAGTAAGGATGTTACATCAGCAACAACAAGTGTGGTCTTCTGAGACGGTGGCTGTGGTCAGTGCATTTTTCTAAAGGGGAGGTCAAAAGGATTAAAAATTGATTGGTAATAAATAATTTATTACACTCAAATGTGTGTCATAATGATTTTACAAAGCTTGTGACAGAATTCATGTAGATCTATTGCCCTTGTTTGGGAAATTGAAGAATTCTTACTCTTGTTTCGTAAAATCAGTATCACAAATGCTTGTATAAAATCTCTATTTACGCCATTAACATGTAGATATTTTCATGATGAAACCAAAATGAGAAAGATATATGTTTTATTTACTGTCTTCACTGCATTATTTAACTCCCGGTCCGCGAGTTAAATACTAGGACTACAGTTATTGATATTTCCTCATTACAATTGAAATTAATCAGAGTGAGAAATTAGGTCGGGGCAGTACAAATTTCCCAATTGTATTATCATTATTATTACAATGGCATTGTATCGTTACCCCTGCTAGAAAGGCTTTTCAGTTTAGTTCTAAGCATGTGAATACCACAAGTTTAGAAACTAAGCTCACCACCTCCAACAGATAAGTAAGGAAGACGAGAGGCGCCTCAAATGTGTGCCGGATCTAAAAGTAAATTGAAGTTAAAAAGGCCAAGAGCTGCGCCCCTCCTGGTGTATTCTCACTGCAGTGTTTTATTGTACGATAACTAACGACCACGAGTTGTTTATTTCTAAAATCAGCCCGGCTCGACAGAATGGGCCCGGAGATTTTTTATAGATCCGCGAATCGCGAATGGCATGTTTAAGGAGAATAAATCCCAGGCCAGCTGTTATGATTGCATCCAATAATTCGACTAAACTTAAAACAAAATTCATCTGTCACCTTAAAATTGATTAGAATCATTGATGCCTTCACAAGGTTAGATGTTGCATGAGGTAGGACTGGGAACAAAGGTAGACAACTCTCAGCTTCACGATAAAAACACACCGCTAAAACATTGGTTTCGTTTACTTCAATTTTGTAGTACATACCCGTGTGTTCAGCTGGTGGCCAAGACAGTCCCAATACTGTAGTTATTTGTATTATGTATATGGCTCTCGTAGATTCCGACAAACACACCCAGCTCTGACATACACGATTCTGTGAAAACAATGTTTCATCAGCTCTGACGCAATAACATTCCCCACTAACATCAGCGATAATACCTGTAACATCTCGCTTCATCTCACGAAGTGCGATTTGCTTTTTATTTTATCTGCAGGTTCCTGATGTCAAAACTAAAACTGAAATAAACTTGGGATTACATATTTCGTCTACATTTCCATTGTGACAGATTAATTAACATACATACCTGTATTGACTTTTGTCATAACATGTTCTCTAAAACAATTACCGGCTTCATTCGTGATATATGACATGCATTAGGGCGGCGAGGTGGCTTCGTGTTTCATTGTATCCCAATTTCGTGGATCGATGCTCATGATGTCAATCACTGGATTGTCTGGTCCAGACTCGATTATTGACAGATCGCCGTCATATAGCTGGAATATGAGTGCGGCGTTAAACAACAAGCAAACAACAAGCATGTACGTTGTTCATCTAAACATGTATTTATGTAAGTTGTGTAGGTTGGCCTGTACTGTTACAGATGGACATGAATCAATTCAGGACAAACAACTACACACGTAAAACAAGCCAACGATTCAGCAAACAAACACACACACCTTAACGACCGCATCGTTTGCAAATGGGAAGGACACTGTTGAAGGGGTTCGTATACCTGACGCGTTTCGTTGACAGAAATTGAACTAACTTCCGTTAAATGGACGATCCGCGTGTTGTCAGTGGCTTCGAGGTGAGCTCAGTTTACATGATAGGAAGCACCCACCTACAAGAGGCAAGAGACTTGATACCCCTCTAGCCCACAATGTTATAGGCCGGAAGGCACACTTAGGGAAAATCGTTACTGAAAAACCTTCCTAGTATTGAGCGGCATGGGCTGAACGGTTGATTTGTGACCAGCTGTCTATCAGTCGGCACTCGTCACCATCTGTGTTAAAATCGGGATGGAGGTGGGACGTTATAACAGACGCGCTCGTAGGTGACCATGCAATGTGTCTTGTAAACGTGGCAACATATTTTAATAATGTTTTCCCTAATTGGTTTATTCTTTCGAAACAAATATGGAGTGAGTGAGTTGGGGTTCACCGCCGCACTGACTAGTATTTAAGGTCTATAATGGCGTGTCAGCTTAGCGTGCAAGGAAAGACTGCAGTGTACAGTTACTATAGTCTATTTCAAGTACTTGAAGGGTGTAGCTAGTAGTTTGCTTTGACAAATACATGCACAGAAATATACAAACATATATAGCACAGACACACATATCACATGTAGTTTGCTTTGTATGAGGTAGACAAATACATGCACAGAAATATACAAACATATATAGCACAGACACACATATCACATATAGTTTGCTTTGTATGAGGTAGACAAATACATGCACAGAAATATACAAACATATATATAGCACAGACACACATATCACATGTAGTTTTCTTTGTATGAGGTAGACAAATACATGCACAGAAATATACAAACATATATATAGCACAGACACACATATCACATGTAGTATTCTTTGTATGAGGTAGACAAATACATGCACAGAAATATACAAACATATATATAGCACAGACACACATATCACATGTAGTTTTCTTTGTATGAGGTAGACAAATACATGCACAGAAATATACAAACATATATAGCACAGACACACATATCACATGTAGTATTCTTCGAAAATAGGTATATTAAGTGGTGTTGAACATATTTCTTATTTTCTGCACATTAAATAGGTATAAACAGATCGTTTATTCTGTCTCTCAGAATTCCACGCGCATTCTGATTTTCTCGTGGCCTTTGTGTGACCAATCAGGTTTATAAAATGTACGTGATATGCACAGCAAACAAGAAACGTGTACGTCATACATGAATACGATGTGATCAGATTACTTACTTAATATTTTTCTTGTTGAAATCATCACAAAGCAGCAACGACCAAATACATAATCTAGGGATGCAGGTCATCAATTGCGTGGATGGATGCTCATGATGTCAATCACTGGATTGTCTGGTCCAGAGTCGATTATTTACAGACTGCCGTCATATAGCTGGAATATTGCTGAGTGCGGTGTTAAACAACAAACAAACAAACAAACAAACAAATATTCTGACATGGAGGTATGATAATGTTTTGTTTGGGAGGATATCGAAGCCGGATAGGGAATGAGTGGAGGGTATTTATCACAATGGGCTGGAAACATAATACACTTGATTACCGAGGATGGGGTTTGGTGCCAACAAACAAAGATTCAGGGCGATGCTGGGATGATCCTGGGAGTGTGAGTGAGTGAGTTGGGTTTAACGCTGCTTTTAACATTATTCCAGTTATATCACGGCGTGCCAGCTTAATGTGGGAGGAAAGCCCGAAGTGATGCAGGTCTCAGACGTTTACCACTTCGGTGAAACCCACGAACATGGGTATGGTGACATTGGACATTGCTGAGTTCGGCGTAAGTAGCTTATAACAGGTACGTTCCCGAATCGTCATAAGTCAAGGACGTTAGGTCTCGATAACTAAAGTAAAACTTGCTGTGAAGTTGATTAAAGCTTTAACATTCTTAAACTGAAAACCAATTTGATTGTTGTCATTTCTCATACAATGAACAGTGGATTTGATTGTTATCATTTCTCATACAACGAACAATGGATTTGATTGGTATCATTTCTCATACAAAGAACAATTGACTTTTTGGAACGAGTCTTTAGCATTGCAGGGTTACGCGATGTGCTGAAATGACGGAAAGAAGACACACTACATTGTCAACGGTCTTCCTTTTCATCGCATCCCTCAGCCTATCGGGTTTTTAAGTCACAGGTTCGCCAATTTTGCGACGCTTGGTTTGTCGGCACGAAAGTGATAAAGGGTAACGACCGTCACTTTGGGTTTTCTTCTCACATCAAAGGGATATTGATATTGTTAATAGTGGCATTCACTCACTCACTAGATCATGCAAATTGTCCAGCAATAATTAAAAAAAACCCGACAACTGCCGTTATATAGTTAGCAACGTTCTGAAACATCATGCATGCATCGCCAGTAGATCAACATATATGCACTGCGTCGACGGTCGATAACACATTTTAACTGACGCTACATCGCCGGTCGATCAACACATATGTATTGACGTTTTATATTTCTTAGTATAAGCCCCATTCTCTCACCCAGTATAAGCCCCACACCCACACACAGTATAAGACCCATTCTCTAACCCATCATGAGCCCATTCTGTCACGTGTATAAGCCAGTATGAACCCCATTCTCTTTCTCAGTGTACGTGTACAACATATGAAACCACGTCTTAACATATGTTCGTCGCTTTTTGGCTGAAATAATACCAATGCGACGGTAAATTTGAACTCGCTCACTCAATAGAATCTTTCTGATAGACTACCCGGCATTATGAACAATTGATTAGAACACCTTTCTCATTGATTGGCCCCTCGGTTGCATGGATCGAAGGGCTCAGTTGTGGACAATTTGGACAGACGGAAGCAATCTGACTGCAATCTATTTTCTAATCAAAACACCGGCTGCTGGCTATCAGATAATCTTACTTTGTTTTATCATTTTACAACCGAAATTAGTTTGAATATTTACTCAAACCCACGGAAATAATTTAGACGGTTATCTGATTATGTTTGGATCGGGTTATGAGACTAAGATTTAATCCCGGTAGCATCCGGAAGCAATAACTCCCATCCTCAACAAAATAACAACCCACCTTCAATGCCTCTCTCCAAACACTCCCCAACCTTCAGCCATCACCCCCAAAACACTCCCCCGCTCTCGCCTATTCCTAAACTTTCCCCTTCCCGCAGCCATCACCCCCGAACTCTCCCTGTAGCCCTCACCCCCACCCTCTCCTTAAAGCCATCACCCCCATCTCTCCCTTCATCCATCACCGCACCCCATCATTAAAGCCACCACCCCACCCCTTCCTACAGCCATCACCCCACCCCCTCCCTAGAGCCATCACCCCCACCCCCACCCCCTTCCTACAGCCATCACCCCACCCCCTCCCTAGAGCCATCACCCCCAACATGTCCCTATTAGAGAGCCATCACTCCCAAACTCTCCCTGTAGCTTCACCCCCACCCCCTCCTTACAGCCATCAACCCCTCCCTACCTACATCATCCACCCCCACCCCTCCTCCTTATGCTACAGCCATCACCCCCCCCCCCCCCCCCCCCCCGTCTTTCTGAGGAGCGTGAGTTGCAGAGCGCACACCGAGCAGACAATACCAGTGTCATTTAAATGTCAGCAAATCACATTCCAGTTGATGAGCGGGAGTCGTGTTACTCATGTAGGTGTCAGAATCGTGAAGTTAGTCTAAACGAAGACTTTATTTATATACTTTTCTTGCTGTTTCTGAAACCTGGTGTCTCATTTCATAGTCACAACAACCTGAGCTTGATGCTCTGACTATTTTGGTCACGTTGAAATAGTTCCCATCAATTGTACATGCTCGTATATCAAATATATATTAAGAAAGAAATATTACAAGAGGCTTATTTATTTCATTGTTATCATATTACTTATACTGATCAATATTTTATTATGTATCTGTATTGTAAATAAAACAGGCATTTTTTTTTTTACCGGAGAACCCCTATATTAATAGGCCTAGTCATGCTGGCTCACGTGCAGAACAAGAACGTGCATCCATCCCTAATAATCGAGTCTAGACCAGACAATCTAGTGATTGATATCATGAGCATCGATCAACGCAATTGATGACCTGCATCCCTAGGTTATGTATTTGGTCGTTGCTGCTTTGTGATGATTTCAACAAGAAAAAATATTAAGTAAGTAATCTGATCACATCGTATTCATGTATGACGTACACGTTTCTTGTTTGCTGTGCATATCACGTACATTTTATAAACCTGATTGGTCACACAAAGGTCATGTATTTCACGTGTGCAGTGAATGGCAGATCACACAAAGCCTTGAAAGGTCATATATCCCTTGGCACAGTGAATGGCAGATCACACAAAGGTCATGTATTTCACGTTCACAGTGAATGGCAGATCACACAAAGGTCATGTATTTCAGGTGCACAGTGAATGGCAGACCACACAAAGGTCATATATTTTACGTGCACAGTGAATGGCAGATCACACAAAGGTCATGTATTTCACGTGCACAGTGAATGGAATATCAGGTATTTCACGTGCACAGTGTATGACATGTCAGACTGAGGTCATGTATTTCACGTGCACAGTGAATGGCATGTCAGACTGAGGTCATGTATTTCACGTACACAGTGAATGGCATGTCAGACTGAGGTCATGTATTTCACGTGCACAGTGAATGGCATGTCAGAGTAAGGTCATGTATTTCACGTGCACAGTGAATGGCATGTCAGAGTAAGGTCATGTATTTCACGTGCACAGTGAATGGCATGTCAGACTGAGGTCATGTATTTCACGTGCACAGTGAATGGCATGTCAGAGTAAGGTCATGTATTTCACGTGCACAATCTGGATCGATGGGAGGCGGCCAATAGTGCATTTTGACTATTCCCCTCACATCTAATCTGTTGACTGAGCAGTTCATTGCGGTGGAGATCGTTTGTTCAGGACGGACGATGCTCTGCGAGGTGCAGCCCAGGCCTAGATTTTGTCACCAGAACCTGACACAGTGTACATTGTGTAATCATGAACTGCTAATTCGATATACATGATGAAATGTGTGTTGGCAGACGAACAAAGTTAATTTTAAAAGACTGTAATGAAACCTGCTGAGACTGTCAACTAACATTACTGAAGCATCTGTAAAATCATATTAATATTGTCTCCTCCGTATCTGGGTTCGGTGCAAACTCGTATCAGCGTGGCGGAGTGTTTCATGGCCAATATGCAGTGGACAGAAGTATGTTTCGACGGAATTGTTCAAACGTACTTTTGAAAGCCAATGTAGGTTTAACATAAAAAAACACCAATCGAAGACAGAAGCTAATATCCCTGTCGACCATGGTGGCTATTGACACACTAGAAAAGATTAAAACCCCTCTTATATGACCTGTTAACTGTTACATTAATACATAGTTTCTATGGCCTGACTGAAACCATTCCTTTTTGTGGGAACCCTTCGCCTGATCTCCAGAGAACCAGGTTTCACAAACATTAAACTCGAACGAATGAAAGTACCCTTTATGTATTTCTAATTCTCTATTCAGGTGATGTTGCAGACGAGGTGAAGGAAAAAGTGATTATTAAATTTAACCTGTTTTCTCAATAACAAAATTGTTATATTTTTTGTTATGTTATACAAAATCATGCAAATATTGATCAAATTGATCGCGTCTTTGAGAACTGCACAATATGCTCCAAATACAAGTAGAAAATGTGAACAAAAACATGTTATTTCATCTACATGACGGCGGTCTGTAAATAATCGAGTCTGGACCAGACAATCCAGTGATTGACATCATGAGCATCGATCCACGAAATTGGGATACAATGACATGCATCAACCAAGTCAGTGAGCCTGACCACCCGATCCCGTTAGTCACCTCTTACGACAAGCATAGTCGCATATTAAGGCAAGCATCGGTTGCTGAAGACCCCGGATCTTAAAGATGGACGTACGGCGATTTGCGTTGCCATGGAACATCCACCACCTCAACCTCCATGTAGTCCCTGGTCATTCACTTGCCTAGGAACTCTGGTTTACTGTTCAGCACATCCTGAGGCTAGAATATGTTATATCAATAAATCTGGATATCTAAAACAATCAGCTGCATTCTTCATATCATAAAATGTTATTGAACACAAATTGATTTATTCATATTAGAATTCATGGGAGTTTTAAAGATCAATAAAATATAATTATTGTCAGCACGAATTCCGTATCCTTCGACAAAGTAAACTGTTTGAAATCGAGTTGAATATGAATATTATATAACCTTAAGTTGAGGAATACATTGAATCAGTACCAGTGAAAGTTAAAATAGTTACAAACACCTCCAATAGTACCTCTGCGGGAGGCGGCTACTTGTATGTTATCACACAACACTGCTTTATATTCATATTAGTTATTCATTAAATTGCCCAGGAAAATGTGAAAGTTTGTTTTCTTAAATTATTTGATTAGATTGAATGGTTGTAGTAACAATGATGACAATCTTGCTGCAAAACACAAAGAAATCGAATGATTGTGTACGAGAAACGACACCAATCAAATTGATTATTCGTTGTATGAGAAATGATAACAATCAATTGATTATTCGTTGTACGGGAAATGATAACAATCAAATCGATTGTTCCTTCTATGGGAAATGATAACAATCAATTGATTATTCGTTGTACGAGAAATGATACCAATCAAATCAATTGTTCGTTGTATGAGAAATGACAACAATCAAATTGGTTTTCAGTTTAAGAATGTTAAAGCTTTAATCAACTTCACAGCAAGTTTTACTTTAGTAATCGAGACCTAACGTCCTTGACTTATGACGATTTGGGAACGTACCTGTTATAAGCTACTTACTTATCAACAATGCCCATACACTGTCTGGAAGAATGTTAGTGTAAACCTAAACTATTGTAACGTTTATTAAAAGGAAACAAAAAACTCCATTCAAATATCTTGAATATGTTAGCATTATCATCCAACATTTGAAAGTCTTTATAGCCATTTAGAAGTTGGATATACGTATGAAAGGAGCATTTGGGATAACAACTTCTTAATGGTACAACGATTCAGGGCTAATGTTGCACGTTCATCGCGCGAATGTTTGTTTGTTTGTTTGTTTGTTTGTTTGTTGTTTAACGCCGAACTCAGCAATGTCCCAGCTATATGACGGCAGTCTGTAAATACTCGAGTCTGGACCAGACAATCCAGTGATTGACATCATGAGCATCGATCGATGACAAGGTAGAACATGATATAAGTAACAAGCTCGGATATTCTAATCCACTCTTCTGTAACAACTTTAAAGTCCCCATCCGCTTTTTTGAAACTGTATACCAACTTTTAAACTCACAGCTGGCTTCACACACGTTGTCTAATAATATTGTATGTATGCAAGTATCTCTTGTTGTACCTTGCCATTCACCCGATGAAGCGTACCGCATTAGTCCTGAAACGCCGTGCAGGTGCAACAATACAGAAGGTGTTATCCATAATATTCCTTGTCATTTTCAACATATGATTGCGCAGGTACATATGTCAAAAGAAACGAGTTTTGGCTTCCATTATCAAAACTATCCTCCGTATTCTTTGGAAACAAATAAAGAAAAACCGAATTGGATATTTTACTTGTCGGAATAATATGTATATCTATTTCCACGTATTAGCTTATGATTTTATGAACTCAATCGGAATTTGTTGTTTTGAACCGGGCAATTAATTGACCTTATTCATATTTTGTCATCTAAATAATATTGAATATGACGCCCGCGCACGCTTTAACCTTTTCAGGACTATATAGTAAAACGCATTATGTGTCTCCCCTGAAAGACCTGAACTTTATGATCTAAGGAACTTTATGAGAAAATTATGGACATGTTTATGTTAACAAAATTGATAGGAAAGGTCAGTTTTTATGGTAGCGGTGAACCACCCTTTGCCTGTCAATCGCACGCCCAAAGGAGAAATGTGCTGCTCTGACGCAGCGTCGTCGTGATTCCGCCGACTATGTCGATAATGATGAATGTTTAGGCAGCGTTTGTTGTTACGACATTCGTGAAATAATATCATGTCTCAATCTCTTTTAAGTCAAGAAATTGAGTTCCGTTTTAAACGAAGTGTAATCAACACGAACACGACATGGCTATTAGCGAGCTTAGATTGCCGGATTAGCGGAATCAAACGAGCAAGGTTTCACATGCCTGCAAAGGTTAAATGTCGCAAGGCAGACATCTATGATTAATTACCGGTACCCGGTTACATGTGACAAATTATTGACTGATATCTCTCACCTGAGGAATGCATTTCAGTTATATTGACAACAGTGGCATAAATAACATTCGCATTGAAATCAACCCTGCTTTAATGAAATGGACGTAGTTTCTTTTGACAGTTTTGTTGTAAGCACGCTCGATCTGACATGAATTCGCGTATCATGTTTGTATATCTATTTCGATGATGGATCTTTGGTCTTTAAAATCGCGATGTCTATGCGGATACTTTTATCGATTTTCATACCTTCATAGTCTTTCCTTCATATTGATATGTCTATATAGTTTCCATCGGCTTTTATTCCGTATGCCATGTGAGTAGAGTTTATAGTAGTCAGTGCTTGCCAGTTAGTTATCGTTGCTAGATCAATGTCGTAGTTGTAGGTTTGCATTATATATACCCTGGATGTAGGTCGAATACTAGAAATATAATATATTTTATATTTACGTAATTATTAATTTAAAATACTGTTTCACATTTATAAATAAACATATAGATAAATGTATAAATGAAGAAAAATCAATTTATCAGTTAAATAAATAAATGGATGATGTATGATATAAGTTTTTCGGTTCTCTGTGCGCGTCGTCAACTATGAAGAGACGGAGCCCAGCGTCAAGTAGTTTTTCCCCCCCTCTATGACGTCACTAGTCTATGACGTTTTAAACGAGGTGTAATCAACACGAATGACGTCACTAGTCTATGACGTCATGCAGAACTGTAATGATGGCGAGGATTTATGCTGAAAGTTTGTTTGCGATATTAGGGCAGGCATGAACAAACGCCCTAGTCGGGTAGTGGCTAATTCGGTGGCTTCCAAAGACAGCTATCGAGCCATCCTCCACCGTCGCCGTTCAACGGTAGGTCCTGACGACAAAACGAATCGTAAGACCGTCCCCCATATTGGAGAGTGCATCTTGTCAGGCTTGGAGACCCTGTGGAAACATAAGCAGATGACAGACGTCTCAGTGGTTGTCGAAAATAAAACCTACCTGGCACATAAACTGGTCTTGGCTTCTTGCTCCGACTTCTTCTACGACAAGTTCACCCGGGGTCGCGATGCGGAAGCAACCAAAATAGAGGTCAATGATGTCAAGGCCACGGGTGAGTGTGGAAACGAGGCCATGAATGTAGCGGTCCTCTTAGCAAATACTAACAACAAACGGAGCGTTATATATTGTAACAAGGGATATACTATGTTTCTTTTGTGCCACTGGACATTGTGTTTTGTTTTCTTCGTTTCTCTATTCGCAGATTTACGGTAGATCAGCTTGGCAAGAACACGTTTGATCGCCTCGAATAGCTGGAAAATTGCTGATGCGGCGCAAAGCAATATTCATTCGTTCATTCCACGTTTTACCATCAAGCTGTGTGGAATAGGTGAGTATGTGGGGAATCAGGGGACGTGTTGTTGTATGCGACATGTAGACGCGTGGTCAACAAACTGCATGTGAGGCCCTGACACCGAATGCATACAAGCAACAATGTTACATTTGTCACCACGGTATGTGAACATTAAAGCTGATTGAGAACATGGGGCGCGTTGCAACGCACCCATGGTCAACGATCGGAGCCGCCGGACCACGAACATATGCTATCTGTTAGGTCACATAAGGTAGTATCTACCTTTTGGCGATGGTGGAGTGGCTGGTGCATCTGCATGGTGTGTTTCGATCCCCTGTCGCGTCATACCAAAAGTCGTTAAAGATGGAACTTGTTGTTACTCTGCCTGGCGTTCGGTAATAAGGGGATAAAACAAGTACTGACTAGTTCAGTGTCAGTATACTATGTCTGAGTGGTGTATCCGACATGGTATTTTATTTTACACAGTTTTTATATTTATTTCACAAGGATAGATGACCTGTGAAGATCCGGGTTAGAATATATCTTCAGCAACCCATGCTTGCCACCAAAGGCGACTATGCTTGTCGTAATAGGCGACTAACGGGATCGGGTGGTCATCGTATCCCAACTTCGTGGATTGATGCTCGTGATATCAATCACTGGATTGTCTGGTCCAGACCGCCGTCATACAGCTGGAATATTGCTGAGTGCGGCGTTAAAAAACAAACAAGCAAGCACAAGGATAGATAACTTATAATAGGTGTATATATATATGGATATATGTTTGGGGATAAAGCACGTTCGCGTATATAAAACATTAGCGAGCCAACATAGTCTGGACAATATCTTATTTAATTATCATGTAGCTTTATGCGCGGGTAACAATGCTTTCATGTGATAGAAAAAATATTGTTATTGGTTATTGTCAGTTTTACTGCCCAGGGCCCGTTTGCACAAAGCGATCGTATTTATGTGAAAGCGTGGGAGTGACGATTGTACTTGAAGCGCTGGTTTCAAGGTTTAGACTTGACGCGAGGATCGAACCATGGGGCGTTGTAGTGCTAAGCCTATCTGATACATGAAGAAAATTATACGCAGTTTTCGTTATTGCTATGAGCAACAGGACGATTCGATCACATTAACAATTAAATTGTGCTGATATATATGAGCACCTTGTTATTACGTACCATGGGAATCGGCAGTTATATGAAACTGGATACAGCTATCATATTTACTGACGTCGTTTAAAGTTAATCATCATTACTGGAATCGCGAGTTACAAATTTCACGTGTACTTTTTAAGTTTCATGGCACGACTGAACTTGTCAACATACGTTATTCTCAAGGGCAATTCAGATTGGATGAGCGTTATGCTATATATTCCCAGGTACCTGTTCGTATATTTATAATCTCTGGTGTGGCCAACAACTATCGTAATGTCTGAATAGTTTTAGGATGAAAGAATATTTTAGGATTTATTTCTGCTACCACTTTCACTTATTTACTATAGCCTCTTTGAGATAGTCTTATTTTTGCTCTTGGAATTGTTAAAACGTGTTTTCGACCTAAAAAAAGATTAAATGATTATTCAATATTGCATGCCGCCCAAATTGAAAATGTCGGAAACTCATTTTTCCACTTTAATATCCATTGTAACAAAAACAAATTCAGCTCTTTGAAATACATTGGGTAATGGCATTGCTATCTACCTAAACATTGAATGGTTAAACAATATGACTGATTCCGTCGGATGAAAGACGAACGCTCTGTCTATGAGGGCCAAATAACACTCCGTTAACACTGCACGCGAACAAGATATCAAAGGGTTATCTTTCAAATTCATTTATCTTACCTCGGCGGGTAAAGGCCATTCGTGACAACTCTCATCTTTCTGGAACTTATTGAATATGCTGACCTTTAAAGAATGCCCATGTATACAACCGATGCAGACAAACACGATCACCATTTGTCTATTTCCGTGAATTACAAAAAGTTAATCGGCTGTTTTCGGAATAGCTCGGAATAGCTCGGAATACAGTTGACTGTATGCGTGCAGGTCGTAACTCGCACATACGAATGTATGATTTGTGTATTTCATCTCCGCAGTGGTATCAGACCACGAGTGAGCGAGTGACTCCACAAGTTGCCCAACTCATTTCTCTCCCGTGGATTTACTGAAGCAGACAATGTCATGTATGACTTAATATGTGTGCATTCCGCTGCAGAGTTGGTCCGCAAAATCCGATGGTTATTCCATGAGTTGACTTAGGAGGACAAAGCGGGACCCGGCTGATAGTTGGTCATCGTGCCCCGATTGCGTAATCGTTGATCATGCATTTCACGAAATACACTGGTGTCCTGGCCAAGAGTCGATTATTTGGAATCCTCCCACGAGTCAGACACGTTAGTTGCCAGATGGGTTAACTCAAATAAGCATCATATAGGGACGACTGCACAACTGGTCTGTCAGATGTCATCTAAGGATGAATGTGGTATCATCTTCAATCATACATGCGCCACACCTTGGCATCTTCCCGAGGCAAGAGAGTTAACTGACTATAAAAGTCCAGTTTCCACCCTTGCCGAACTAGGCTTGCGTTATGGAGTTACATTTTGGCTGTACTTACGAGTCTATTCATAGTCCAATCAAAATCGCGCAACGAAATCGAAAACCGGTTCGTAAACTGTCGTGCAGATTTCGGTCGATTGCAGGTTTTGCAAAGCATGTGCACCGTCAACTCGTCAACAGATATTTTTCAAATCATTTCATGTTTTTAATCAAGGTGCTCGCGTGATTTGATGCACTTCAGGATGTAAAACCCGTTTTATCATAATATAGATCTTTATTATCGTTCAGATCGTCTTGACTGGGCGCCGCCATTTCGTTTGAAACAAATGCAAGTGATACGACAGGTGGAATCTGATTGGTCCATAGGAGAGGTTCAGAAGGGACATAACTTGTAATAACGAACGGCTGCGCTACGATCGAGCCCAGGAATTCAAGCCTAGTTCGGCAAGGGTGGAAACTGTGGAATTTTTAAGTCAGTCAACTCTCTTGCCTCGGGAAGATGCACCCTGGGGATATGTGTAAGGATTTCGTTTTCAATCTTTGCAGAAACCTTGTATTGATGGCATGCATGATATCGATGTGCCACTTTATGAGTTCAGCCACTGCCAGGTCTTCAGTGTCTCCAAATGCCAAAATACCAGTTGTTATTACCTTGGGCCATCTTCACACTTACTCTCAGTGAGAAGATAAACACACAATACAATGAAAGGATTTCGTGGGATTGCAAAATATAGAGATGACATTATGCACCACATACAAGCTACTCTTTGTAACACGAGCAGAGCTTCCTGCCGACCCCAAAAGTACTTTAAGGATCTGCTGACAATATTTCCACATTGTATATTCTATGGAATGAACCAAAGACCTCAAAGCACATTGTGGTTGCGTTTATAGTTTTTAAATGCTTGTGATACTATCTTGAAAATTGATTTACGGGGGCACATGGTATAGCTGGAATAATCTGCTTAGTGCGGCGTAAAACAACATTTACTCACCCATCCCCTAAATACTATAAGGGTTACTTCTTTTGAGATCGAGTGGGTAACTTGGTCATAACGAACCGATGTGTATGTCCTGCGTAACGATGGGGTGTTGACAGATATGACTGAAATATTGCGCAAAACTGATTGTGCAGCACTGGCCGTCAATTAACCATACATCACAGTGTTGCATCTCCTGTGTTCTAGAGCGCGCGAATATCGGTCGACTTCTAAACCCACCCATCTCCGTATTACAGGGCTGCAGGCTATTCTGGAGTGTCTGTATACTGGCCGAATACTAAACCGATCCATCTCCGTATTACAGGGCTGCAGGCTATTCTGGAGTGTCTGTATACAGACCGAATGCTAAACCCATCCATCTCTGTGTTACAGGGCTGCAGGCTATTCTGGAGTGTCTGTATGCAGGCCGAATGCTAAACCCATCCATCTCTATGTTGCAGGGCTGCAGGCTATTCTGGAGTGTCTGTATACTGGCCGAATACTAAACCGATCCATCTCTGTGTTGCAGGGCTGCAGGCTATTCTGGAGAGTCTGTATGTAGGCCGAATGCTAAGTCATCCATCTCCGTGTTGCAGGGCTGCAGGCTATTCTGGAGTGTCTGTATGCAGGCCGAATGCTAAACCCATCCATCTCTGTGTTGCAGGGCTGCAGGCTATTCTGAAGTGTCTGTATGCAGGCCGAATGCTAAACCGATCCATCTCCGTGTTGCAGGGCTGCAGGCTATTCTGGAGTGTCTGTATACTGGCCGAATGCTAAACCAATCCATCTCTGTGTTGCAGGGCTGCAGGCTATTCTGGAGTGTCTGTATGCAGGCCGAATGCTAAACCCATCCATCTCTGTGTTGCAGGGCTGCAGGCTATTCTGGAGTGTCTGTATGCAGGCCGAATACTAAACCGATCCATCTCCTAGTTGCAGGGCTGCAGGCTATTCTGGAGTGTCTGTATGCAGGCCGAATGCTAAACCCATCCATCTCTGTGTTGCAGAGCTGCAGGCTATTCTGGAGTGTCTGTATGCAGGCCGAATGCTAAACCCATCTACTCTGTGTTGCAGGGCTGCAGGCTATTCTGGAGTGTCTGTATGCAGGCCGAATGCTAAACCCATCCATCTCTGTGTTGCAGGGCTGCAGGCTATTCTGGAGTGTCTGTATGCAGGCCGAATGCTAAACCCATCCATCTCTATGTTGCAGGGCTGCAGGCTATTCTGGAGTGTCTGTATACTGGCCGAATACTAAACCGATCCATCTCTGTGTTGCAGGGCTGCAGGCTATTCTGGAGAGTCTGTATGTAGGCCGAATGCTAAGTCATCCATCTCTGTGTTGCAGGGCTGCAGGCTATTCTGGAGTGTCTGTATGCAGACCGAATGCTAAACCCATCCATCTCTGTGTTGCAGGGCTGCAGGCTATTCTGGAGTGTCTGTATGCAGGCCGAATGCTAAACCCATCCATCTCTGTGTTGCAGGGCTGCAGGCTATTCTGGAGAGTCTGTATGCAGGCCGAATGCTAAACCCATCCATCTCTGTGTTGCAGCGCTGCAGGCTATTCTGGAGTGTCTGTATGCAGGCCGAATACTAAACCGATCCATCTCCTAGTTGCAGGGCTGCAGGCTATTCTGGAGTGTCTGTATGCAGGCCGAATGCTAAACCCATCCATCTCTGTGTTGCAGGGCTGCAGGCTATTCTGGAGTGTCTGTATGCAGGCCGAATGCTAAACCCATCTACTCTGTGTTGCAGGGCTGCAGGCTATTCTGGAGTGTCTGTATGCAGGCCGAATGCTAAACCCATCCATCTCTGTGTTGCAGGGCTGCAGGCTATTCTGGAGTGTCTGTATGCAGGCCGAATGCTAAACCCATCCATCTCTATGTTGCAGGGCTGCAGGCTATTCTGGAGTGTCTGTATACTGGCCGAATACTAAACCGATCCATCTCTGTGTTGCAGGGCTGCAGGCTATTCTGGAGAGTCTGTATGTAGGCCGAATGCTAAGTCACCCATCTCTGTGTTGCAGGGCTGCAGGCTATTCTGGAGTGTCTGTATGCAGACCGAATGCTAAACCCATCCATCTCTGTGTTGCAGGGCTGCAGGCTATTCTGGAGTGTCTGTATACAGGCCGAATGCTAAACCCATCCATCTCTGTGTTACAGGGCTGCAGGCTATTCTGGAGTGTCTGTATGCAGGCCGAATGCTAAACTCACCCATCTCTGTGTTGCAGGGCTGCAGGGCTGCAGGGCTGCAGGCTATTCTGGAGTGTCTATATACAGACCGAATGCTAAACCCATCCATCTCTGTGTTGCAGGGCTGCAGGCTATTCTGGAGTGTCTGTATGCAGGCCGAATACTAAACCCATCCATCTCTGTGTTGCAGGGCTGCAGGCTATTCTGGAGTGTCTGTATACAGGCCGAATGCTAAACCCATCCATCTCTGTGTTACAGGGCTGCAGGCTATTCTGGGGTGTCTGTATGCAGGCCGAATACTAAACCCATCCATCTCTGTGCTGCAGGGCTGCGGGCTGCAGGCTATTCTGGAGTGTCTGTATGCAGTCCGAATGCTAAACTCACCCATCTCTGTGTTGCAGGGCTGCAGGGCTGCAGGGCTGCAGGCTATTCTGGAGTGTCTATATACAGACCGAATGCTAAACCCATCCATCTCTGTGTTGCAGGGCTGCAGGCTATTCTGGAGTGTCTGTATGCAGGCCGAATACTAAATCCATCCATCTCTGTGTTGCAGGGCTGCAGGCTATTCTGGAGTGTCTGTATACAGGCCGAATGCTAAACCCATCCATCTCTGTGTTGCAGGGCTGCAGGCTATTCTGGAGAGTCTGTATGCAGGCCGAATGCTAAACCCATCCATCTCTGTGTTGCAGGGCTGCAGGCTATTCTGGAGTGTCTGTATACAGGCCGAATGCTAAACCCATCCATCTCTGTGTTACAGGGCTGCAGGCTATTCTGGAGTGTCTGTATGCAGGCCGAATACTAAACCCATCCATCTCTGTGCTGCAGGGCTGCGGGCTGCAGGCTATTCTGGAGTGTCTGTATGCAGTCCGAATGCTAAACTCACCCATCTCTGTGTTGCAGGGCTGCAGGGCTGCAGGCTATTCTGGAGTGTCTATATACAGACCGAATGCTAAACCCATCCATCTCTGTGTTGCAGGGCTGCAGGCTATTCTGGAGTGTCTGTATGCAGGCCGAATACTAAACCCATCCATCTCTGTGTTGCAGGGCTGCAGGCTATTCTGGAGTGTCTGTATACAGGCCGAATGCTAAACCCATCCATCTCTGTGTTGCAGGGCTGCAGGCTATTCTGGAGTGTCTGTATGCAGGCCGAATGCTAAACCCATCCATCTCTGTGTTGCAGGGCTGCAGGCTATTCTGGAGAGTCTGTATGCAGGCCGAATGCTTAACCCATCCATCTCCGTGTTGCAGGGCTGCAGGCTATTTTGGAGTGTCTGTATACAGGCCGACTGCAGCTGTCTGACGTGACCGTCCGTGACATACTGGCAGCAGCATCAGTTCTGGGGTTTCTCGGCATCCACGAAGCGTGTGAGGAATACCTCAGCGACCATCTCAATGTGGACAACTGTCTGTCACTCCTGGACTTAGCGGTCACCCACGTCCTTGATCGTCTGGTTGAAATGGCGTCAGCTATGGCAGCCAGCAACTTTGAAACAGTTTCCAGGAAAGCAGAATTTAAGTCAATGCCAGTAGAACAACTGATATGTCTGTTGACCCGTGATGATCTCGTCACCAGAAGCGAGGTGTACGTATTCCATTGTGTGTTGGAATGGATCGAGGTGGATCGGCAGCGCCGGCTGGAATTCGCCTTCGACCTACTGAAGACAGTCCGCCTCCCTCTTCTGTCTCCATCTGAGATCGTGGATAGAGTCGAGTCTGTTACCTTCTTGATGGACATCCCAGATTGCCAGAAGCTTGTGAAGGATGCCCTCCATTACCATTGTATGCCGGCACGCCAGACGCTGCTGCAGGTAGGACGCCTTTCAGAGACACTACTGTCTTGCATATGATCGGTCCTAGCAATAGAAATCCGTGCACAGGAGCTACACTGGAGTAGGATCAGCCTCATAAAACAGGAAATCTTGTACAGGCTAATCTGATTCAGGTCGATCCTATTAGGCATGAGCTGGCAATGTTAATGCGATGAGCTCTATGTTAATAACTAAAGTAATTCAAGACATGTGTTTGCACTAGGGCTGGGACGAGTCGAAATTCACTACCCGGATATCCGACCCCCTATTACCCGACCATACCCGGGTACCCAATGCAGGTCTCAAGAGTTGGGAACAAAATGTCTGATTGGGAATTGTTTTACCGCAGCCCTGACTAAAACTACTTACATACATGTATCAAACGATCAGACCATGCGTACACGGAAGTTGACTGAAGCGTTATCATTTACAAGTCAAAAGGAATGTGTGTATCGTCAGAAAGAAATGCGAACATTAGCGACTTGTAGTGTAACCACTGAGCTATAGTGAGTTTTTGTCATGGAACAATGTATCACATGACTAACTATGGATCCGGGTAGTCCTGGGGGTACCCGGGTCCTACTCAGGACCCACCTGATCCGAGTGCCCGAGTTACATTATACAAGACGAAACCCAGAAGCTATAATCAGGGAATAGTTCAGACAGTGACGTATGAGTAGGACTCATCTTCTACAACTTCATTATGTATACAAATAGCGAATGCAGTTAAGAAACATTGTAGCCATAATTAAATATTATATCTACAATGATCGACAAATATAGAAAAATGTTCAATACTCAAAAATCATATTTTACGTGGTTGAACAAACATTTTCTTTCTTTCTTGCAATAAGTCATGTAGCTAAATCTGGATTTAAATGTCAATCATACGCTGTTCAGAAAGAGGATTCAACTGTCAGGCTCATAGACCAGGCGTCTTTGATATTACATAGACATTTGTAGGCACCATCATGACATTAGTGCGCTAAAAGAGAGGTAGGTTTCTAAATATAGCTTGTCCTCTAGATTTACTGAATTTTTCACCTTTACTCTCAAATCGACTGATTTACGAAACTGAAATTTTGTGTATGAACTCGGAAATAGTGTCTCTCAAAATGCTCATCGAATTCTGAATTTTGAACATGGCCACCTTAGCAATTACTTGTGAAATGAACTGTTCTTATACTTTACTTAATGCAATTAGTTTGTTGATTTACTAAAGGGAGTTATCTCCAAAAGATGAACTACATTGCAAAGTTAATTGTTCCCAAAATGAAACAAAAATGACGTTATAACCAGGGACTTGGAACGTTTGGTCTGAAAAACATTGGCATTGACATTATAACCAAGGAGAACTGTATTACTGAGGGACTTATCCCAATAAACCCAATATATCCCATTTTATACATCTAAAGCAGCAAACATTAAAATAATCAATTTTAAAAGGTAGTCCTTGCTGTAACAGGAGAGGATGGAATGGTCCACCGGAATTATATAATCGCAAGGATGTATACGGTCACATAATAACTATGGAATAAGACAAATATATTGTTTAACATCCTGACTTTTAACACACAACCTGTCATGACAGTGTTCTTCTAATTGCTGCTGTGAAATAGATACATTCCCTTGGGCGCGGAAGGCCATGGTGATAAGATAGGGTGGAGTTACATTTGTCAGGGCAGGGTAGAAGGGTCATAGCTGTTCAGTTTCAGTAAGTGTTTGTAACATCAGTGAGCTCCCAACCGGAACGTTTCTTAACTGTCCTTACAAACACAGGTACGCACAAACCATAACGTTTGTGAGCACTCAACATAATGTGCATGCACAGGCGGTTTCCCCTATTTATAAATGTGTTTCATCTCCGTGTGACTGCATGCATAGGGTACATGCATGTATGATGCACATTATGCATGATGCATGCACGAGACGCATGTAAGAGTTTCGCGTGACGTGAATACATGCAATGGAAATTGACATGTCTTCACATGCCGTTTAAGTTTATCCTGCACAGGGTATTGTTTGCACACGATGGGAATTACACGAAGCAAGGTTTGTCGCCAGGGCTTATACACGACATGACCTAGCAAAACGTCTCGGGTTGGAACAAGGGTTGCCTTGGTGACACCCCCGCACAGAGCGAAGGTCGGGTCCGTGTGAGGTGCTCCCTGTGACAATGATGTAGTTGCCCGCCCGCCCACGCCCGTCTCAGGAGCACCACGCTAGCTTGTTCACATGTCCTGGCTGCATGATTGCTGCCGAGGTCTCTGTGCGAGTTTATACTCAGTGTCTATAATAAGTGTGCATAGTGACACAAGGGAACCTGAGGCAGCAGCATTGGATTCTCCCTGCAACGTGCGTTTTTTCTGACAGAGCTGAAGAGCTCCACTGACGTCTCTGTCTTGGGGTGTTTTCTGACAGGGCTGAAGAGTTCCACTGACATATCTGTCTTGGGTTGTTTTCTGATAGAGCTGAAGAGTTCCACTGACATCTCTGTCTTGGGGTGTTTTCTGACAGAGCTGAAGAGTTCCACTGACGTCTCTGTCTTGGGTTGTTTTCTGACAGAGCTGAAGAGCTCCACTGACATATCTGTCTTGGGGTGTTTTCTGACAGAGCTTACGAGATCCACTGACGTCTCTGTCTTGGGTTGTTTTCTGACAGAGCTGAAGAGTTCCACTGACGTCTCTGTCTTGGGTTGTTTTCTGACAGAGCTGAAGAGCTCCACTGACGTCTCTGTCTTGGGTTGTTTTCTGACAGAGCTGAAGAGCTCCACTGACGTCTCTGTCTTGGGTTGTTTTCTGACAGAGCTGAAGAGCTCCACTGACGTCTCTGTCTTGGGTTGTTTTCTGACAGAGCTGAAGAGCTCCACTGACGTCTCTGTCTTGGGTTGTTTTCTGACAGAGCTGACGAGATCCACTGACGTCTCTGTCTTGGGGTGTTTTCTGACAGAGCTGAAGAGTTCCACTGACATCTCTGTCTTGGGTTGTTTTCTGACAGGGCTGAAGAGTTCCACTGACGTCTCTGTCTTGGGGTGTTTTCTGACAGAGCTGAAGAGTTCCACTGACATCTCTGTCTTGGGTTGTTTTCTGACAGAGCTGAAGAGCTCCACTGACATATCTGTCTTGGGTTGTTTTCTGACAGAGCTTACGAGATCCACTGACGTCTCTGTCTTGGGGTGTTTTCTGACAGAGCTGAAGAGCTCCACTGACATCTTTGTCTTGAGGTGTTTTCTGACAGGGCTGAAGAGTTCCACTGACGTCTCTGTCTTGGGGTGTTTTCTGACAGGGCTGAGGTTCCACTGACGTCTCTGTCTTGGGTTGTTTTCTGACAGAGCTGAAGAGTTCCACTGACGTCTCTGTCTTGGGGTGTTTTCTGTCAGAGCTGAAGAGTTCCACTGACGTCTCTGTCTTAGGGTGTTTTCTGACAGAGCTGACGAGATCCACTGACATCTCTGTCTTGGGGTGTTTTCTGACAGAGCTGAAGAGTTCCACTGACATCTCTGTCTTGGGTTGTTTTCTGACAGAGCTGAAGAGTTCCACTGACATATCTGTCTTGGGTTGTTTTCTGACAGAGCTTACGAGATCCACTGACGTCTCTGTCTTGGGGTGTTTTCTGACAGCTGAAGAGTTCCACTGACATCTCTGTCTTGGGTTGTTTTCTGATAGAGCTGAAGAGTTCCACTGACGTCTCTGTCTTGGGGTGTTTTCTGACAGAGCTGAAGAGTTCCACTGACGTCTCTGTCTTGGGGTGTTTTCTGACAGAGCTGAAGAGTTCCACTGACATCTCTGTCTTGGGTTTTTTTCTGACAGAGCTGAAGAGCTCCACTGACATATCTGTCTTGGGGTGTTTTCTGACAGAGCTGAAGAGTTCCACTGACGTCTCTGTCTTGGGGTGTTTTCTGACAGAGCTGAAGAGTTCCACTGACATCTCTGTCTTGAGGTGTTTTCTGACAGAGCTGAAGAGTTCCACTGACGTCTCTGTCTTGGGGTGTTTTCTGACAGAGCTGAAGAGTTCCACTGACATATCTGTCTTGGGTTGTTTTCTGACAGAGCTGAAGAGCTCCACTGACATATCTGTCTTGGGTTGTTTTCTGACAGAGCTTACGAGATCCACTGACGTCTCTGTCTTGGGGTGTTTTCTGACAGAGCTGAAGAGCTCCACTGACATCTTTGTCTTGAGGTGTTTTCTGACAGAGCTGAAGAGCTCCACTGACATCTTTGTCTTGAGGTGTTTTCTGACAGGGCTGAAGAGTTCCACTGACGTCTCTGTCTTTGGGTGTTTTCTGACAGGGCTGAGGTTCCACTGACGTCTCTGTCTTGGGTTGTTTTCTGACAGAGCTGAAGAGTTCCACTGACATCTCTGTCTTGGGTTGTTTTCTGACAGAGCTGAAGAGTTCCACTGACGTCTCTGTCTTTGGGTGTTTTCTGACAGAGCTGACGAGATCCACTGACATCTCTGTCTTGGGGTGTTTTCTGACAGAGCTGAAGAGTTCCACTGACATATCTGTCTTGGGGTGTTTTCTGACAGAGCTTACGAGTTCCACTGACGTCTCTGTCTTGGGGTGTTTTCTGACAGGGCTGAGGTTCCACTGACATCTCTGTCTTGGGTTGTTTTCTGACAGAGCTGAAGAGTTCCACTGACATATCTGTCTTGGGGTGTTTTCTGACAGAGCTGAAGAGATCCACTGACGTCTCTGTCTTAGGGTGTTTTCTGACAGAGCTGACGAGATCCACTGACATCTCTGTCTTGGGGTGTTTTCTGACAGAGCTGAAGAGTTCCACTGACATCTCTGTCTTGGGTTGTTTTCTGACAGAGCTGAAGAGTTCCACTGACATATCTGTCTTGGGTTGTTTTCTGACAGAGCTTACGAGATCCACTGACGTCTCTGTCTTGGGGTGTTTTCTGACAGCTGAAGAGTTCCACTGACATCTCTGTCTTGGGTTGTTTTCTGATAGAGCTGAAGAGTTCCACTGACGTCTCTGTCTTGGGGTGTTTTCTGA